AAGACTTACACAACTCATATATGACAGTTTTGGAGGAGAATGTCCCTGTTCAGCAAGCTGCAGTACGGTGGGGGGTTCCTTCTACTACCTTGAAAGTCGTAATGAAAGATCGTGTGAGAGGCAGAATCCATATTGATGTCGTTAAATCTGGCAAAACCACTATGTTCACACAAGAGGAGGAGTCCCTGCTTGTTGATCACATTAAAGTCATGAGTGAGATTGGGTACGGCTATACCAGACATGAAACAATCAATTTGGCAACTGATTATGCTCACCATCTAGGACACAGGGACAGAATCACGCCTCTCAGTTTACGTTGGCTGTATAATTTTCTTTCACGTTGGCCTGATATTCGCGTGCAGAAGCCCAGGAAACTGGAATACGCCAGAGCTAGATGTGCTACTCGGCAGTCAGTTGAAAGCTATTTTATCGAGCTAGACAAGATTATGAAAAAGCACAGTTTCCAAGACAGACCTCAAGACATCTTCAACATTGATGAGAAAGGTTTACAGACCGATATCACACCTCCTAAAATAGTATCATCGTCGAAGTGTAAACCCCAGGCAGTAACCACTGGAAAGTCCAAAACAGTAACTTTGATTGGTGCCGTGAGTGCGACTGGCAGTTCGATCCCACCCTTCTTCATTTTTCCTGGCGAACGGATGAGAGAAGATTTGATGGCAGGAGCTACACCAGGTGCTGATGGAACTGTTTCAGAGACTGATATCTTCAATAGTTACATGAAGACTCACTTTGCGAAGTATGCTAAAAGTGACAGTGCTGATTCTCCTTTGCTTGTTCTGTATGATGGACACAGAAGCCATGTTTCACTGGGACTCATCCAATAGGCGAAAGAGCACAACATAGTCCTATTTGTGTTGCCACCTCATACAAGCCACCTGCTGCAACCGCTCGACATTGGGTGCTATGGACCTGTCGAAGCTGGATGGACAGCTGCATGCCACAGACATCTGCGAGAGTCAGGAGGCAAAGCTATCACCAGATACGATGTTTGCAAGATTGCCTGCAAAGTTTTGGCCTGCACATTAACACCCAACAACATCTTGTCTTCATTCAGACGATCTGGCATCTTTCCATATAACAAAGACGTTGTGACAGATGAGGCAGTAAGCACCAGCCATGACATTCAAGCAGCAGACACTCTGTGAAGTAGCAGGAGATTTGTCACAAGCCCGTGATTTCTTAGGGAAGAGAGGAGGTGAGGTTCTAGAGAATGTCCAGACAGCCAAAGTCAGAAATACCATGAGTAAAATCGTTGGAGGGAAGCCCATTACTGAAGATGAGGTTACTAACAAACTTATTGAACATCAGGAAGCAAAAAAGAAAATAAAGCCCACTTCAATCAACAGTCATCAAATAACAACTGAAAAGGAAAGCACAGCGCGCAAAGGAAAAGGAAATGGATCGAAAGGAAAGGGGAAAAGAAAGGCTAGAACACCTAGACAAGTGCCAGTGATAACTGAAGATTCACAATCCTCCGACAGTGACGACAGTGGAGATGGTGAAACGTGTTGTGTTTGTGACAAATTCACGCCGGGTGAACTTAGGCAATGCACAAATGTAACTTTTGTGAATTGGGCTCAGTGCACGAGACCTTAAGTTCTGCACGCATGTACGATTTGTACGAAGACATGGCGAATTCTTTTGTTCCCACTGTCAGCCAACATCACATGAGGAATAAAGCCTAGATGGTGTTCAGACTGTATATACGTTGTTATTTGCAAAGTTTAGTTGATATTGAAGGGCTACAAGTATTCATATGAAGACAAACACTCAGTGTCGGCATTCCCGATTTATGGTGAGTAAATATTTCCATACATTACTCGACAATACCAACTTTTCGTGCGTTGTCGTCGAAAAATGGTGACGTCACTTGTGTGTACACAAATATAGGTCGGCCATTATCGATCGCTGCACCGGCGGAGAGAAACATCGAAAATATATATAAACAAATCAAAGTAAGCTGTTTTAAACACTTGATTAATGGATTATGAAAGGATACGTTTTGGTTCTGATTAGTCCGCAATCGATGACATTATTCTCTTACACCGTCGAAAAATGGAGAAACCAGGGTAAATTTCGAAACAATTTTGCGAGGGCACGAGGCCTAGCCAAGCGGGATCAGTAGCCATATCTGTGCTTGTAGATCTCTGCGGCTTGAAACCTTCTCCACACAAAAAAATAGTTGGATTTAGCCGAAATATATTTGAATTGTTACCTTGTTTCGTTTTGTCGCTGTGTGTACATCTGACTACACTTCTTAACGTTATAACAGGACAGACCGACTGTCAACAACGTCTGACCGTGGCCGTGACGTCTCATAGACTAGGGTTAGAGTAGCTTCCCTTTGACAAAGGGCAGTTACTCTAGCGGACAGACCGATGGATTGCCGCGAAAGGCAATTAAAAACAATTGTTGTTTTGCGTTTATGTTGCTTCGCCACTGCATAAGAAATAGATTTCAGTTGGAACTTTATTGGCTACTGTCACTGTCCGACTGACACATCACTTACCCTGTGACGTAATAAATATTAATGCGCGCATTCCAGGAAAACTCGCAATGTTTCTGTAATATTTGTGAGAGAGGGAAAGCGATTTTGAAGTACAGAATTAAAGAATGACATTATATGATAAAGAGGTTATCACGCTTGTGTGTTTGGGGGTGGTAAATATCCTGTATTAGGAATAAACACTATGTATTTAGCTCGCCAAGGCTCGCTAAATACAATGTTTATTCCTAATGCAGGATATTTACCATCCCATAACACACTCGCGTGATAACCTCTATGTATATCGCCAAGGACATTGTCATTATTTGCTTTACATCCTCCGAGCAACGTTATAAAATTTGAAACTTGAATAATAATAAATTGATATTATGTATATGAACATGTATAAATCAGCTTGCACACAGACTACTGCAGAATGACATGTCATCCATTTGCTAGTTTAGTTTAGTTTAAACATATTTTATTCACAGAACAAAATGAGAATTGTATTGGGGACAAGTTCTTGCAACTTAGTAAACCCCTCTCCGCATAAAATATGTACAAATATACAGTTGCAATATAAATAAATTTGCTTCAGTCAGTAAAAGTCAGACTTTCCACATTTACACATCAATATATTTGTGTAAGTTTGTTACGTTATAATTATTCCATTGTGTATATTACTACCTACTTTACCAATTGAAATATGATTCCATTAGGTTAAATATGAACAATTATGATGAAAATCGTCAATAAGATATATTACAATTAAGTACAAAAAACACAGAGTATTTCTCAAATAAATAAGAAAACTAAGTTCATTCTAGTAATTAATCCTCTTCTGGACAACCATAGAAATGAAATTCCAATGCGTTTATATTATTATACATATAATTATACAACAATGTACGATATCGACCTCAATCCTCCCCCACACCCATACTTTAATGACGAGTGTACGATAAACCCTGTACAAACCCTGACAAGGATAGGTTCTAGTCATTTAACGCCTTTGACACTAAACTTATGAGGTTATTACAATTTACGTAAAAAGTTATTACATTTTACCGCAAGTTGAGATTATTACAATTTACGTCAATTTTTATTACAATTTGCGTATTACAATTTACGTCAAATTTTATTACAATTTACGTTGTTATTACAATTTACGTCAAAATTATTACAATTTGCTGCAAGTATTTCAATTTACCTTTTTATTACAATTTACGTCGTAACATGGGTAAATCAGTGAAAGGGAGTCGGCTGTCTGATGGTTATTGAGCATTGAACAAGTTAAACTTCTTGGCCAAATTACCTTGTTTTGACTTTGCCAATCCGAGCAGAAATTCAATTAATATGCACCACGACACAGATCCACAAGAAGGGGGAACAATTGGTGCCCATAGGGATGGCCACTTCTTGCCTAAATGTCTTACCCTCACGTTCATAGTGTCTACATGATTTTAGTACTTCCGCGGTATTTTCAGGTACCTGTGCAGTGTCTGGTTCGCTGGTCTCAGTAAATATTAGGTTATCTCAACAGATCTGCGGCGTTGATCTACCATATACTCTTTCACCTGCAGAGTTTGATATACTATGTAACGAAAGATACCTTTGGGCATTCACCCACTTGTGTCTGAAGCGCCTGAATATCCTTCTTAGGTTTTCTTTGTCTGAAAGCTTCTTACTGACTCAATACCAAATTCGATTCTTACAACATTCTCATTAAGATTATCTAAATCTGCAATCTTTATTTCAAGTCCAGAAACTTTAACTTGGATGTCAAGAATGGATTTCTCTATCGTGTCGTTTTGCAAGTTTTATTTTTTTAAGTAGATGGATAACTGTGTTCATATTAGGGTCACTTGAATGAGTGTAGCAGGAGTGTACTCCGGCGTGGATTGTGCTCATGTCAGTCCCTGGATTGTCGTGTCCAGTGTTGATTGTTTACAGACCGCCACCATACAGCTGGAACAACTGCTGACTGGGACGTTTAACAAACAAACAATAATGTAAATAGTGTAAATGTATGGCTTCAAACATCTTGAATACATTTCAGTTGTCTTAAGTTTTCTAAAACTCAGAAGTGACCTTCAGTCAATGGTATCAATATGGAGACCGAGGGTGGGTTTGTGGTTCACCTGGGATCGATTACAAGCACTGAGGCAACCAGCTAGCTTTTCACTCGTTTACTCATTCAACCAAACTCATAAAAACAATTCATCACTAAAAGCATACATGAAAGAAGATCCGGGCGGGCGCGAAAAGGGTCTACAACAACCTATGCCTTTAGTAAGAGACGACTAACTAGATCTTGAAGTCAGGCTCGCTGACCTGGTTGATGCATGTCATCGTATCCAATTTGTGTGGTTTAATGCTTATGAATTCAATATCTGGATTGTCTGATCTAGACTCGATTATTGACAGACTGTGGTCATGTAGCTGTAATATTGCTGAGCGCGGCGTTCAACGACAAACAACATGAAGAGGGTCACTTTGATGGTTTATTTAAACCTTCAACCTTAATATAACGTCTGTGTATATACGCGTGTGCATTATATCCACCACCACTCCCTGAAAACAGTAATGATCACACCGACTTGTGACAAGTCCCCCATAAGTTACACATACCATTTGTTATGCACTCAGATTTTGCCAGTTGTGATGGAATTGTCCAGCTTACTTATAATTAGGCCGATCTGCGTGAAATTAGATGCTGAGAACCTGAGTGACAGTTTAGATAACTTATTCATATTGGAAAACAAACTGGAAAATAAATCCAAAAAATTGTGATACAAGCAATAGAATAAAACTCATTATAAAAAAACTCACTGTCTAATAAGACCCTTGGATGAGGGAAAAACACTAAAATGGGCCTCACACATTGTACCCATGTTGACAATCCGACCCGAGTCTTCGGTGTGGCGAGCAAACGTTTTAACCACTCGACTACCCGCTCAACCCATGTATATTAATATGTATGATGAAGTAACGTAATACAGTGCTGAATAGTGAAGAATTTGTGACCATACAAGAGCCATACACATACACACACATGTGCATGCACGTCGCTATAGAAGTGCAATAATCTTGGACGCGACGTCAAACCCAATTTCACCTTACATTTGAGCTGTGTGACAAATTGCATGTGTAACAAAGGGTAGGATACCCTGGTGAAGATAGCTGAAGCGGTATTATCATTGAAGCATGTCCAGTACAAACTGCTTCACCTTCTCAACACAGATTTTCTTAATTATCGTCACATTTGGCTCATTGCCCATTCTATCCTTCCAGTCAACGACCATTTGACCTCGGGTCAGGTGTCCGTGTAGCTCCACAGTTGCATGAACAGCCTCCTTGTCCAATATGCTTTCCCTGTCCAGCACTGTTGTCATGGCAAAAAGATCACATGACCGGAAACCAGGTTGTCGTCTGCTCTTGACTTTCTCAATCCAATGTTCGGTGATTTTCTTAAAGAAGTTAGCTCTCGGGGTGCCTAGGCCGATCCATTTGTCGTAGACAGCCTACAAATATGTGCGAAAATAAATTGAATACGGTTTGTACTTAACATGCAGATTTTATGAGAGTTAAAAATCTTTATGATTTGACCACGACGATTAGATTCTCTCAGACGTTTACAAGAAGTCGTATATTCCATTATTATCAAGATATCTGCATTATCAATGGTAGATAGCATGAGCAAATATCCAGGCCATGACACAATTAATCAGGTAACACCTTAACATCTCAAGCCTCATTCGTCGACTCTAACAAAGGGAACCTGTGTCAGCCTTTGGGAATTCCGTTATAAAAAGTAGCTGAGAAGACTTATGGGAACATTACTTCACCAGTCCTTAGAGTTTGTAACTATTTCTGCTTGAGCGAGACAAACATGTTTACCATCTATTTATTGTCAGTATGTAGAAACTCAAAAGCACTTAGAATTAAAACTCTCAAATGCTACAAGGCAATGGCGACAAGTAGTAGTATAGGGAATGGGGTTTCTGGACCGCTGCCACCTATACCAGATTCATACCCCAACACGTTAATGCGGGGGAAATGACCTCTGTAGTAACAGTGTTGGGTTATGAATCTGGTCTTGGTGGCAGTGGTTCAGAAGCCCCCCTTCCCTATACTACTCGACTCCCATCACTTGATTTGACTACCTAAATCTAATAGTCTCGAGCTAGCGAAGAGTGCTCTGAATGCAAATAACAGACCGAGGATCATAATCCACATTCAGCGGATCCTGGCAACTCGAGGGGAAAAAATTCGTAATATCGGTGGCTTAGACCACGAGATTACGCGTGACTTTGTGGAGAAAGTGCTGATTCGGTTTTACGCCGCAACGCGTCAGTAGCATGCAAACTTCCGTCAGCATTCATTAAGGTAGTTCATATCCATACCCATGGTATCTGCCTCTGTGTATCCAGACAAACCTCCCACGGAATAATAGACAGTGGGGCCTTTAGCGAACTCAGGCAGATGTATGCGGCTTCAGGGTCGATATAAAAGTTGAACTCCGACGAAACCGTGACGTTTCCACGAGCTGAAAGAAAACAAAGCAGTTCGGAAGTACCTAATCGTTCACCCGTCTGTCTCTGTGAGATCTACAACAATGGTATTGTGGGACTTGGCAGTCTTCCCGGGCCTCTGTTCGTATGAAGACATTGAGGCATAGTAAAGGTAATTATCATCTAGCTGAACCGAGTTGCGTTCAATAGCCCTACAGGACCCGCTGGTCATAAGTTCGACCCTAGAAACGTGAAGATCATGATCCTTAGTCTGTCAGCAAGATGGCACTTGTTGTTACCCTGCCTGGCGCTCAGTATTAAGGGGATAAACAAGGGACTGGTCAGCTCGGAGTCAGTGCATTGTGTCAGAGTTTGGTATCCATGTTAAGCTGGGATATGGTATCAAAGTTAGTTAATTCTATAAAACTGACAGTAAACAAACACAGACAGACAGACACCCACACACACCCACACACACGCACTCACGCACGCACACACACACACACACACACACACACACACACACGAGAAGGTAAGAGGCTACATCAGCGCCATAATTTTTAATGTTAAACCCAGTTTCATTTCAGATCACGCCATTATTATGGTCATTTCAAATCCAATCCAATCCAATCAATACAGGCGACACAACGTGGGTTACAGCCAGAGATGTGTGGTGGCCTTGTGGTGCAAGTGTTGGTTCGTCCTACGTGAGTGCGACACGTCAAGCCTAATGCTGGGACCCCCGCCGTTACCAAACTGGCATGTTTCTACACAAGGTAAAACCCAACTGACTGACATGAAATGAGGTTTAACGCCGCGGTCAATGTTATTTGCACTTATTCACCGACATGCATGTGTGCGAGCGTGCGTGCGTGCGTGTGTGTGCGCGCGCCAGGCAGTGTAACAGAGAGTACCATATTTAAACATATTTTGGTACGACGCGGCCGAGGATCGAACTACCGACCGTTCGGAGGCTCTATCTACCAGATCACATAGTCGGACGCTATAGTTAGAGGTTTATGTTCAAACACTACTTCTATGACTAGACGGCTGTGGTAATTCTAGAGCCAATGTGTTGGGCTTTAGGCTTTAGGCGATGGGCATGTTCACCTGGTTACTTATCTGACTACACACCTAGAACCTACCCAGGGGATGTTTGTATCGAGGCAAACCTCATACGGGAGGATAGCTATATTCTTCAGCTCTCTCAGTGAAATAAAGGCTGCCTCACAGTCACAGTAGAAGTTGTGCTCAGCTGATGTGCTCAGTCTTCCCTTACCTGGAAACAAATCACACAAAGAAGTTTGTATACATAGTGTGATTATATTCTTATAATTAAATTGTGGCCAATTACTTGGGTTTCGAACCATATGGTCAGAAATTGCAGGTACATACATGTATATCAATACTGGTAAAATAATAGAGTCTTTGTCAGAGAAGTTACCTTTTTCTTTAAATCCTTCGAGACACACACTTTTAACTTACAATGTGCCTAGAATGAAGGTGTGTTTGTGTGTGTGTGTGAGAGAGAGAGAGAGAGTGTGTGTGTGTGATATGTGTGTGAAAGAGAGAGAGTGTGTGTGTGAGAGAGAGAGAATGTGTGTATGTGATATGTGTGTGAGAGTGTGTGTGTGTGTTTGTGTGTGTGATATGTGTGAGAGTGTGTGTGAGTGATATGTGCGTGAGAGGGAGTGTGTGATATTTGTGTGAGAGTGTGTGAGTGTGTGAGAGTGTGCGTGTGATATGTGTGTGAGAGAGTGTGTGTATGTGATATGTGTGAGAGTGTGTGCGTTTGTGTTATTTGTGTGTGAGAGAGAGTGTGTGTGCGTGTGTGTGATGGTAAAGCCCCCCCCCCCCCCCCCCCCCCCTTCTCAAAATAACTAAAAGATAAAAAGAAAAAGATACATTAAAAGACAAACCAAAAAAATACCGAAAATCCAATGCTCGGTCCCTTACCTTCAATATTACCTCCCATGATAAACACCTCCTTTAGTTTCTGTCCAAGGTCTGGATCAAGGCGCAACGCAAGGGCGATGTTGGTCAGAGGCCCCAGGGGAATTAGAGTTATCTCCCCTATGCCGTAACGATCACAGAAGTTGCATTATTCAATTTTCGAGAACCAAATTAATTATTTAGGAATCACAGTATAATGATTTATGTCTTCAAAATTAAAAACAAACCATAACACTTATCTATTCATAAGATGGTTTACGGATTTCTGTTTCTTAAAACCATTGGCCGGTGGTCGAAATAGGGATAAAAATAAATTCCAAATAAAACTAGATAATATATTTCGGGTTTGTAAGCATGTATAAGGTCACTGGGATGCGAAATAAAAACAAATTTCAAAGTCACTATTTTTTTTTCGCATGGCACTTTGGTGATATGTTACAGAATTGTTTCAAATTTTTAAAAATTTAGGAACAAAGGCACACATGGGTTGAAGTAACGGTGAATCTGTGAATATTTGAGCAAACAATTACGGGTCATTGAACTTGTCGCAGTCAGTCAGGTTAACAACTTGCGATATTTCCTTTTCATTACCTTGATTATCAGACAGGGCGTTAATTAATTCATTCACCACTAGATTTTGTCCTGCATTCCTGGTTGTTTGACTGTAAACCAAATAAATAACAAATATAACGTCATACCTGGATACTTGTTGATAAGTCTTAGTATAGCCATTACAGCATGTTCCGACTGTAGGTCTGCGATATCCACCTCCTCGGACCACGTGACGTCACCCATTCCGTCCACCCCGTGAAAGTGAGACGCATCCGTTTCGTTGTCAAGGATGGGGCGATCTGCACCTCTGTATACAGGAATCTGAGCCACAGGGGGCGGGCACTTAGTGAGGAGGGTTGTGTAAGTTAATGACAGTGGCAAAATTACATAGATTAAAAAATAAATTCTGTGTGTGCTTCTGTTTGTTTGTTGTTTAACTCTGCACTCAGCAATATGTGCTCCGTAAGTTGTGATGTACATGTCTGTCACATACTCACATCCTGCTTGCCACATTCCTTGAGGACTCGGAGCGTGTTGACGCACACTTTGTCTAGGTCTATATTTCCCCGTACACACGTGATCGCCAAGACCTCCACATCAGCTCGCGACAGCAGCAGCATCAACGCCGTGGCGTCGTCAATCCCGGTGTCTACGTCAACAATCACCTTCATATTTCTCCTTTTGAAGTTGCACTGTTATTTGACCTTGAAAAAGAGATGTCAGTACAGTGGTTGTTTTCGGCAACGTTAAGACACAATATCATACATTTACAATAATATACTAATGGTGAAGAGAGGCGAGATGAGATTAACGTCGCGTTCAAGATTATTGAACAAAAAGACTCCGAGTTGAGCTGTCCTTATTTTATCGTTTGCCGAGCGTCAGGCAGGGCAACAACAAGTACCATGTTTTAACATTTTTTATATGAAGCGGCCGGGTATCGAACCACCAACAGTCCGCTGGCCAGGACACGTTATGGAAATGACAACGTAACTGTTTCGAAGATTAAACGATAGGCTTTAGTGTATTATTAACTCCGTGACATTTTTACTAAGATGAAATATAATCTTTCTTTTTTTTAAATTAGCTCAGAATTAGTACATGTTTTATAGGGTCTTTGACAAGCCTGTTTAAAGGTTGGACGAATTATCCGTATTAAAAAATCACAACAAAAATAAATAGAAAAAAAGGGTTAATTACGACTCAATAAATAGATATGGCACAATTGTTAAGATTAAGCTGAATCATAAGGTAATGTCTGTGTTTACAAGGCAAATCATAAGGTGATACTTTACTCAACCTTTAAACTTTGTTACGAATCACAAATTACTCATAACTTGATAATCAAGCTAAAAAAAGCCACCGCCTGCACACTCTGATAATTCTATCCAAAGTTGAGTATTTTGCTAAGGGTAATTTTGTAATTTAAGTAATTCACGTACATCTATATAAGACTATTCCCCTATTGTGTCATTTATGTAACGACACACATTAGATAAATAATTACTAAAACAAAAAAAGATCGAAGTCACGTTTATTTGCCTTACTGGTAGATCTGGGGATCGAACTCTAAATGTGAATTCATTTCAATCGAGTGTTCAGAATGTCAACTTTTGGAGTGGCCTCCCTTCCTCCTTGTCTGCAAGCCCGATATTTTTAAATCACTGAAAAGGTCTCTCGTGTTCCTTATTCTGCCTGTTGCGCATTATTCATATGATCGCGTTCTTTGATAACATTTGGAATTTACAAGCCAGGCCCTTTGGGAACTAAACCTGTGCTGGAAACTTGAACACCAGTATTATCACAACTCACCGGACCATGTAACAAACAAACTCGCAGACGAGGCTGAATATGTCTGTCACATGGTCCTGTGCTGTGCACAACTGAACACGTGCTTGTAGTGCAGTGGAATCGTGTGCGGTGGGCTGAATAGCTCAACTCACTACATCAATATCGCACAAGGGGTATATAATGCTTCAGTGTTAGAACAATACGCAGGCATCTTACCTGCTAATAGATGACAAGCAAGCTGAACGCTAGCTGGGGCTTCCCAGGTCACGATTCGTATTGAGGTCAAAGGACAAGTCGTGAGCTCGCACTTTCGAAAACGACGTGATCTGGTTTACTGTCAGCGATATCAGCTAACTTTTTGTACTTTATATGCAAGCCAGTTATTGTACATGTAGTCACTTGTGTGTGTGTGTGTGTGTGTGTGTGTGTGCTTTGTTCAATATATATATATATATATATATATATATATATATATATATATATATATATATATTCATCCACTCCTATTACAGACATGAAATTATAACATTCATTTCGATAATTAGTGTGAAGTATCATTAATCCATGCTATCAAAAGGGAATTTATTTCGAATGCTAATATATATATATAGCGTACATGTTCGTGTTTATAATACTTCCTTAGTTCCTTTTGAGAGCTTCCCCTAAATCCTCACACGTACAATTAGGACCTGTGAAGATCCGGGGTAGAATACGTCATCAGCAACCCATGCTTGCCGTAACAGGCGACTATGCTTGTCGTAGGAGGCGACTAACAGGATAGGGACCGCTGACTTGGTTGATGCTGTCATCGCATCCAAATTGCTTTGATCGATGCTCATGATGTCAATCACTGGATTGTCTGGTCCCGACTCGATTATTTACAGACCGCCATCATATAGCTGGAATATTGCTGAGTTAAACAGCAAACAAAAGACGCAAAATTAGCTCACGCTCCCATTCAAGCACCCGCCCTTGTTAACCATCAGCTTTTCTGTCACTCCTGCAATGTTATTCACACCCACTCCCATTACAGACATAATATTTATTTGGATAATTAGTGTGAAGTCGTATAATTAATCCATGTTATCAAATGGGAATATATTTAGAATTCTTATAAGGTACTATTGTTGAGTAGGTATATCGTACTCTTAGGTGAAGGCATAAGTGGGACTGGGATTTGGAAATAGCACCAGAACTGTCAGACATTGGGCACTCCTTTCCAGTTACCAACTCGGAATCCGCCTAACGGAATGTCAGATAAGGCATGGAGGTAAGAACGACTAGAGGGGTGGAATAGTCCAATGGTAAATTAGAACGATGATAGTTTTGACGTAGGGACCAGGTTTTAAAGGAAGAGCGGACCTCAAGCTCGTGTGTGTGGTGCGCCCCGCTCTTGTCTTGTTGTCACTATCTTCCGAACCAGAAACCAGTCTGAGGCACCAGTATTTCGAGTGAGACTAAAGCCTTGCCGCCGAAATCTGTTAATTAATTGACAAATATCGTGGGTTTGACCAGCATCACAAAGAGTGAATAAAAGCTGTAAAGAGAGGAACACCCTCTTGTGATTGCTTAGGGAACTACGGTGAAGGTCAAAGGGCCCTCTAGAACTGACACTAACAGAGGGCACGTGAGTTGGTGGCTGCCAACAGGCGTGGTGTGATGGGACTGTTGGCCGTTGCACGATTGATTGCACAAATAACAGAGGTTGTGAGGGGACTGTTGGCCGTTGCACGATTGATTGCACAAATAACAGAGGTTGTGAGGGTTCCAGCAGGCGTTGTGGGGGGACTGTGCGCCGGTTGCACAATTGATTGCACAAATAACAGAGGTTTTTAGGGTGCCAACGAGGCAATGTGAGGTACTGGCGAAGGTTGCACTGACTGCACAAATAACAGGCTTTGAGGGTGCCAGCAGGCGTTGTGAGGTGACTGATTGTCAGGGAACATAGACCTTGGAGAGGAGACACCGTGCCGAAAGTGCCAGACAGAACTCTCTGTGTGACATTCTGACCTTTTATATAGTGCAAAATAGTTCCTTTGGATAGGGCCTTCAAACAAGGTGAGCCATATATTATTACATTGCATTAAATACTAATTTGAAAGAACGGGACCCTGACACCCACCGATAGAGAAAACCCAAACTCCATCAGCCCTGTCAATCAACAGTGTTTAACAGCAGCTGCCACCAGTACAGGTTTGTGGCCCTATTCTCATTGCGATTCACGAATAAGGTCGCTCCATCTGATCTAGATACCACTTCAGCCATAATTAGCAGGCCAGTACTGGCCAACCCCACTACCGGTCGGATGGTCACCATTCACTTCTACTGCAGCAAAATCGCAAATGTTGCAAACTGATATTTTAGCACCCCGACCACACACAGCAACTGTTGTTCAAGTTAGAGGCCAGGGATGGTTGAAGAAACTTGAGTGCTATTGTAGAAGAACTATTTCCCCAATACCTACATTGGATAATCCAAGGCATCACACTGGTTCGAGGGAACACTGTCTGGGGACAATTGCTCTTGGCAAATTTTAAGGAAAACGTTCTTACAAGGATATGCTCCCAACTCAATGTTAAGCTGAAAAGGGCCAATGATCTGATGGACAGGAACCAACAACTGTCAGGGCCGTTTGCGAACGTCCTACAAGTGGTCAGACACAAGCAGCCATAATTGACCGGAATAATGATGATTTCGTCAGGGGTCTCGTTCTTGGAAATACATGTCAAAAAGTAAAAGGAATTGTACTTACAAAGACCACACTCTGCACTTGCTGAAGTTATACAGACCGCAGAAATCGCTGACGCTACCACTGCCCCGAGGACGAGTCGAGAGTACTGCATGCTATTAACTTACTGAGCAACAGCTGCTGGACGAGTTGACAACAAATTTGCGACAGTCTTCACTCCAACCAGTAAATGTTGTTGATTTGAGCCAGTACCTACATGATCAAACCCCACAAGACACACAGACCTGCCCTGAGCTCCCCAGCAGCACACACACAGCAAACGTTTTACCCTCCTCGGAATAAAAGTTATAACCCAGGGAAAACCTCAAATGGCCTCAATAGCCGTTTCACTCAACAGGAAAACAAATTATCAGAAAGTTTTTCCTCTCCGTGAAACTCTATGCAGAACGGGCCCTTATATGTGTAGGGGATGTGGTGGTATGTTACACTTCCATCCTCGCGAATGCAGGGACAGGCTGATAACTTTTACTGTTGTCACCAACAGGGACATATTGTCAGGTATCACAGCCGTCCACATGATGCCAAGAATATGGAGGTATGCCCCACAAACCAAGTAGACAGTACCCCAGTCAGTTGGAAATTCTGCTAGCAAGCTTTTCACAACAAGACAGCCTCCTGGTCTAGTGGGAGAGCGGAAGGTCGGGGATTCGATCCCCGGGCGCGTCATATCAAAAGACGTTAAAAGATGGTATTTGTTGTTACCCTGCCTGGCGCTAGACATTAAGGGGCTAAAACAAGGACTGGTCGGCTCGGGGTCAGTATACTGTGTCTGCAACATAGTATCTCAGTGGGCTAGCACTATAAAATTGGCATTAGTTTGGACTAGTACAAGTACTGGTCGGCTCGGAGTCAGTTCGCTGTGTCCTAGTGGGGTATCCAAGTTAACTTCAACATGGAATCTCAGTGGGCTAACACTATAAAATCGGCATTATTCTTGACTAGTACAAGTATTGGTCAGCTCGGAGTCAGTATACTGTGTCTGAGTAGGGTATCAATGTTAACTGCAACATGGTATCTCAGTGGGCTAACACTATAAAATCGGCATTACGTCAAGTGCTAGTACAAGCAGTACAAGATGAGAGTATAGCCTTTTAGGCGGATTCTTGTCATTAGAGAGTATAGCCTTTTAGGCGGATTCTTGTCAGATGAGAGTATAGCCGAGGCTGGTGCACAGGCATCAATCGCCACCAGACCCGTAAAGATCCGGGGTAGAATAGGTCTTCAGTAACCGGGGGGGGGGGGGGGGGGGGGGGGGGGGGGGGGGCACGGGTGGTCCAGTCGTCTAAGGCGCCGCGATTCGCTGTGCAGAGTTGCGTCCCTTTGGCACGCCTGAAACCTATGATTGTGGGTTCGAATCCCGGTTCGCCTCGATTACGTTTCTTGGTTTGTCAGCACCATACCCGTGCTCGTGGGTTTCACCGAAGTGGTAAACGTCTGAGACCTGCATCACTTTGGGCTTTCCTCCCACATTAAGCTGACACGCCGCGATATAACTGGAATACTGTTAAAAGCGGCGTTAAACCTCACTCACTCATTCAATCACCACAGACCAATGGGGGCCTATATTCCTCCCTCAACATTTAGACTCACCTACCCAAAGGCAAATCCAAGTTACACTCATGGTGCTTGATATTCTTAAATTACCCCCACCAACCCACCCATATACACACACACAAACATAAAACCACAAAGCACACAATAACAACCAGAAACAACATCGACTGTGACAGTTATGTATTGGCTGGCTGCTCCTTTTTGAACGAGCCGTGGCTCAGGGCTGCACAGTGTCGCATACATGATTATGTACATAACATTTTATTCGCTATTATACATTTATCCATTGAGATGCCCTTGAGTGTAAATTGTTGTGAGAAATCAATAATCGGACGGGATGTATATCTCCCCGGGAATGAAATAGAAGTGACACCCTTTCAAGTTGTCTATCCTTTATATTATATTGATAGTTATGAAGTATTACATTGGTGTGTGACCCTTTCAAATTGTCTGTCCTATATATTATATTGATAGTTATGAACTATTACACTGGTGTGTGACCTTTTCGAATTGTCCTTCCTTTATATTATATTGATAGTCATAAAGTATTACATTGGTGTGTGACCCTTTCAAATTGTCCTTCCTTTATATTATATTGATAGTCATGAAGTATTACACTGGTGTGTGGCCTTTTCGAATTGTCCTTCCTTTATATTATATTGATAGTCATAAAGTATTACATTGGTGTGTGACCCTTTCGAATTGTCCATCCTTTATATTATATTGATAGTCATGAAGTATTACACTGGTGTGTGACCTTTTCGAATTGTCCTTCCTTTATATTATATTGATAGTCATAAAGTATTACATTGGTGTGTGACCCTTTCAAATTGTCTATCCTTTATATATTATATTGATAGTTATGAAGTATTACACTGGTGTGTGACCCTTTCGAATTTTTTCTTCCTTTATATTATATTGATAGTTATGAAGAATTACATTGGTGTGACCCTTTCAAATTGTCTATCCTTCATATTATATTGAGAATTATAGAGAACCACGTTGGTGTGTGGCCCTTTTGAATTGTCAATCCTTCATGTTATGTTAAGAAATAGTGAGATATTGGTGTGACGCCTCTGTAATTGTACTATTCACAACATTGTGATTTATTGTAATTTTCGCAAGGATGTGACCCTTTTAAATTTGTCGATGCTGTTCGTGGTTCTGAGAATTATTGTCCCGGGTACATTGTCCATGATATTCACGGTATCATGAATTCATGGAAAGTAATATTTGACAAACCCTCATTAGAGAGTTCAATAGGGTGATAACCCGCGACAAGTCTGAAAACATTACATATGCGTTACTCCTCAAATAGTTTTAGTTAGAAACCAGTGTGTTATGTTATCAAATTGTGATTGTTAGTCCAAAAGGATTGTTGTTTTCTAACCGGACTTGTGTATTCAGATGTATTCTATTGTATGTCATTAGGTTGCGGTCCAAAACAATAGTCAAAACAAAACAAAACAAAAACCCTCTTATCATAGGCATGCAATTATGATATTTATTTAGATAATTAGTATGAAGTTGTATCATTAATCCAAGTAATTAAGAGGCAATATATTTCGAATTATATTAAGGATTGGTATTGGTAAACCTTTTTTTAAATATTTGATACAAAAATACTCCAATTCTTTTATATTGAGCAGAGGTCTGGGGCGTACTGAATACAGAACTATTGAACTGGTCCATCTATATGCTTGTAAACGATTCCTTGGCGTAAAAAACTCTACATCGAGTGTTATGGTATATGGTGAATGTGGACGTGTACCACTTTACATATTTCAACATATTAGAATTCTCAAGTATTGGTTCAAGATTCTTAAAATGCCTATTGATAGATTACCTAGAAAATGTTACAATATGATTTTATTGTATGAAAAACATTGAATCAGCAATTGGGTATATCATCTATCATGTAAAGTCGTTATCAAATGATTGCGGCTATGGGTATGTTTGGCATAATCAACAGATTCATTTTTAGTATCTTTACGCCAAAGACTTAAGGATATATACTTACAAAAATGGGCAGACTTAAGGACACATACTTACAAAAATGGGCATCGCATGTTTCAAGTTCAGAAAAATGCAATTATTACAAGCTTTTCAAGACAACAATTTCCCCAGAATACTATTTGTTTGGCATCAACCTTAAAAGGTTTAGAATAAGTTTAGCACAATTTAGATGCAGCTGTCATAGACTTAGGATCGATGTAGGCAGGCATGGAAACATAGCGAGAGAATTGAGAATATGTGAGCAACGTGGTTTAAATGTGATTGAAGATGAGTTTCATTTTCTGTTAGTTTGTCCAAAATACGACCACCTTAGAAGAAAATATACTGATCTGCCTTGTTATGTACATCCCACTCTACAAAAAATTATAACGATCATGTCAACAACTGATAAAGATACTCTAAAAAAATCTATCAATGTTCATTTATCATGCTATGTTAATTAGAATATGACCTGTTAAACGGATCTGTAACCACTTCCGAAAACAAACTTGAACTATGGGCCTGAGGCCTTTCAGTATGGAATAAAACTTATCCTACCCCGACTATTAGTTATTATCATATGCTTCAGTGTGACACAGTGATATTCTCATTGCACTGAAAATAAACTTGATGTTTCTCTGCAGTGAAGATAACACTGTGACAGAACTATTGTCTTACAAGAGTTACCTTCCCACCAATTATCTCCCTTTTAGCCAATACGCAAACTGTTGAGTAACGTTAGAGGTACGTTACGTTAGTTCCACATTGACATGGCAAAATAGTGACAGATGGTCATTTATGGAGTTAATATCGGTTCTTGCCATTTGTTATTCTTTTGAAAATGTTTCGTTATAAACTGTAAATTTCTCATTTAACTCGTCAATCGCCATATGTGTCACTTGTCATTTGTGTATTCTTTCGCTTATAACGACAGTCTCGAAGATTTCAAGAACATAGAATGTTGAAGTTCATTTTGCATATATTCATATCCAAATTTATGATAAAGAATTTTAATGACATAAAATATTTTTGGATACTTTTATTAATATTTTTGCAAACAAGGGACTGCTTTTTAAGTCGCACTTACAAGAGGTAGTGAAACGTTTCAAGGTTTTAGATTTGTCATAAAATAATTCCAATTTCCCGGTAGAAATCTACACAAAAAGCATATAATATATAAATAGGATTTTCGATGTTTCTCTCTTTTCGTGAGATATTTTCACTCGTGCGCCTAAGACAACTTGATCATCCGTGCACCCTTATATGATATGATGTACAAACGGTACATATTTGAACTCACAAGTTTAGTGAAAATAAGGTTGAAGCCTTAACTATTCCTCATGGTCTTCCGTGGTGAGATTCAGAAGGAGAATTGGTCCTCGGTAACCAATGTTTGTCAAAAAGGACGACTAAAACGGTTCCGGTTCTATGACTTGATTGATAGCATGAAGCAGTATCACGACACTGCCTAAAATATCAATAACTGATTTGTCCGGACCAGACCTAATTATGTACACACCGCCATCGAATAGACGGAATATTGCTACGTGTTAAGCAACATGTAGTTTCTTTCAGAACGAATCTAATTCACTTCAGATGAGTGAGTAAGTGAGTATGTTTTTCGCCGATAGCAATATTCCAAAAATAACACGGCGGGAGACACCAGAAATGGGCTTCACACATTGTACCCATGTGGGGAATCGAACCCAGGTCTTCGGCGTGACAAGCGAATGCTTAACCACTAGGCTACCCCACCGCCCCTCTTCATATGAAGACATTGAGGCGGAGTGAAGGTGCTCTTTTGAAATCGTTGAACAGAGTTGCGTTCCTTAACCTATCCAGGATCCGCTGGAAATATGTTCGAATTCGAGATGAAGATGCGGATCCCAGTCTGTCAGCACCATGAGCGTGATCATGTTTTACAGAGCTCGTTATTTACAAGATGCAGTGATATTGATACAATATTGTTTACTCCCATTGGTGAATAATATTCACTCATTGACAGAGTCTGTGGTTATCTCTAGAACGTTTACAGATCAACTAAGCAAATGAAATTGCGGTGGAATTCGTTGTCGTTAATAACACAAACTCGCCTGGCAGCTGCAGATGACTGGGACGTAATAAATCGTTCCACGCTATCACGTTAACATCAACGCCAGGTGCTGCCATATTGATTATTTGTACTGAATAATTCAAACGAAAAAATCAGAATTTTCAGACATTGGAAAGGCAAGTAATATTTATATCAGAAATTTCCACATTGCGAAATACATAAACATTTATTTACACTACTCCAAAAATTTACCCAACCTTACATTTCGGTAATGTTATTTTTTTCTTTATCTATATGCAGCTTAGCATGACAATGTTGGCAAGAACAGAAAAAAACATTCTTAATTAAGTGTGATGACGTCATAAGATACACCAAATACGAATTGATGAAAAAAGCAAGGTTTTTTTTCAAAGTTTACATCACATGAACAAAAAGAAATCATAACAAGATATAGGGAAAAGTAAACGAATACTTTGGAACTTTCAAATCGTTTAATCATCTTCTGCAGGCTATAAGTTTCTTGTCCAAATGTTCTTACACAGATGGAGACTCCCCATTATACAGCGGACCACAACCGTCCCCCTCCAACACACCTGCTGGATAACATCGCCAGGGGTCTTTGGTTACTGTCTGCCATCCAAACAATTGTTTTTTCATGCTGGTTAGTACTGACTGGTATTCTGTTATGTTAGCTAAATTACGCAACTCCATTGGATCAGCATTGTGGTCGTACAATTCCCATTGGTCGCGGTAATAGTAAGTGTTCAGTGGTTTGAACCAATGGGTATCGACGTTGTTATGGGTACGGTTCAGAAGATCCAAGAAGGTCGGTGATTGGTAGATGTCACCAGCCAATGGATAAGGAGCATGGCTGTTCAAATTGTGGATTAATTTATACTGCTGTGTACGGAGGACCCTCATTGGATAAAACATTGTGACCTCGTGCATATCGTGGCTGGAGTAGACGAAGGAATACACGGGTTGGCTCGTGGCTGGGTCAGCTGCCACGGGGAGAAGGGATTTCCCCGTGAGTGTCACAGGCCCTTTGCCATCCATTTCATATTTAGGATAGCTGACGTTGAACCAGTCCAATACGGTGGGTGCAAAGTCCATTGTGCTTCCCATTGCCTCGGTGACCTGCACAAATACATAAGTGTCCGTGTATCGTTATAAATCCATCTTAACCAGATTTTTGCATTTACCCAAAACCAGTAGCTTGGCTTTGCAAGCACGACAGTAATCTATATTGATTATATGCTCTCGAAATTGATCGAGAAATAAGTTTGACAAAAACATTAATCGATGGACATTCTGAAACCAAAAAAAAACAAAAAAATTAAATGGTCGGTTCCCTACTGAAGGTGAGGTGAGGTGAAATGGGGTTTAACGTCGCGTCCAAGATTATTGCACTTATATAGCGACGTGCATGTACGTGTGTGTGTTTGTGTGGCTGCTTGTACTAGTCCGGACTGATGCCGATTTATAGTGTTAGCTCACTGAGATACCATGCAGCAGTTTAACATGAATACCCCACTCAGACAGAGTATACTGACTCCGAGCCGACCAGTCCTTGTTTTAGCCCCTTAATGCCGAGCGCCAGACAGGGTAACAACAAGTACCATCTTTTAACGTCTTTTGGTATGACGCGGCCGGGGATCGAACACCGGACCTTCCGCTCCCCGGGCGGACGCTCTACCACTAGACCACGGAGGCGGTCATTCCCTACTGAAAGCAGCTGAGACTGTTTAACGCTATTTGAACACTATTTCAGTTCTATGACGACGAAACCCATTGTGCTAGAGGTTCAGCACTTGAACTCCATGAGGACGTTAAGGCTGTCGAAGAGATCAGTGGATCCTTATGCACTAAGGAGCGCAACTCTTCACAGAACTTTACGGCCCTAAGTCAACTTGCAAGTAATGACGGGTCGACTAATCCTGGGACAAAGGGGTAACATTTTATCAAACATCCTAATGGTGCCATTGCACAAATGATGGTGTTGTCTCCATGTACCTTTCCCCAGTGTTCTTTATGGAGTGGTGAAGACACCATCATCGGCTCCCCCATGCCGGGGTCATACAGATTGGTCTTGGCCCCCGGGAAAGGGATGCCGTTGTCCGAAGAGAAGAGGATGAGGGTGTTGTCGATGAAACCAGCGTCTTCAAGCTCCTTGAGGAACAAGCCCAGGCCTATATACCAGATACAATAAAAAAGTAATTATATCTACATAACGATGATCAATGTTATCCTAAGAACTTAACTGAGGATTTTCATGTACAAGCAATAATATAGATCATCTCTTTCTTTAGAGCCCAAACCGTGAAGATCTGGGTTATAACAGGTCTTCAGAAATCCGTGCTTGTCGTAAAAGGCGACTACCGGGATTGGGTGTTCAGGCTCTATGACTTGGTTGATGCACGTCATCGTATTCTAATTGAGATTGTCTGGTCCAGACTCGATTATTTACAGACCGCCGACATATACTGGAATATTGCTGAGTGCGGCGTTAAACAACAAACAAACAACAAACTTTAGAGCTCTCATTCCAGTATCGCAAGTCGAAGTTAAAGCATGAGTGTTGCGACAGCCGCTGATCTATAGAATCGCTTCGTGGAATAGGACTTGGTCGAACAGCAAACCATCCCCATGAAAACATAAGTCCATGTTAAAGTATGGATTAAGGCAGTCGTGGCGCTAGAATCGCAACGTGGATTAGCCTGAGGTCGAACCACGAACCGCCTCACCGAATATACGTCCTTTGGCCAACTGACTAAGCATCACCTTGGTCCATCCTGCTGTAGGTCTTGTACATGTTGGCGAGGTCCTGGCGGGTGGCGGGTGTGTCCGGCAGGTAGTATGGCACTTCCACATCTTCAGGTCTGTATGTCACCGGATTCCAGTCAGGGATGACGCCGTGATGCTCTTGACCGTCACCAAAGCGTTCACAGAACTGTCCCAAATTGGGATCATTGCTACACCGATGAGGGTCGTGATAGGCCAGATACAGGAAAAATGGCCTGAAGCAGCAAGAGAGGTCACTTTGCCAGTACACAACAACATATGATCATGTCAAACCAGCCTAGCTAAATGTCATAGCTGTGAAGGGTGGCGCCTATGACACAAGACCCAGGTTCGATTACCAAAATGGTTAGAATTGTGTGAAGCCCGTGTATTCCCCACTAGGATGTTTCCCGGGGTGTGGCGATCACATGCCCCTCTCCTCGCATTAGTCTGTGACCTGGATGGTTCTAGTTATATTGAAAAAGATACGTTTGTCATACATATTTGGCCTTTGTCGAAAATGGTATTTTTGGGGTTGAATGTTTTCAATCTCTGCTTCAAAACATTTTATACAGATACACACATAACAGACAGGCGCTCACACAGGCGCTCACACAGACGCTCAAACACATTCTATGCACTGGACTCTCAACCCACCAACCCATACCTCATTACACAGACACATAACCTCCCCACCCCTACCACACAACCGACACCAAACAACATCCTCGCCCAAATCCAACAACCATATCACACACCCATGCCTATTAAATCATAAGTCCCATGGCCTCGTCATACAGAAGTCATCCACATGAATGTCGGAGGGACAGTTATAACAGTTGTAATGAAACCCCCCAGAGCGAATCCTATTCCCCGCCATTACCTAGTGTCTTTGGCATTGAGGAATTCTCTGACATATTTCTTCATATACGTGATGTTCCTTCCAACTTGATTCAAGTTGTTGTTCTCTTCTGTCTGTTCATAGTCAAACTTGTACACGTCATCAGGGCCAACGTGCTTCTTGCCAATGATGCCTACAAGAGTGAGTGAGAGAGTGAGAGAGTGAGTGAGTTGGGTTTAACGCCGCTTTTGAACAGTACGTATTCCAGTTATACCACGGCGTGTCAACCTTATTTTGAAGGAAAGACCAAAGAGATGCCTGTCGTTTTTGGTGAAACCTACAAGCACGGACATGGTGCTGACAAACCTAGAAACACCATCGGGGGATGCATACAAGAAGACATTGATTAAATGCCGGATACCAAGCTAGCTACCGTTGCCAACAGTACGACAAATAGGCCTGGCATGGATTGGGGCGACCGACTAATCAGGCATCTGTGTAGCAGCCCAAGGTCGAAGCTGTTGCTTCATTAATGAAATAATCTAAAATGTATATGTTTTTTTGCTTTTATGAGCTGCTACGTTGATTTAACATGGAAGTTTTTTAGACAACGGCACGACAAATGTTCATCAAGGTCGTGTAATTAATGATGAACCTGCAGTTACCTGCTGGAACTGATAAAACAGATGCCAGATCACGTGACCGCCAGTGATGCAGGCTGCAGCTGTGTGTCATACTGTAGGTCGAAAATGGCTGAATAATAGGTGGATTTACTTGGCGAAAACAGAATATAATCACAAGTTAATTAAGATTATGAGACAAAGGCATACGTGTAGCTGGGCAAATGCTTGGTTTAAAGGATCCGTCGAACAAAATGTCATAAATGAGGATAAGAGCAAAATTTTGAGATCAATCTCTCTTTTTGTCAATTCTGTTAATTAATTTTGATAATTAAATAATTTCAGGTACAAAAATGCGGAAGGGAGTAACATTTTATTTCTCACTTTAACTAAACAGACAATCATTTTGAAATTATATTTAATCTAAGTTTCGGCCATTTGACTAGATAGTTGATAATCCATTAAGCCTCCAATGAATAGGCCACATTGGTAACACGTAAAACCAAAGGCATTATAGTAACACCTGTTCTTCAACATATTTCTGTACCAGCTGACGCTACCGTATCCTCTCATCCGTTCATTGTATGATATCATTTTTCTCTTTATGTCTCTTACCTCCTGGTGCGTACACTTTACTTTGAATATGAAAACATTCCAGATCAAACAAAAAAAGTTTTTGTTGGGGCCGTAATTTTTTTGTTTGCAAAGCCCGTACCTGTTTTTGAATCCTCATTCAAGGTTCACTTTCGGTAAAATAAAGTATACGTATTTGGAGGTGACTGGTTAAGGAATATATCGCTTAAGTTTGTAGATTTTTTAAAATATTGTATGATTTAAGCAAACTGGAGAAGAGCACTGAAAAGCCTAGAGCGTACATTGGTCGGCACACCTTTGTTAGGGTCGATCCATAGCCCCCTGAAGTGATACATAGAAAAATACCTGTTATGAACAAGCAGCGAATGACGGGTTTCGTTGATCTATGTCTACTTGTTCCGTTACGAAGATAACGTCTTTGTCCGTGTGTGAACGTGTTGCGTTACTAAGGTGACGTCTTTGTCCGTGTGTATACGTGTTCCGTTACGAAGATAACGTCTTTGTCCGTGTGTGTACCTGTTGCGTTACTAAGGTGACGTCTTTGTCCGTGTGTGTACGTGTTGCGTTACGAATGTAACGTATTTGTCCGTGTGTGCACCTGTTGCGTTACGAAGGCAACGTCTTTGACCGTGTGTGTACCTGTTGCGTTACTAAGGTAACGTCTTTGTCCGTGTGTGTACCTGTTGCGTTACTAAGGTAACGTCTTTGTCCGTGTGTGTACCTGTTGCGTTACGAAGGTAACGTCTTTGTCCGTGTGTGTACCTGTTGCGTTACGAATGTAACGTCTTTGTCCTTGTGTGTACCTGCTACGTTACTCAGGTGACGTATTTGTCCGTGTATGTACTTGTTGCGTTACTAAGGTAATGTATTTGTCCGTGTGTGTACGTGTTGCGTTACTAAGGTGACGTCTTTGTCCGTGTGTATACCTGTTGCGTTACTGAGGTAACGTCTTTGTCCGTGTGTGTACTTGTTGCGTTACTCAGGTGACGTATTTGTCCGTGTGTGTACCTGTTGTGTTACTAAGGCAACGCATTCGTCCTTGTGTGTACCTGTTACGTTACTCGGGTAACGTATTTGTCCTCGTGTGTACCTGCTACGTTACTAAGGTAACGTATTTGTCCTTGTGTGTACCTGCTACGTTACTCAGGTGACGTATTTGTCCGTGTGTGTACATGTTGCGTTACTAAGGTAACGTCTGTGTGTGTACCTGTTCTGATCCCGGCATTGCTTAGGATAGTTGGAAGTGCCCGGACCGAGTCCATGCTGTTAAAATGATGCGGGTCCTGATGCAAACCAAACATCCCATTTTGGTGCTGGGGAAGGCCAGTCAGCAACACGGACCTAGAACAAACAAACAGGAGCTCTGACATGTGAATGAGAAATAATCCAGCTATATCCCGGCGAGTCCAAATAATCGCGTGGACTCTTTTCACATACACCGTACTGAGTGAAAACATTGAAAATACATAATCAATGAGTGGGTGAACTTGCAATTTGGGCTATAAAAGGAATTACAGACAAGAAACCGATTTCCACTTCGGCAAATACCCAGGTTCATTTACAGTTTATTCTCAATTCTAAGAGGGATCAGTTACAAGTTCACTAGTAAGACCAAACATCAGACTTCTATTCCTTGGAAATGTTCCCAACGAGGATGCCACACCATCACTTACACCAAAGATGACTTTGTCACGAAGCCCAACTATATGTCCCTGAGCAGTAGAACGACGCCACAGGTCATCTCGAGGGTGGCATCCAAATAAGTACAAATTCATTGAGGTACTGCAGGTTGAGCAGGGTAATGCTGCGATCACAACCCAGGCAGTTTGATGCCACCCGAGAAGAAGAAGCCTGGAAACCTAGACTATGCCCATGAGAAGGAGAAGAGACAACTTCTTGTCAACCGGAACGATTATCACCATGGTGTCTCACGCCTAGTTGGACTTTGAATTATGTAAATGGAAAGTTGAATGGGAAATTGGGCAAATAAGACAATATTGTATACAGCGCTTATTCTTTTCATTTACTGATTATTTTATATCTTAAAGTAAACTAATGTTGGATGTACGGGTGTATATTGCTTGAACAAACACGATGGGGATGATCTCTTGGCCAGCTGCTGAACAAGTCAGAAATCACAGCTTATGGTACCCAAACAGAAAGTTGGTCATAAGGAAGAGTGTTTATGGATGTCAACTACCTTATCATGAGGATGGGTACAAAGTGTGAAGCCCAATTCTGGTGTCCCCCGCCGTCATATTGCTGGAATATTGCTAAAAGCGGCGTAAAACCATATTCACTATTATGAGGAATACAACGTTTCTGAGTACATGCTTACTCCTTCATCAGGGGAATGAATGCCATGAGGCAGAGAGCATATGTATGTACATGTAAGGACAACACGGATGTTAGTCGTAAAAAGCTCGTTACAGCAATCAATTGTTATTTTAATTTTTCACAATGCCAAGTAATATTTTTTGGAATCCAAATACGGAGCGTGTGATTTCAGCACTTGGGCATTTAAATACTTTCTACGAATATTTAAATATTTTTTCTTTCGGGAATTGACTTAATATATCTTGGCAATTGATATTCACTACATTTTTTTCACTTTACTTGATCTTTAAACCAATTTTCAACTCACCTCGCCACATATGGGAGAGTACAGTAAAAAAGGTTTATAGCGAACACGCTTATAACGAACTCACGGATATTACGAACTTAATTTTTGGTCCCGTCCATTTGCTGTACAGATGTTGTATATATGCCCATTACGAACTACCGTTATAACGAACTAAAATTAGTGGTCTATTTGAGTTCGTTATTACCGTAGTTTACTGTGCATACATTTATATTGTTATTCACTAATGGTTACTGTTGACACGGCATAATCCACACAAAGGCGCGTTATGCAGCTTATTGCCAAGGATATATATTTGAAGAGAGATGAAGTCATCTGCTCTACGAACAACTACTGGCGGAAGTGTAGACATGCTTGAGACACTTCCAGATTACGTGGTAAGATTAACCTTCTGTTTTGTTTGCCGCACTCAGAAATATTGTAAATACCTGTAAATACACGAGCCTGGACACTGGCAAGTTACATAGCTACACCAAGGGACATTTGCAAATTATAACAGCCATGACTGCGGAAAGGAAATCCTGTGTTCACCTGCTGGGCGAGCAGCTGCTGACGGAGGTGTAGCCATGTTTGAAGACGACGCTCCTGGCGGCCAGCTTGTCGAAGTTTGGCGTCTTGCAGGCCGTGTTGTTGTAGGCGCCCATCTGGAAGCCGGCATCGTCACCTGCAGTTACACTTGCAAATAGCTACTACTACTACTACTACTACTACTACTCCGCGGTCTAGAGCGTCCGCCCGGGGAGCGTAAGGTCCGGGGTTCGGTTCCCGGCCGAGTCATACCAAAAGACGTTAAAAGATGGTACTTGTTGTAGCCTGTCTGGCGCTCGGCATTAAGGGGCTAAAACAAGGACTGGTCGGCTCGGAGTCAGTATACTGTGTCTGAGTAGGGTTTTCACTTTAAACTGCGGCATGGTATCTCAGTGAGCTAGCACTATAAATCGGCATCGGGACCAGTACAAGCAGCCACACACACACGTGCATTCACGTCCATATACAAATGCAATAATCTTGGACGCGACGTTAAACCCAATTTCACCTCACTACTACTACTACTACTACTACTACTACTATTTACTATTACCACTAGTACTACTTTCCCCTTACACCCTGTGATATCACTAAGATATTTTGCTAAGAGGCGTTTTGCACATCATACTCACTCAATATTAATACCACGACAACTACCACTAGTTATACCACGACTATCACACGCACTACCTTATTCGTGTACCCGTGTTCTTTCGGAATTTCCTCTACGGGTGATCAAATGACCAAAACCAAGCAATTCAGTGTCCAGAGTTGCTTCCCTTAATCGTACCAGGATCCGCTGGTCGTCTCTTTGAATGCTAGATTCGTCCCGGATCATACGTTTACTGGCAATTTGAGCACGATGACAAGGTACTCACCATAAATAAGAAGCACATTGCGACGTGTCTGTCCACTGACGTGACAAACGATAAGCGCAACACAGAGACAAAATACTGAAACACCCCCCGCCATGTTGCTGGGCATACTGTAGTGATAAACGGCAGCACAGACGCGCGCGTTATCTACAATATCCATATTGATCAGCATACCTCTGTATGTCTATCGTGATTTATGTAGGTCACTTGATGAAGGAGTCAACAATGTTTTGTCATCTTCAGGTAAGGTCAAGGTCTTCAGGTTGATAAAATTATATGATTCATGTACCATACTTCCTCTAATAAACGCGGTACATTCAATAGACTCCGGGTTACCAACAGACGCTGGACCTCCATGGCAGTAGAATCAGGGTCTTATATATGAGCCGGAACTCCAATCCACGCTTAACCTACAATAGACGCCGGATTCCCAATATACGCCGCACCTCCATGACACCTCCATAGACTCGGACCCCAATCGATGCCGCACTTCCAATAGAAGCCGAAACGCGAACAAACACCAGTGTCCGAACAGACTCTAGACATCTAATAGACGCCCAACCTTCAATATACGTCAGGGCCCAAACAAGACGGAGGGCCCAAATATATACCCGGCCTTCAATAGATGCCACGCCAATAAAAGACGGACTGCGGAAGTCCATGGCAAAAAGTGATGGAATTCTAGTAGACATGTGACAACAATAGAGCCGGACCTGTAATAGAGCCGGACCTGCAATAGAGCTGGACCTCCAATAGACACCAGATCCACAACAGAGCCGGTTCGTTTGTTTGTAGTTTGACGCCGCACTCAGCAATATTCCATCTATATGACGGCGGTCTGTAAATATCGTGTCTGGGCCAGACAATCCAGTGATTGACATCATGAGCATCGCCACACGCAATTGGGATCGATGAAATGCTTCAACCAAGTCAGTGAGCCTGACCACCCGATCCCGTTAATCGCCTCTTACGACAAAGGAAGGGTGGTTAGGAATACAGGCACGTTTCTAAAATTTGCCAAGTCCACATTATATGCTTGGTTTTTATAGATAGTGTGCCACAACATACACACCGGGGCGTCTATTAAAATAAATACAGAATCGGACACAACAATGTGTCATTTAACAGTTTGATTACAGATATGTATCAAGAATGACGTAAGCGAATTGTGTCACTACTATTAGATAACCTGATATCAACCAAGTAAATTATTCTTGACAGTGTGGAGAATTTTTTCAGACATCCATGTACACCCCTAGAAATTAACTAAGCACCACCAAAATGAAATGTTTTGATAATGAGTTAGTTGTATCCATATATTAGATGGCCCTTTTCCCCACCCTTCCATTGCCAATACGACCTTTATGTTGCCCACACTGCACATGAAGGACAAAGATCATGAAATGTCTAAAAACACAAATTGGTCGTGAACATTGCACGTACTAATTTCTCACCACAGAGCATTATTATAACACGTCTGAAGCCTTAAGATGGCAAATATTGGAATGAAAATGCAGGTATATCTTGTAGGGAAATTGGTCAACTTGGGCATCACCACACAGTAATTTCAAGATTGGTACAAGAATACAGACGAAAAATGAAGTCAGCCTCGCAAGACATCCAGGAGAGAGGAGTGAGTTTATGCTTTACGTCACATCGGCAATATTTCAGCGATATCGTGGCGCCAGGAGAGAAGATGCAGAATTAGTATAAGGCCCGTTAAAAGACATCCATTTGACAGTGTACAGTTGTGAAGGCACAGCTCGTGGCTACCAGGCAGAGGGATTTCAACCCAAACCATCCGAAATCGTCTGAAAACAGCTGGACATAGACCCAGAAGGGCAATCACTAAACGTGTTAGTGAGTGAGTATGGGTTTACGTCGCATTAAGAAATATTCCTGCAATACTGCAATATCACGGCGGCGGACACCAGAAATGGGTTTCACACATTGTACCCATGTCGGGAATCGAACCCGGGTCTTCGTGACGAGCTAACGCTTTAACCACTAGGCTACCCGACCGCCCACGTTCCTTGTTAACTCAGGGACATGAAGCTGCTCGTTTGGTATAGTCTAAACTTGAATATTGCATCACGGCAGAGTATCCCTTTTCTGATGAAAGTTACACACAGCAGAAGGCCGTACACGGGTCTGGAAGCAGGCAAATTCAGCCCTAGCTGCCAACAACATTCTATAATCACCCATCCATTTGGTGGGGTGTCGGTAATGGTATGGGGATGTGTTTCATTCAAATGACTTGTGACTTGTGCAGGGTAATCTGAACGGACCTCGATGGACAGCATGACATCCTTGTGACAGCATTTGTCCCCCATTTTGACACTCGCGTTGGCTTACGTCATAATGCGATCGAGACATTCCTTTGCTATCAACAAGTACATATATTAACCCAACAGAATATATGTGGGGCATTGTAGGCCGGCAGGTTCGCCAGAGACCCGCCTACCTCAACGCCAAGTGCAACGTCTGATTGATATGACGAGGCGTCTGGCGGCAGTCGTTCCTCAGCGGGGTGGTTACACCAAGTATTGACGAGAACTGTGTTTCGTGCATCTACTGACATTAGTTTAGGATTCCGTTGATACAGACTGATTTGAAGCGGTTCAGTATTTATTGAATTTGTTCAAAAGAAAAACCCATGTATTATATTTTCTCAGTTAAAACGGTTTCTGATCTTTTCAGCGAATGGCCCTGGGCTTTATTTCGAATAAAATATTTCAAGATAGAAAGAGCTATTTTCCTTAATTAGGTCCGGGCTTAAATAAGGGAATTCCCTGTATTTATTGTCTGATGAAACAAAACAAAAAGTACAGATACATTGAAAATTATGTTTTATTATCATTTCTCACCAAAATGAACAAATGCAAATATTCTTAATGGCAGTTTAAACAATGAAAAATGATGAATGAAACCCATCAAACCTATGTTACACCTAATAATTCCACTTTCTCATAGTTCATAACATACTGAAACATCAAACACCATGGCAACAGTGTGAGGCCCTTTAGATTTTATGACTGATCAGCATCATTACAGCTACTTCACAGCCATATCATGAAAATCGGATGTTTTACTCTGATACCATATCCTTCCGGCTTGAAGATTTAACACCTCCATAATCGGAGATCTGGTCAGGTGAACCCAAAATGAAGGATGCATGGGTTCTTGGAACAAATCAGATGACAACTTTCTAACATGACTTTGCTTCATTTCTTCACCATCTTGGATATTTCAATGTCAGCAAAAACAATTGCAACAGAACACATATATACCCTCAAAAGTACAACCCTTTTGGATGCAGATGCCATGGTTGGTTGGTTGGTTTGTTGTTTAACACCCCCCTTGGCAATATTCCAGCTATATGACGGCGGTCTGTAAATAATCGAGTCTGGACCAGACAATGCAGTGATTAATATCATGAGCATCGATCCACCCACTTGGGATCGATGACATGCATCAACCAAGTCAGCCAGCCTGACCACCCGATCCCGTTAGTCGCCTTTTACGACAAGCATAGTCGGTTGTAGATGCCATGGAGATCAGAAGCAATATATAAGATTATATGCATATTCCCTTGCGTTCAGTCTATAGAATATTCATAAACCAATATGTAGACCTTTTACAAAAATATTTTTGTTTAAAATGCTGTTTCAAATGAGATGGTTATTTGCATCTGTAGATATGCTGCCCCAGTGTGCCACATGTGACATGAGGACACCACAGTGATGTAGTTGTGGTGCCTGTATTTGATCAGTCAACAAAGATCTGCAAGGAAATACAGATAGGCAAGCGAATTAGGCTACTTTGGGTATTTGTCCAACCTCATTAAAATCAGATCTAAGTTCTTCCCACCGCTAAACAAAGATCTGAGAACACCCCATTACGGATTACGTCAGGCCTACCTTGCGCGAACTTTGACCGACCAATGAAATGACTGACAAAAAGTCGACATTAGCCAATCAGAAGGCAGCTTTCTCGTGTTTTACAGCACTAATTTCAAATAGGCGACTACGCTTTGAAATATTATTGACAAATTCTCGATTTAAAATTTGAAACCCGAACAAAAGAACATTCTGGAATCGCTAATATATGGTCTAGATTGTATGGATTTAGGCATTAAGCCCATAACTATCCTTCGGATTACCCCATGTTAAAGTTTTCGAGGTTGCATGATTAGAAATCACATTCCGACTGTCACTTTCATGATCTGGTAAGCGACGCTCTGATTGGTCGGATGAAAGGTCGTTCTGATGTGACCCCTAATGGAATCTTTGTATAGCAGTAGCGAGAACTAAGATCTGATTTTAATGAGATTGGGTATTTGTAACGTTTAAGCTCAGTGTTCTTATTCTATTGGGTGTTTTAACTTCTTCATAAGTAATTGTGTACAATCACAACGCTCTGATTGGTCGGATGAAAGGTCGTTCTGATGTGACCCCTAATGGAATCTTTGTATAGCAGTAGCGAGAACTAAGATCTGATTTTAATGAGATTGGGTATTTGTAACGTTTAAGCTCAGTGTTCTTATTCTATTGGGTGTTTTAACTTCTTCATAAGTAATTGTGTACAATCAACTCAATGTGTATTGTGTAATGATGATATCAGGACAACAGCTTTGCAGTACATACACAATGTTTCAAGGCTACTTGCCCCTGAAAGGTTGTGTATGTATCACAAAGAAGTCGAATCTATAATACTTGTGTCCTGATGACATCCATCTCCCAAATTCCCATAATGATGATAGTTTTATGTATTTCCCCTGTGAGTACAACCCATACATAGCTGCCATTGTGGCCACTAGATCCTTCATTTTATTGGGGTTTTTTTCATGACAAGTTGTACAAAAGCAGATTTAAAAAAAAAGAATTCTGAGACAATGTTAACCATGGATCCAGGATGACATGACACGTATGAAATGCACATACAAAGGATGAATGAAAGTGTGAGCCTAATGGAAATGTGTTAAAAAAGAATACATCCATCTGGAATTGCTAACGTAACAGTGAAGTAGCCATCAACAATCAAGACTGCTGTCATCCTTGTTGCATTGTTACACATGAAAACTGTTCCACGCCTTTGATCATCAGAATGAAACTGATGAGTAGGTTCCATCAACTATAGCCATCAGACGTTCATCAGGCCATGTTACAAGTATAGGGGTAAACAGTCGTAAATCTAGAGACTTTCAATGTCAGAAATTCTCCTCTTTTTAATACACATCTTTCCAATCATCGTATGTGTTTTGGCACTGTGACCAGATGAAGTTTCCGACTCAGTTTCGGTAGTTCTTGTCCTCTCTCAGTTGCACACATTTCGTCTACACCACCTCCATGGCCAGGCTCCGCAACGTTGAGGTCATCATCTCTTGCCCTGCCTCTGCTGTATCTCCTGGATCTCCTTCTCGACCTCGGCACACGCTCGCTCAATCTCGTAGTTCTTACTGACCAGCCCCACCCAGCTAGACTCGAGCTGCTCAAGCTTGCTCCCGGCAACACTCTGCTCATTCTTGCGCTGCCAGTTGATCTCCTGGATCTTCTTGCGCAGGTCCTAGAGCGTACAGTAAAAAAAGGGTCTCAATAATCAGGGTTAGACTGAACAAAAAATTTGTATGTAGCAGGCAAGGCTTGCTCCTTTCAAAGTTACTGGCTCGTCTCCAACTAACTGGCCTACAACTAAATGGTCGAGGTGATGTAGCCACTGAGCAGGGCTCTGAAAATTTTAGAACTTCTCACCCCGAAAACGTTCTTTCATAAGATTAAATCTTAATTTATGATCAAGTAAAGAAGTTGATGTACACAACATTACAAAATGGTTGCCGGTTGTCATTCTACCGAGATGTTGCAAAATAAAAAAATTAAACATACACAGATAGGGTGAGGTGGGGTGAAATTGGGTTCAACGTCGCGTTCAAGATTTTTGCACTTATATAGCGACGTGCATGCACTTGCGTGTGTGTGTGGCTGATTGTACTAGTCCGGACTGATGCCGATTTATAGTGCTAGCTCACTGAGATACCATACCGCAGTTTAACGTGAATACCCCAATCTTAACTGGCTACGGGCCAACAGACCAGCAGTTAACTTGAATAACAGTAGGGTGCAAAGATTCACTGAAACAGTGGAGATTTCATATTTTTACCGGATCTGAAATATTATGTTCTCTATCAGTAGAGGACGTAACGTGTACATGAGACGGGTTACATTATGTCTGCGACTGTCTATGCACCCAATGTGAGAATGCATGCAAATTATTTACATTGCGATTCCTGTGGCTGCAGAAAAGTATGTCTGTTCGAAAAAAAAAGAAACAGTATAAAAAGTGTAGATTGCATGTTATTTGTAACTGACAGTTTAGGTAAGAAATGTGCAATGTAATAAACTTGATGGAAATCAAGTGGAGTGTGACATAGATAGTCAAGCTATGAACATGATATATGATGCCAAATTTCCCTAACTTTGAAAATAGACAGGCCCAGGTAACTTGCCTGCTTTGTGAATGTATCGTATCAAGACAAGTGACCAACTAATTACCATTTCCAATCAGCAACATTCATTAAGAGCATCATTGGCACCGTCAGCCTGCCTCCGTCTTGAGCAGACATCACACACTGACACAGCAGTCTAACACTGTAACTGTAGTAACTCACACTGATTAAACCAGTTAAAGTGTAGTGTATATTGTTTAACACTGAAACTGAAAATTGTTCGGGAAGCCAACAGCACCAGTCCCACCACCCACCCACAGAAAAAAGATTTACATAATATCTAGATCATGGGTATCATGTTTATACACGAGTTATATCATGTCCTTTCTGAACTATTCCTCTATTGATTCAAGCCATGCTCACCTGGAGTTGCTTCTGAGCCTGCTCCAACATGTGTGACAGCACACCATTGTACATCTTCCAGGCACTGGAGCCATACTCCTGCATGAGGTCAAGGTTCAGGATCCTCAGAGCCTGGTGCTCCAGCTGAGCCTGAGAGTTCTCCAGACACTCCGTCCACGCAGAGATGTCCGTCATCTTGCCGGCTGCTGGTGTTGGTAGTTCATACCGCTTCATGTTCATCATTTCCATCGGAAGACGAGCCTACAACATCAAAACTATTTTCAACATTTCCAGTGTTACAGTGTTGATAGGGGTCCTGGGGTCTTTGAGGGTGTGAGTTTGTTTAATACTGTTTGAAAAGTATTTCAGTTATAACACAGTGGGTCAGCTTGAAGGGAGGAAAGCCCGAAATGTTGCAGATCTTAAGATGTTGTGCTGACAAACCTAGAAGCAAGGGTCTATAGTATTTGAATCTAGGGAATCTAAGCATTTCAAATGTTAGGGTAATGACAAGGACCCATTGACCTTCATGCCATATTCTAACACTACAAGTCTAACCATGTCTAACAACCATGATGTTCACCATGACTAAATAGTGCTGATTATAGAGAGGATGACAGAATAGTCTTCTTGTGGTTAACCATTAGGGAATGAATGAATTAGGGAAATATTCTATTCTGATTGGTCAATCGGCATTCCTGTGGAAACTTCATGACTATAAATATTTCAGAGCAGGTTCAAAAAGAAAAGCTATCTGTAGACACATGTTTGCAGCCTTTTATAGTTGTGAATTTAAAATGCTAACTACAACACATTTTGCAATATTTGACTGACAAAAATGCTAAAGGGGAGGGGGTGGTGTCATGAAGTGAGTGGTAAGTAGTAAGTAATTTATTCAGCAAGATTATCATCTTGTACTGATACAAAAAAAGGTATCAACTCACGATGCATCGGTGCACTGATATTTAGTTTCACCCCTAATTTTTAGAATATAACTTCTTTTATAGTCATTGTCAGTAGGCATATTTAAATAATTATAGACTACAAAATGGTGATGTCACGATTCACTGGTGCATCCCCTGCAAACTTTGCACGATACGATACCCAATACATTTAATTTGGCATTCACATTTAACCCCGTATCTCACATTGATATCAATAAGCAAGTACAAACTATTTTGTAATACCTCATTACTTTCTTGGTCGTCTTTCGGATACGAAACTAGCCCGATAAGAAGACTGGCCAGCTTTTCCTTGCTGCCTGTCATAATACAGTATGCTAACTTGTTTGTTTCTTATCATTTTCTCAGACAGAATAGTTGACTTGACTCATGTGCCATGTTGATAAGTACTAGTCAGTTGTCCTTCTTTACCTGTATGAGCGAGTCTATGGACTCTATTTTCAGTCAGATGACTGGGTTTTCTGCACAAACTGTCGAATATCGTGTATTGTATCGTGGCTTTTGTATCGATATACACCTATATCGCGACATCCCAACTACCAAATGTAAATTTGCGTTACTACAATATTTAAAGGGTGTGTGGCAATACATATCATGCAGGAAACATGTAAGTGTGCAGTTTACCTGGTGCACATATACAACTAGTTATGTCACACTAAAGTGCTAATTCATGTACCAATTTTGTCTCCTCAAACCGAAAAGTTCCATCAGAGAGACTATCATATTCCAACTGGTGTATGACAATACCAGAGGAACAAAGGCCTAGAAATTGGAGTATTGCACTTCATCTACACCTTTTTGGAATTCAATCAGCTGAGCTTGATTAACGAGTTAATCTTATCAGTCAACACTCTACCATCATGACCATGGGCGCTATCGCAAATAATTAGTGCTCATTTACCAGTGGTCAATAATTTCCTCAAATTACATTGGATTCATTTTTCAAAAACAATAGCTAACCCATACCCTACCTCACAACTAATACTATTACTAAGGACCAAACCGGTGTGTATGATTGGCAAGGGGTACCCAACCCCAAGGATTGTAAATGGTGTTTGATCAGAAAGGGGTTACTAATCCTATTGATTATAAAAGAGTGCTTAATCTGAAAGGGGATCCAAGATTTAAGGACAGCGTTGAGAGCAATCTCATTAAAATCAATGTGTTAATTAGCCGACACTCTACCACTGGACCTCAAGCGCTATCACATGTAATCAGTGCTCATTTAACGGGTGATTAGCACCCTATAAACAAGCATGTGTAATTCAGAAAACAGTGAATTGCGCATGCGTGTGACGTCACTGTCCGCTCTCCCATTCATCTTTTCTTGAAACCACACCCGCCACTGTTAATGTCAACATGACCGACCAATCGGATTAACTGGATTAACGATTGAAAAGGTAAGAAATTATGGCTAACCCTTGCCCAAACCAAGCTAACCCTAAGGACCAAAAAGGGCTGTTTGATTGTAAAGACGTGTAAGTTTCCCTGGGATACAAAAGGGGTGATGGATTGTAAAGACGTGTAAGTTTCCCTAAGACCGAAAATGGGTGTTGGATCGTAGAGATGTGTAAGTTTCCCTAAGACCGAAAACAGGTGTTGGATCGTGAAGCGAGAGTCACCGGAGCGTGAGGCACGATAACGGTATAGCGAGACTGCGGTAACACTATAGCGCGGTAATTGAGTGGACAGTAGAGCTCAGACTGTGCCCGGTAAAATGCATTGTTGCCCAGTGCTGACATCAACAAACTATCATTATTTGTCTTAACATCCGTACTTGATTAGTAGTGAGCTGCTTTTTTTTCTGATTTTCTGATACAGTGCCGATCGGTCGACCAACTTTTTCTTATTCTTGTTTATATATGCGACCGGGATGACATCAAAGAGGAAGCGAGATCAGCGAGAGCCATAGCCGCCAGCTAATAAACACCATAATCTGCGCCCAGTAAAGTGTTATGTTGCCCCAGAAACACTATTTAGGAATTGATACCCACCTGCAAACGTTCGACTTCATTTTTCATCATTTCTGTTTCAAATGAGTTGTAAATTGGAGGCGGGAGATAGTCAAGATAATTTTTTGTTGGTCTGTATCGCCTTGTCTCTTCTTCTACCAAAGCAATCGCGGCTTCTCTTACACCAGGCTCATCATAACCGTGGTCGAAATACGGCAAAGCATCGACAACAACTTCTCCAGCCATTTTGAAAACCTACAATGTGCGTGGGTTCATTCAAAATTGGAAATCACCAAAATTAATGCTTAAACTGAAAATTGAGGTTTCTAGATCTTGCAGTTGTATTGTTAATTGCATGGAATATTAGAACCAATACAACATCCTACAGGTGACAACACAAATCTTCTTGATCAGATATCGATGCTTCCTTGCTATATTGTACGAAATATACTTTTCAAATGCTGAAATTCGTTATACAATCTGCATTTTTACCGAAAGTATTTTTCTACTTTCGCATAATGGAGAGAGAACAGGGGAAGTAACTCTAAAACACATATGCCAAAGGGTTCTGAATAAGGACATTATCTTGCTTATCAGTTAACAGGTCAAGGCCAATGTTTCAAAGACGACATTTTGTTAAACGAATATATAAAACAGTAAATTGAAGCGAAAACATACAGTATGAAACTTCTCGTGATAACTGGTGACGATTTAGGCTACAGCAAAGAGAGGAATGAAGGACTTGTGGACTGCTTCAGAAAAGGTGTCATCACACACACATCCTTGATGGTGAATGGAGTTGGTGCAGAGCATGGAGTCATGTTGTGCAAGAGACACTCCGTACCTATGGGTAAACAACTTAGTCATGGCCATTGTCGAAGCAAGCTTACTTAGCTAAAGAGAACCATATGGTATTTCGAAATGGCAAACTCAAGTGTCAAGTATATTTTATTATCTCAATATTTAGAACAGTATATCTGAATATCTTCATTTTAAGATTAAATTGCACATTTAGTTAAATGTTTATTCTTGTAGATTTTTGGGCATGGGTGTCTCAGCCATCTGATTTGCTACGATTAGCTGTGCAGAGTTGAGTTGTGGGTTTGAATCCCAGATGTATCCTGATTATGTCCCTTGGTTTGTCTGCACCATACCTATGCTCAATGTTTTTCAAAAGTGGTTAACATCTAAGACCTGCATTGCTATGGGCTTTCCTTACACACAAAGTTCGCACACTTTGCTGAAATATGTCTCAAAGAAGTATTAAATTAACATTATTAAAACTAACTCAATCACTATTGTATTTTATATTTGTATTTAAAATATCATTTGCAGCATATCATGATGATATATATCTCAATTTATTACATATTAGTTTTATCTCCATTCTATCATGATATCATGGAGTGTAATGTTGTAGAAATGACACTGACAACCTCCTATAACAAACTGATAAGTGTGCAATATGATTATCTATTCACTTTTCAACTTGTTCCATATAGTTTTTTTAACCCGAGTACATCTGTCTCCATACCCGACATATCGAGTTTCAGATTTCCATGATAATAAGACACACAATCAATCTTTTTTTTCGTTCTCCTCATCAAATTGAAAATACATCTAGACACTGTGTCATTTCTTCTTCAGTGTCTGGAAAGCTTGTTTGATAAATGAAGATGTAAGTTATCTCCCCTGGTCAGGTACTCAAGCACCTGTCAGAGCCGTGTTACTATCAATATGCCATGACATTTAAGTTGTTGTTGATATCCAAAACCATTTAAAAAAAAAGAAGATGTAGAGCATAGTCTGTCCTCCATTCCCCACTCTATGCAAGGATCCAGATATTGTAGGTTCAAATGCCAGATTCGTTCTGACTATGATACTGATGGTTTCTTCAGCGTCCTTACTTGTGATCTGACAGTCATGAGAATTATTTTTTAAGTTTCATGGCTTATGAATCATGAGTAATTTATGCACTCTCCTACACAGAGTTCCATGTGGCCGGCAGCCAGCCATCATAGTACCTCTGCCACAGGCCAGCGCCATGTGATGATTCGTCACATCTTTCACAGTCCATTGAAGATACCGTATTTGACATAATAAGCGCCCAGGGCCCTCTGAAAATTAGAAATAGGGGGCTCTTATTAGAATATTATTTAGGTGAAAAACAACAGAGTTGAAAGATCGTAAATTTCATGGTTTTTGCTGACAGCCTGAAATGTTTATATACGACGGATATATTTATCCAGAATTTAATTTCCCATGATTAAGGATGCATATAACACACATATTATATGCGAATAAATAAGTCTTGTGTACATTGATTAATTGGAAGGGGTGCTAATTGGGATTGTTCACTAGCTAATATCTTAGCAAAAATCGCCGTGGGCGCTTATTAGAGTGGATCGCTTATTACATCGAATACGGTATTGCAAATGCTTTTCATCCGTTTCATGTTTGACAAGTCTACACATTTTCATAAACAAATGTCAAAGAATGGTTACGGTTCATTAAGAAAGTATCCTATTACGTGAAAATCTACTTGTTTGGCATAGTTATCCTTTGTTTACATTGGTTGTACGGCTTACGTGCTGTCATCGAAGCCCAACGGAGAGCTAGCAATACGGTCACTTTGATGCGTAAATACGTATTGTCATGCAACTCACTGTTGCAGTTGTAGTAGCATATTTATAAAATTATGCAAACCAATATGTAAAGCGCCCCAAAATACTTTCATTATCCATTCTAATCTGATTTCTGAAAAAGCGTGTTTGTTTACAAACAAGAGAAAAGTCAGGTCACGTGATATGCAAATTAGCCTGTGGCAGTTGTGTTATGCTGAGTCACCACTGCGCCGGAGTGTGAAATTTATGATTAATTACAGGACTGCATTTCAATATCTCTGAGGGAGTTCCAGTTTCTGAGGCAACAAAGTCCAGCAGTCTTGTTGATAAAGAGGGATTATTCTTGGAAAAAGAAAGATTTTGGGAATCAGCAAAAGGTGGACATTTAGACATTAAAGATGTAAGGACTTTTGGTGATTTATTCTCACACCAATGTTATATATCCACATCCCGAAGCAAGGGCATTAACCGACTATGAAAGTCCAGTTTCCAGTCTTGCCTGAATAGACTGAAATTTCCAGGCTCAATCATAGCACCACCAGCAGCTATCATGAATTATGTCCCTTCTATGTCCCTTCTGTTGACCAATCAGATTCCACCTCTCATATCACTTGCCATTGCTTCAACAAAATGACGGCACCCAGTCAAGACGATTTTGTCAATAATCAAGATCTATATCGTAATAAAACGGGACTAACATCGCGAAGTGCATCAAAATCACTTGAGTATCATGATGAAAAATTTGAAAAGATTTGCAAATATCTGGTGACGCCCAGTTAGCGATACACATGCTTTGCAAATCCATCAGTCGATTGAAATATCACGTTTAAATCCCTGTTGTTTACGAACCAGATGTCTATTTCAATACACGATTTTGATTATGCATAGACTCATTAGTCCAGCCAAAATGTAACTCTGGAATTTTCACCATTACAGGTATGCATGGGTTAGACAGGGGCAGAGTTCTCTCCCTTCCATTACTCTCGTTGTATTAAGTGCATTTCTTCACTCTTTCTGTTGCCCTCCTGAAGTAAACACATGTTTTATGTGATCACCGTGTCAGGGCGTTGCAAGATTAGAGGGTGTTGTATCCTAACTGGGGCTGGACTTTTATAGTCAGTTAACACCCTTGCCTCGGCAAGATGGCATTCTTGATATTGACCAAGAGCAACTGTGCAACAAGAAAATAAATTGGCCAGGCATATGAGTGTCTTTCATTATCATATAATCACAGGAGCATTTATTAGCAAAAATCATAACGTAAACCAGACCAAATTATTTTTCTTGTCTTGTCATCATCATAATATTGTGCCACAGTCATACAATATGGTTCATATAATATACAGGTTTACTTTCTTTTCATATCTTTGTGCTTAGCAAGCCTTAAATGATCCCTCACATTACTTGTTTTAACCTTCTGCCTCTGGGCAGGACTGAGTGGTGTTAGATTGGAGTAAAAGATCTGATTTCAATGACATTGGATGCTGATGTTATGACCATACATGTGCATCTTCTTTGAGGTGAAAGTAGAGTTGGAGGCACAGCTGACAAAGTTTGAGGCACTAGTTGGACATCCCCCAATACACGTAGACGGACACCAGCATGCCCATATCTTTCCTGGTAGGTCTCCACACATCATTTATAACTGTTTTATTGGTGTTTAATGTTTGTTTGTTTGTTTGTTTGTTTTTTGTTGCCACACTCAGCAATATTCCACCTATATGACGGCAGTCTGTAAATAATCAAGTCTGGTCCAGACAATCCAGTGATTGACATCATGAGCATCGATCCACGCAATTGGGATACAATGACATGCAGCAAACAAAAAGTCAGCGAGCCTGACCACACGATCCCGTTAGTCACCTCTTACAACAAGCATGGCCCATGGCTAAGCTGGTATTATGGAGTTACATTTTGGCTGGACTATCGAGTCTATGCATAGTCCAATCAAAATCGAGCAACGAAATTGAAATCTGGTTTGTAAACTGTCGCACAGATTTTGGTAGATTGCAGGATTTGCAAAACATGTGCATCGCCAACTTGTTGTCGACAGATATTTTCCAAACCTTTTGATGTTTTTAATCAAGGTGCTACCCTGATTTGATGCACTTAGCGATGTAAGACCCGTTTTATCACAATATAGATCTTGATTATCGATCAGATCAACTTGACTGGGCGCCGCCATTTTGTTTGAAACAAATGCATATGATGGAATCGGATTTGTCCATAGGAGGGACATAACTCGTAATAACCACTGGTGGCTATGATCAAGCCCAGGAATTCCAGCCAAGTTTGGCAAGGGTGGAAGCTGGACTTTTAAAGTCAGTTAACTCCCTTGCCTCGGGAAGATGTAGTCTTTCATACTTTTGGACAGTTGATCATTTTATGACAAATGTTGATCAAAATTAGAGGGGCAATGGGGTAGTCTAGTGGTTAAAGTGTTAACTCATCACGCTGAAGACCCGGGTTTCGATTTCCCACATGGGTACCATGCCCATTCCTGGTGTTGCCTGCCACGATATTGCTGGAATATTGCTAAAAGCAGCATAAAAAAACATACTAGCTCACTCACTCACTAAATGTAGACTTTTTCAAAAATGAATAAGATGAAAACATGTATAATTTGTAGAATGGACTGTGAAAGATGTGATGAATCAGCAGATCTAAGTGGCCAGTGGTAGTGGTTCTAGGTTGGCTAAAGGAAACTCTGGGTAGGAGAGTGGGGAGTAAGATACAGGCTCTCATATAACAATTGCCGATGCAGATCACAGTTAACCTGCTATTTTGTCCTCCCATGTGAAGGTGTGAGAAAAGCCTTCGCTGAGGTGCTGGGCTCTCGGGGCATCAGGAGCACCAGACTGCCGATCGATCCTGTCATCCTGTCCGGAGACTGGATCCCAAGCGACTACTTGGATTCCTTCAAGGTGATCATCGAGTTGTCTCGTCAGAGCCTGCCTGTGTTCCAGGAGAATGGCGTCAGGTGGGTTGCAGCATGTTACCTTGGAGATTTGATTTGTTATTAGTCCAGACGTAATTTATCATTTGTTTCACAGATTGTGTGTCATATTTTACTCTTTTTTTAAAAAAAATAGACGAGTTAACTTCTGTCTAAAATTTAACAGTTAAATTGCCATTCTGACTATGTTTGCTCTCTGTTTGCTTCAAAAAAGCATTTAGCTTAAGTGAAAGGAGGGCTATGTTCCCGCAAATAAATAACCTGAAATAAACTAGTGGGTGTGAAAATTCATAAACAATATAGCCGCCGCACCTTTTTATGTCCATTTCTCACTTACATTTCCCATGTCATTTACACTTGGTACATGGGTAGTTTGTTTGTTTGTTGTTTAATGCTGCACTCAGCAATATTCCAGTGATATGATGGCAGTCTGTAAATAAATAAGTCATGTGTAGTTACTATTAGGGATCGACATACATGTTTCAGATTTTGTTTTATTTAGTTTTTTGTTTTGCCCTTGATTTGACCTTAGCATAAATGCTAATAAATACACTTAATGCTTTAAAAAAACAATCTTGGCTCTGTTAACATCTTCTCATCAACCACTGGGAGCTGAAACTTCAGATACTTTTCCATTGAACAATGATACTTAAATTGTTAAAGATGTTTGAATCCTACATTTCCATGTGGCCACTACGACAGCAGGAATATTGGTCTGTCGGATTAAAACAACGTTCACTGACCCATCTTGAACTTTTACATATTTAGCTCACATGACTGAAAGTGGCATGAATGCCCGCCATCTGTCATGTGTCGTGCATCGTCTGTCATAAACATTCCTCCCAGAGACCAGAGCAAATGAAGCTGAAACTTCATGTTCGCTCTTGATGATGACACCCTAGTTTGTTGAAAAGGTTTGAATACAATTTTCAATATGGCCACCACAGCAACCACATTGAAACACCTGTTTATATCCATTTGAAGGCATGCTCAATCACGCTGGTTCAAAATGTCAGAGGGGGCACGGGTGGCCCAGTCATCTAAGGCGCCGCGATTCGCTGTGCAGAGTTGCGTCCTTTGGGCACGCCAGAAACCTATGATTGTGGGTTCGAATCCCGGTTCGCCCCGATTATGTTTCTAGGTTTGTCAGCACCATACCCGTGCTCGTGGGTTTCACCGAAGTGGTAAACGTCTTAGACCTGCATCACTTCGGGCTTTCCTCCCACATTAAGCTGACACGCCGTGATATAACTGGAATACTGTTAAAAGCGGCGTAAAACCCAACTCACTCACTAAAAATGTCACAAAATGCGGTACATGTAGTTGCTCAACATTAATGCTCCATTTTTTTCAAAAATAAAAATTTTGATCTTGATTTGACATGATTGTTCCCATAAAGGGTAAAACCAACATAAGGTTCAAATCTGATTTTCAGTATGGACTCCCGAAACAAGGTTTAATCATTAAACTTACCCTTGACTCTATTTGCAGTGATGGAGGAACATCTTTTCCTGTTTTCTGGGAACATGTATATATTGATATTAACATAAGGATAGTACACTAGTCGGGAACTCCATCCTCTGAAGTAAAGGTAACAGACTTGTCATCTTTTTTATTTCAGAGTGAGCGACTGTTTCTTTGGACTGTGCACCATGGGGTACGACATGACAGTGGACAGACTCAAGACAGGAATAAGTAGGGCATATGAGTCTGTGGCCTCAGGAGCAGGCGACTCTGTGTGTGAGTTGATGGCCCACCCAGGGTACATGAATGGAGAGGTGGGAGGATGTGGCACAGGTGCTGATGATTTCTCAAAATCAGAGGCAAGAGAACATGAGATCCATGTTCTGAATGATAAGTCTCTGCAGGCATTTTACACACAGGAACAGATAAAGCTTGTGCCTTTTAGTGAATGCTGGCAATGAGATCCTAAAGTACTGTTGGAAATCTTTGGAAACATCCTCCTGGATCCATTCCTGTGGTTCTTGCGATCTCAAATTACCTGCCCTACATCTTCGTTTGCCAATTTTATTTACTATGCTCCTCAGTCTAACACAGTGCGAGTTACAAACCAGCCTCAATGTTGGGTTGGTGATATCAAGAACATGGCGGCCAGTCCCATTGATTAAGATAAGTTTGTGAAAAAATTCAACATTGAAGAACTGACCAACATGCAAAAGAAAATCCTCAAACAGCTTTTTGGTCATCTTCAGGAGGCAAGAGAGTTAACTGACTTTAAAAGTCTAGTTCCACTCTTGCCAAACTTGGCTGGAATATCTGGGCAAGATCGTATCACCACCAGTGGCTATTTCAAATTATGTCCCTTTTATGTCCCTCCTATTGACCAATCAGATTCCACCTCTCATATCACTTGCATTTGCTTCAAACAAAATGGTGACGTCCACTGATCATGATCTGATCAATAATTAAGATCTTTATTGTAACTAAACGGGTCTTACATTGTGAATTGCATTAAATCACGTGAGCACCGTGATTAAAAACATGAAAAGATTTGGAATATATATGTCGACGCTAAACTGACAGCATACATGCTTTGCAAATCCTGCAATTGACCGAAATCTGCACGGCAGTTTATGAATCAGATGTCGATTTCATTACGCGATTTTGATTGGACTATGCATAGACTCATTGGTCCAGGCAAAATATGACTAATTCCAGCCAAGTTTCGCAAGGGTGAACACTGGACTTTTGTAGTCAGTTAACACCCTTGCCTCGGGAAGATGCTTTCTGGCGGAAAGGATGTCTTCATGTACATGAAAATTGGCCGTGGCTTTGGTTTCTAGACTATTCCTTACCAATTCCAGTATCTGGACGTTTGATTGGTCGGTAAAATGTTAGTGATAATCAAGGGCAGGTAATTTGAAATTTAAAAGCAAAATCATAAAGAATATATTTTACAGGGTATTACTTGAATTTAAAAATTATGACTTTTGTCCTGGAAAAGTATTCGATTTCTGTTAGGGGGTACTTGTGTGAAATATTTGACTTTGATGTCAGAGTACTTGATATTTGTGAAAATCTCCATGAGTGTCTCTAAGATATATTTGAATTATGGAGAAACAAAAGATCTTCTTCGAAACATCATTTCCCCTTCTGTTTGCACTTTAATAAACATAAATGAGCAACCATTTGATTCTCAGTCGGGGGATCAGGGCTGGGATTTAGGTATGAGATCAGCATTTTTTGTCTTAATGTTCAGGAGCCCAATTTTTCCCCCAACATAAAAAAATGTGCGCAAATAGTATATTTTTGTAAATACAGGAGCTTGATTATTTTAGAAAAATATCCCCACCAACCCCCTAAAATCAAAAGGATGCTCTCTTTTGTGCTTCACGGTGGGCAATTTGATTTCACACATAAATGGTCTGCTCGAGGAATGTGGTTCTGACTGGTAGACATGTGATTGTTTAGAGATGGTGACAGCCAAATTAGTCACAAACATCTCATATTAAATTTTAAATTTTAAAAAAAATATTTTTATTTCAATTCAGTAGAAATATATCTAACATTGGTACATGGGGTATTTAAGTGTAGCAATTCATAGAATCTTAAAACATGATCAGATATGGGTATGTACATATATTGATTGACTGAAAAATTATAATAAGTAGGCTGATAATTCCTTCCATTTTCTGTTGAATCTATTAATACTACTATTTTTCATTGCGATAATATTTTCTATTTTACATGTAAATCTTTCAATATTTTTTATGAAGAAAGGAGAGCATAATGGAGTTTTCTTAATGCTTGACTAGTGAATGTATTTTTTGGCAAGAAGAATTATATGGTTGAAAAGATAGTTGTTTTTGTTGTAGCAAAATAACTTATCCAGAATGGTAACATGAATATCATACGCATTTCGATTTCACACCAAAATTCCTTTACAAAAATGCATTCTACATACACATGATATAAGCTTTCAGATTCAGAGACACAAAAAGAGCATATATCATCATCCATTAACTTCATTTTCAATAATTCCTATAGAGCTCAAATTTATGAATCTGTACTGGAAATCTATTACTTTAACATCAATGTACACGTTGTACAATTAGAGAAAACATTATTCCATAAAATACTTTGATTAAGTTAATTTTCCCATTTATCACACATCAGAGGAAAGTTAGTTGTAGCCACTTTAAAAAAGTGGAATATTTTTCATCTGTTCTGAGCAAAAAAGTTTTATTTCTCAGCGCAAGACATATTTATGGGACCACAAAGATGATTTATCTACAGCCAATTGTTCACTAATTTTACAATAAATGTGAATTAGAGTTATATTGATATTGCCTACTGACCGAGAGACAATGGGTGTCCAACGACATGAACAAGTATGATTTTGGCAAAGTCATAACGATATTCACCAAATGATTCATCAATTATTACTTGTTTTAGTTTGTGATGAGACTGGGTGCAGTCTTTGAGTTTACGTGATAAAATGTGATGCAAATAATGATTTAATAAAAAACCCACTGTCAATTGTGCTAATGCTGATTGCTATTGTTTTTAATAATTACACACATTTAGAGACCCGTGAAGATCCGGGTTAGAATAGGTCTTCAGCAACCCATGTTTTTCCGTAAAAGGCGACTAACGGGATCGGGTGGTCAGGCTCAATGACTTGGTTGATGCATGTCATCGTGTCTCAATTGCATGGATCAATGCTCGTGATGTTAATCACTGGATTGTCTGGTCGAGACTCGATTATTTACAGACCGCTGTCAGATAGCTGGAATATTCTGAGTGCAGCGTTTAACAAACAAACAAACTTGGTGCCGTGGATAATAATGCAGCGGTCTTTCAAATCTGTAACAGATTGCACTGCTGACAACAAATGACCACAGAACTTTTAAAAAATCAATTTATATTTACAAATCAACACATATTTACATCATGATCCTGCACAAATTGCCTTTACACTCACATTAAGCACAATATCTATTGATGGTAGCACACGAAAAGTAGGTATTGTGAATTAATCTTGACCATGGAGTTCATCATAATACATTCTGTTGGAACATTTGCATTCCATTCATTATTTACAACCATATACATGCTATAGACAATTTAACGTAACATTCAGTCCTTTACTGGAAACCATTACGGGGGATTGATGTTTTAGTTTTATTCATACATAATCATGATATTGTCAAAAGCCATTTCCTTTGTGTTGAGAGTGAAATGAACAGTATTCCAGTTATACATTTTGTATCACACTGTGTCAGCTTAATGAGGGAGGAAAGCCTGAAGTATTTCAGGTCTCAGACCTTTACCACTTCGGTGAAACCCACAAGCACGGGTGTGTGCTAGGAAACCTAGAAACATTATCAGGGCGACTAGGGATTTGAACCCATATCATAGGTTTCTGGCGTGCCAAGGGAGGCAACTCTGTGCAGCGAATTGTGGCGCCTTAGATGACTGCCTCCCTCCCTCCCCTTTACAGTGGGCTAATAGGGATTGTCTACTCCCAACATTAAGAATGGGTACCATGTCTGTTCAGGCGTATTTTGGATAGAACAAACAATAGATACTATAGAACAAACAATAGATACTATAGAACAAACAATAGATACTATAGAACAAAAATATGCAGAGGCAATAACTATCAGGCCTTTTTCATTTCATTTTGTCAATAGTGTAGCTGTATCAATTTCAACTAGTGATATTTCAATTGGTCATACATGTATTTTCATCGGCCCATAGACTCGTTTCATTAGTCATTACCTACCTGCCTAATAACTAGGGGAAAACCCCATTTCATGTGAAAATATCTTGCTCAAACAGACTCATCTAAATGTTAAAAAACTGGGCTAAACGGAAGTATTTCAGTAAGAAGAGTCTTACCCCGGATTCTAAGATAGGTGCACTTGGAAGACAATTAGGGTAATTTCTGTTTTGTTTTGTGTAATATACACGTCACCTGAACAAAGCCATAACATCAGTTATTAATATATAACTTGAATTGGGAAATTTGTTATTCCAATTCGGGAATTTTTACCGACATTTACTTCTGACCTGGGGCCGAATATTGGTCTCTTAGCAGGCTTAGATATATCTCTGTGATCGTCATGTTCAAGAGTTAATTAATAAAATGTAATTGAAATATTTGCCACGCTTGTAGATTTTCCACAATCCAGTATCAAACTTGCACCTCTTTAGCCAGCACACCTGCATGCATGAAGCTCAAAGTACGGCCAGGAGTGACACCTATATATTCTGTCATCAAGAAAACCAAAAGTTTTGTGCGAGATACCCATCTGGATGTGGCATCATCTGCTTCATCTTAAACTTGTTCAATGTTTGTTCAAGGAACTGCTCCAGCCTTGCTACCGGCCCACCAGCCACGGACACACTTCTCAACTTGGGCAAGAACTCTTTGTAGAGAAGGAACAGCAGCTTCACAAACTGAACCTTGTACGCACTGAACAGTGTATGACCTGCCACCTGTAGCATGTCATAGGTCAAGGTCGCTGTAATGTCAGGTTGAGGGTCCATGTTCAGAACTCGCGACAACCAGATCCAGGCGTGCTCTATGCCGTGCGGGTGAACAGCATTTGATCTTGGTGGAGACGAGACAAGAATCGCGGCATACAGTCGCATAATGCCAGACATCCTCTTCAGGAACTTGTCCTGAGCTTCTATGGTTCCGTTGGAATCAACTTTGTAACCTAGCATTCTGAAAAGAAAAGAAAAGAAGTTCATAAAATGTGAAGCTTACAAAATCCAATTCAGAAATAGCAAATATTTTCTAAGAAATACTAAACCAAGAGAACCCACACAAAACATTCCTGTGGATTTGTACTTGCAACAGAGTTGACAGTGGATGTGAGGAAATCACCTAAATATCTGCATTAAATTTCAGGATTCCCAAACAATTATCTAGTCAGTGACTGAAACAGTCCTTGTGAAATCACAGATCTAGACCACGCAATCTACACTTTAGTAGGCTATTACTGGGGATCTATTCTTCCCTCAAATCCCCGAAGTGGTCTGCAGAAACAACAAAGACTTTCGTTAAATCTGAGGAAGATTTTCAACACATCTACATCCATTCCAGTAAAGTGATCAAGCAGGGAACACCAGAAATGGGACACATTGTACCCAAATGGGGAATCAAACCCAGACCTATTGCATGATGACAAACGCTTTTGACCACTGGGCTACCTGACCACCCCTTTTCCAGTTTGTATATGGGAGCTATTCGACGGTCTTACCTGTGGTAGTCCTGGGACGACATGCTGCTGTCTTTGGGTATGTAGAGCGGCACAATGTAGGGACAGAAGCTGTGGAAGTGGGCCAACATCAGGTCCCCTACATCACTGTGTTCTAACCACAGTCCTGCTGCTACCATGGCGATCGCAAATGCTGATTCATGTTTAGAAGAGACCTGCTCTTCTCCCTTTTTCTGCAAGATAATGTTAAAGCACTGATACATGCGATATACCCTTTACAAAGACATTGCTTCTGGCATGCCCAAGGGAGGTAATTCTTCACAGCGAATTGTGGTGCCTTGGATGACGGCTATCAGTGACCCGGTATTATAACAAAGTTGGTTGGTTGGGTTGTTCTTTAATGCTGCACTCAGCAATATTCCAGCTATATGACGGCGTTCTGTAATTAATCGAGTCTGGACCAGACAATCCAGTGATTAATATCATGAGCATTGATCCACGATAATCGGATTGCTGACATGCATCAACCAAGTCAGCGAGCCTGACCACCCGATCCCGTCAGTCGCCTCTTACGACAAGCATAGTCGCCTTTTACGGCAAGCATGGGTTGCTGAAGACCTATTCTACCCCGGATCTTCACAGGCCTTGTAACTAAGTATAAGTAATATAAATCCATATCTGAAAAACAAGGTCTTACCACAAACATTCTGGCTATGAGGTTTTTACAGAAGGAGATTCCCTCTGGTGTATCTTTAGCAGAGACATGTTTGCCCTCGATCTGATGTCCCCCGAGCAGGTGGATGAGTTTCTGCAGCTTGTCCCTCAGGTTGGAGCCATCGACCGGGGCGATGGAATTGATGGGGGTGTTCACGGATTTCTGCAGCTCAAACCGATACTTCTTCATCTGGGGACGACAGACAATTGGACTTGTTACAGAGTCAACTTTTTAATGACATACAACCAGGAATCCTTCATGTTGTTTCAATTACAAACATAATAAAATTGACACAGGGTAACAGCAGCCTGTATATAATTGAGTCTGGACCAGACAAGCCAGTGATTGATCATGAGAAACAACCTTACATTGAACCAGTCACTGAATGGGAGTATGTGATTGAAGCAACATTAAGCACATTCTTTAGAATCGGCATGCAATGGAACCCTGCTTATGTGAACAATCACGTTTTTAAGGCATCATCAGGAAAAACAACTTTTCGGATATGTGAATCACTTAGTGAACTGACAAGAGTTAGCTCCCCTATTCAGGGTTAGAAACCAACAGTTTTTGTCCACTAGTCCTTATAATGATAACATATAGCAAAACCCTTAAAATGGGCCAATTTCTACTAGTCCTTAGGATACCTTTAGTATTGGGCAGTTTGGTAAGGACTACAGGACTAGTGCCAATTTCTAATGCTGCCTATTTGACTGTCAGGTGACTTCATTGTTGTCTATGTTGATGAAGTCTTGGTCGCACAAGATCCCACGTGACTGTATCTGCCCATCTATGGCAAGGAACCAATCTCTGAAGAGATCGGAGGTTAACCACGCTTGGGTTTTTCGATAGCAGCATACACTTCTGTGTTGCATTCTTTCTAGCATGTTAATTGGTGATCGCAGTCTCAGCTTCCGAATTGACACTTATAGCCTAGTCAAAATTCAGATTAACGGCCAATCTATCATTCTAAACGGCATCCAATGCTTCACTATCCTTTGAAGTTGGCTGTCGTGTGATGACCTAAATAAACATTGTTACACGTTCTTTACCTGTGTATTAGTGGAAAGTGAGTGAGTGAGTGAGTATGGTTTTACGCCGCTTTTAGCAATATTCCAGCAATATCACGGCGGGGGACACCAGAAATGGGCTTCACACATTGTACCCATGTCAGGAATCGAACCCGGGTCTTTGGCGTGACGAGCGAACGCTTTAACCACTTGGCTACCCGACTGCCCCATTAGTGGAAAGTGCAGCAAGTGACTTAAGCATCTAGGTGAGATGAAACAGTGTTTAACATCACATTCAATATTATTGCTCTTCTATGGCGACGTGAGTGAACGTGGATGCTTGTACTTTTCCAGATTTATGCGGTTTTTCTAGTCCACTGAGGTGAGGTGAAATTGGGTTTAACGACGTGTCCAAGATTATTGCACTTATATAGCGATGTGCATGTACGTGTGTGTGTTTGTGTGGCTGCTTGTACTAGTCCGGACTGATGCCGATTTATAGTGCTAGCTCACTGAGATACCATGCTGCAGTTTAACATGAATACCCCACTCAGACACAGTATACCGACTCCGAGCCGACCAGTCCTTGTTTTAGCCCCTTTATGCCGAGCACCAGACAGGGTAACAACAAGTACCATCTTTTAACGTCTTAATGGTATGACGCGGCCGGGGATCGATCCCGGACCTTCCACTCTCCGTGCGGACGCTCTACCACTGGACCACGGAGGCGGTCTCTAGTCCACTGAAATACCATGCCACAGTTTAACATGGATACCCCACTCAGACACAATATGCTTACTCTGAGCTGACCAATCCTTGTTTATCCCCTAATGCTGATCGTTAGGCAGGGTAAAACCACCTCTTAACATCTTTAGGTATGACACACCTGGAGATCGAACCACTGACCTTCAGCTCTCGCATGTCATCTAGCTTGGCCTTACCTGTGTATGAGCTGTAAACGCAGCAAGGGACTTCAGCACATCATCTAGCTTGGCCTTACCTGTGTATTAGCTGTAAACACAGCAAGGGACTTCAGCACATCATCTAGCTTGGCCTTACCTGTGTATTAGCTGTAAACGCAGCAAGGGACTTCAGCATGTCATCTAGCTTGGCCTTACCTGTGTATTAGCTGTAAATGCAGCAAGGCACTTCAGCACATCATCCAGCTTGGCCTTACCTGTGTATAAGCTGTAAACGCAGCAAGGAACTTCAGCACATCATCTAGCTTGGCCTTACCTGTGCATTAGCTGTAAACGCAGCAAGGGACTTCAGCTCATCATCTAGCTTGGCCTTACCTGTGTATTAGCTGTAAACGCAGCAAGGGACTTCAGCATGTCATCTAGCTTGGCCTTACCTGTGTATTAGCTGTAAATGCAGCAAGGGACTTCAGCACATCATCTAGCTGGGCCTTACCTGTGTATTAGCTGTAAACGCAGCAAGGGACTTCAGCATGTCATCTAGCTTGGCCTTACCTGTGTATTAGCTGTAAATGCAGCAAGGGACTTCAGCACATCATCCAGCTTGGCCTTACCTGTGTATAAGCTGTAAACGCAGCAAGGAACTTCAGCACATCATCCAGCTTGGCCTTACCTGTGTATGAGCTGTAAACGCAGCAAGGGACTTCAGCACATCATCTAGCTTGGCCTTACCTGTGTATTAGCTGTAAACACAGCAAGGGACTTCAGCACATCATCTAGCTTGGCCTTACCTGTGTATTAGCTGTAAACGCAGCAAGGGACTTCAGCATGTCATCTAGCTTGGCCTTACCTGTGTATTAGCTGTAAATGCAGCAAGGCACTTCAGCACATCATCCAGCTTGGCCTTACCTGTGTATAAGCTGTAAACGCAGCAAGGAACTTCAGCACATCATCTAGCTTGGCCTTACCTGTGCATTAGCTGTAAACGCAGCAAGGGACTTCAGCTCATCATCTAGCTTGGCCTTACCTGTGTATTAGCTGTAAACGCAGCAAGGGACTTCAGCATGTCATCTAGCTTGGCCTTACCTGTGTATTAGCTGTAAATGCAGCAAGGGACTTCAGCACATCATCTAGCTGGGCCTTACCTGTGTATTAGCTGTAAACGCAGCAAGGGACTTCAGCATGTCATCTAGCTTGGCCTTACCTGTGTATTAGCTGTAAATGCAGCAAGGGACTTCAGCACATCATCCAGCTTGGCCTTACCTGTGTATAAGCTGTAAACGCAGCAAGGAACTTCAGCACATCATCTAGCTTGGCCTTACCTGTGTATTAGCTGTAAACGCAGCAAGGGACTTCAGCACATCATCTAGCTTGGCCTTACCTGTGTATTAGCTGTAAATGCAGCAAGGCACTTCAGCACATCATCCAGCTTGGCCTTACCTGTGTATAAGCTGTAAACGCAGCAAGGAACTTCAGCACATCATCTAGCTTGGCCTTACCTGTGCATTAGCTGTAAACGCAGCAAGGGACTTCAGCATGTCATCTAGCTTGGCCTTACCTGTGTATTAGCTGTAAATGCAGCAAGGGACTTCAGCACATCATCTAGCTTGGCCTTGTACAGCTCATACTCTGTCACCACCTCATCAATAACACTCTGTCTCCGTGCAACTGAAACACACATGAAACACATTTATTTCTGTCCTCAACACAATTTTGTTTTTCTCTAGAGGAATTTATGCACAAAAAACTGGCAAGTCATAGCTTTCGTTAGATTTCTAGATTTCAAAATATCAATGATTGTAGAACAGAAATCATTTTCGAGACAAGTGAGGTTGGATGGTTGTTTCTTTGTTTGTTTTGTTGTTTAACTCTGTACTCAGCAATATTCCGGCTATATAACATCGGTATCTAAATAATCTGACCAGTGATTGACATCATGAGCATTGTTCCATGCAATTGGAATACGATGACAAGCATCAACCAAGTAAGTGAGCCTGACCACCCCATCCTGTCAGTCGTGCCTTACGACACGAATGCTTGCTTTTGCTGTTTAATGCCACAAATATTCGAGTATGGACCTGATAACCCAGTGATCAAGATTGTGAGCAATGATCTACATCATCGGGGTATGATGAAACACAACGAACCAAATCAATGAGCCTGACCACCTGTTCCGTTTGGTCGGCTGTTACGACCAGCATAGGTTGCTGGGGACCTATTCTAACAAGGAATCACCACAGGTCAAACAGTTTTTCTGACTTCCAGGGATGAAAATCTGCACAGTGAATTGCGGCGTCTTAGACATATTTGACAACTAGGCCATCCATGACCCTGAATGACTTGAAGTTATTGGGTCAGTTCTCACTCCTAGGTGATCAAGCTGCTTGGTGACCTCTACTCATGATCCCTCGTCCCAACCTACCTGCTGATGGAGTGCCTGGAGTTGCTGGAACACCGGGCGTTGGTGCAGCCGCAGCCTACAACAGGTACACAAGACACATGTATCCATACATGCAAATTGTTCCATGTCTCAAGAGGCAGATAATAAACTGATGCTGTCTCTTGGGAAGAGTGAGTGTGAGCAAGTTTGGTTTTACGCCGCTTTTAGCAATATTCCAGCAATATCATGGTGGGGGAAACCAGAAATGGGCTTCAGACATTGTACCCATGTCGGGAATCAAACCTGGGTCTTGGGCATGACGAGCGAAAGCTTTAACCACTTGGCTACCCGACCGCCCCTCTCTTGGAAAGAACTAACAATTGTGTCTCTATGTGCCTGTACACATGTTATGGAAAACCTCACACCATCCGAAACAGAATGGCTTATATTTAGTTCTAAAATAACAATAAAAACCTTATCCTTTCAAACAACACAGCTAACAACAGATACGCATCCCAATCTTCATTATCAAGATTATGTCACTGATATGAGCATTTCGGTATAAATGCAATGTTGTTATATGTACCTGATGCTACACAGTGGTTTTGCTTCCCTACCTATTGGGGCATGGGCTATTGGTCTGATTCAGCTGTCTCTCTGTTCCAGTACTGTCTGTTTGTATAAGGTAGGAAGCTAAAGCACTGTGCAGCATCAGGTAAGGTAAAATAATTGTTTTCTTAATATCAGAGCACTATTAATTTCTAGATTTTCATACAAATTCAAATTTGGGAGGCAGGAGGCTTTTATATCATTCTTTTATTGACAACCCAATCCTGGCATCCAGGTTTGACAGACCTGTACATATATGAAATATTGTATCAAGTAAAGAAAGAACATAACACACGCAGAAAGTTTCTTTGTTGGTAGTTACTTGGGGACAATAAAATGATGTGCTGTTGGTAGGGATCTGAGGTGAACTTGATGAAAATCTAATAATTAATGTGTTATGGCCACAGACAACGTTTGCAACCCTTCCTAAAACAATTAGCTGCATAACCTGTTCTTCAAAGTTGCTTTTCAGAAATCATTCAGATCATTTTTCAGTGGCCAAAGTTCATACAGTTTCTAAGGCTCCACAACAATTGTCACTAATTTACTCATGTCTCCTACCTGAGCTGCTTCGGCCGCTGCCTTCTGCTGTGCCTGCTGTGCCTGCTGTTGTTGCTGCTGCTGTTGCTGCTGTTGCTGCTGTTTGGCCAGCTCGACTTCCTCTGCCTTGCCTTTCCTTGTGGCCTCCTCTGAAAGAACAATAAAAAGAAAGATGTACTTCTCTAAGCCTAAATAATTTGTAGCACAATGTTACTGACAAAATTGTCAAATACTTGTATGCAGAAAAATATATTCATGACAGTTTGGCAAGTTCTCAGCAAGTACACCAAGTCATGTTTAACCCAATTTCACCTCACCTCACCTCATCATGACATCACACATGTTCTTGCCAAACCTACATGTTTCACCACAAACTCACACATGCTCTTGCCATACATTGTTGTTTCACCACTCAGCCACACATACTCTTGTCACACCTAGATGTTCACCATTCACTCACACATGCTCTTGTCACACCTAGATGTTCACCACTCATCCACACATGCTCTTGTCACACCTAGATGTTCACCATTCACTCACACATGCTCTTGTCACACCTAGTTGTTCACCATTCACTCACACATACTCTTGTCACACCTAGATGTTCACCATTCACTCACACATGCTCTTGTCACACCTAGATGTTCACCATTCAGCCACACATGCTCTTGTCACACCTAGATGTTCACCATTCACTCACACATACTCTTGTCACACCTAGATGTTCACCATTCACTCACACATGCTCTTGCCACACATTGATGTTTCACCTTTCAGCCAAACATGCTCTTGCCATACCTAGGTGTTTCACCATGAAGTCACACATCGCTTGCCACACATTGATGTTTCACCACTCATGATCTTGCCATACCTAGGTGCTTCACCACTCAGCCACACATGCTCTTGTCACACCTAGATGTTCACCATTCACTCACACATACTCTTGTCACACCTAGATGTTCACCATTCACTCACACATGCTCTTGCCACACATTGATGTTTCACCTTTCAGCCAAACATGCTCTTGCCATACCTAGGTGTTTCACCATGAAGTCACACATCGCTTGCCACACATTGATGTTTCACCACTCATGCTCTTGCCATACCTAGGTGTTTCACCACTCAGCCACACATGCTCTTGTCACACCTAGATGTTCACCATTCAGCCACACATGCTCTTGCCATACCTAGGTGCTTCACCACTCAGCCACACATGCTCTTGCCACACCTAGGTGCTTCACCATGAAGTCACACATGCTCTTGCCATACCTAGGTGCTTCACCACTCAGCCACACATGCTCTTGCCACACCTAGGTGCTTCACCATGAAGTCACACATGCTCTTGCCATACCTAGGTGCTTCACCACTCAGCCACACATGCTCTTGCCATACCTAGGTGCTTAACCACTCAGCCACACATGCTCTTGCCACACCTAGGTGCTTCACCACTCAGCCACACATGCTCTTGCCATACCTAGGTGCTTCACCACTCAGTCACACATGCTCTTGCCATACCCAGGTGCTTCACCACTCAGTCACACATGCTCTTTCCACACCTAGGTGCTTCACCATTCAGTCACACATGCTCTTGCCATACCTAGGTGCTTCACCACTTAGCCACACATGATCTTGCCATACCCAGGTGCTTCACCACTCAGCCACACATGCTCTTGCCATACCTAGGTGCTTCACCATTCAGCCACACATGCTCTTGCCACACCTAGGTGCTTCACCATGATGTCACACATGCTCTTGCCACACCTAGGTGCTTCACCATGAAGTCACACATGCTCTTGCCATACCTAGGTGCTTCACCACTCAGCCACACATGCTCTTGCCATACCCAGGTGCTTCACCACTCAGCCACACATGCTCTTGCCATACCTAGGTGCTTCACCACTCAGCCACACATGCTCTTGCCATACCCAGGTGCTTCACCACTCAGCCACACATGCTCTTGCCATACCTAGGTGCTTCACCATTCAGCCACACATGCTCTTGCCACACCTAGGTGCTTCACCATGAAGTCACACAAGCTCTTGCCATACCTAGGTGCTTCACCACTCAGCCACACATGCTCTTGCCACACCTAGGTGCTTCACCACTCAGCCACACATGCTCTTGCCATACCTAGGTGCTTCACCATTCAGCCACACATGCTCTTGCCATACCCAGGTGCTTCACCACTCAGCCACACATGCTCTTGCCATACCTAGGTGCTTCACCATTCAGCCACACATGCTCTTGCCATACCCAGGTGCTTCACCATTCAGCCACACATGCTCTTGCCACACCTAGGTGCTTCACCATGAAGTCACACATGCTCTTGCCACACCTAGGTGCTTCACCATGAAGTCACACATGCTCTTGCCATACCCAGGTGCTTCACCACTCAGCCACACATGCTCTTGCCATACCTAGGTGCTTCACCATTCAGCCACACATGCTCTTGCCATACCCAGGTGCTTCACCACTCAGCCACACATGCTCTTGCCATACCTAGGTGCTTCACCACTCAGCCACACATGCTCTTGCCACACCTAGGTGCTTCACCATGAAGTCACACATGCTCTTGCCACACCTAGGTGCTTCACCACTTAGCCACACATGCTCTTGCCATACCTAGGTGCTTCACCACTCAGCCACACATGCTCTTGCCACACCTAGGTGCTTCACCACTCAGCCACACATGCTCTTGCCATACCTAGGTGCTTCACCATGAAGTCGTAAGTGTTCTTTGAGTACTCCATCAAGTTCTTCATCCCCTGCAGGTCCTCCGGCGCCAGGCCCCCCTTCTTCATCATGGCGTCGGCCTTGGCCAGGATCTGCACACACACCTGCTTGGGGGTGTGGGCTGACTCCGGCAGGTGCTGCTTGTATTTACAGTTGTCGAACAAGCTTGTCAGGTTGTCATGGGTTTGTTTAATCCTTGAATAAAACTGCAACACTGCATGCTTCTTTTCTTGTTCATTCCTGAAAAAACACCACACATTTTTTAAGAAATTGACAAAGAGTTTCATTTTGAAATCTATATATACATACATGTAAGCAATGATCCATGCCTTTGAGTTACGATGACACGCAATCTACCATGTGACTAAGTCTGACACCCGATGCATAACGTTGGCTTCTAGAACCACTAATTATTAGTCAACGCTTGAAAAATTCAATTCCTCAAGAAATTTCAAATCAGGTTGTAATAACTGAACTCTGCAAGTGAATTGTTATGCCTTGGCCACCTGTGTCCCCGTAATATTATTTGTTTGTTTATTTGTTTGTTGTTTAACGCTGCACTCACTAATATTCCAGCTATATGACAGCAGTCTGTAAGTAATCGAGTCTGGACCAGACAATCCAGTGATTGACATCAATCACCGATCCACACAATTGGGATACAATGACATGCAAGTCAGCGAGTCTGACCACCCAATCCCGTGAGTCGCCTCTTGCAAAAAGCATAGTCGCCTGTTACGGCAAGCATGGGTAGCTGAAGATATATTCTACCCCGGATATCCACAGGTCTAATATTATAAATGGTTTAGTTATATCAAGTCCCTTAAAGTCTACCTTCTCCTTTCTTCTTCCTGCAGTTGCAGCTTCTTCCTCTCTCCTTCAAGCAGTTTGTCATCTTGGATCTTAAAAGGGAATAAACATGATGAACTGAAAGTTAACATATAAATTGTATGTTAATATACTTATCCTATCTCACACTGCATTTCTTCTTTCTTCCTTCAATCCTATGTAGAAACATGCTGAACAAAAGTTTCCAGCTTCTAAAAACATTTTGCCTGAAAACATCCCACCATCACCATAGTTACCACCCAAACAAAAGGATCACACACCATAATCCTGTGCTTTGTGACCTTACACGACTTAATCACCTGACTAGCCCTGCCACATCATTCTCTTTCTTAGAATGGACAGGCTAGAGTAGCTGTGATGTGGGGATCATTTGGAGGGCATATAGCGTGTGAGATAGGATAAGTCAATATACAATTTATTGTAAAATTTTCAAATTTTTAATCTTATCGTATCTCACACTATGCATTTATTGGTTGGACGGTGGGGTTCAGTACCCTAGCCTGTATGAGACTACAACCGTGAGACCATCTTCCCGAGGCAAGGGAGTTAACTGACTATAAAAGTCCAGTTTCCACCCTTGCCGAACTAGGCTGGGATTATGGAGTTACATTTTGGCTGGACTAACGAGTCTATGCATAGTCCAATCAAATTCGCGAACCGAAATCGAAATCTGGTTCGTAAACTGTCATGCAGAGTTCGGTCGATTGCAGGATTTGCAAAGCATGTGCATCGCCAACACGTTGTCAACAGATATTTTCCAAATCTTTTCATGTTTTTAATCAAGGTGCTCTCGTGATTTGATGTACTTCCTGAAGTACGAACCGTTTTATCACAAAATAGATCTTGATGGTTGATCCGATCGTCTTGACTGGGCGCCAACATTTTGTTTGAAGCAAATGCATGTGATACGAGAGGTGGAATCTGATTGGTCCATATGGGAGAGGCATAGAATGGACATAACTTGTAATAGCCACTGGTGGCGCTACGATCGAGCCCAGGAATTCCAGCCTAGTTCAGCAAGGGTGGAAACTGCACTTTTAAAGTCAGTTAACGCTCATGCCTCGGGAAGATGCCGTGAGACATACACGAGGAAGCTTGTGCTAGACCGGGAAATAAACCATAAGTTATTACACTATCTAGTGTCATAAAGACAGGCACTCGTGAATGGGTAAAAACACCATAACAGGTGATGTAATACCCTTTACGCTAGTCAGACATAACATCAGGTATGACATGTGTTACATGTAGGACATTGTAGGAGTGACTATTGGTCTGGAAAACACTATTGCGATAACTATTGATATTGAAAGAAACTATTGTGATAACTATTGATATTGCAAGCAACTATTGTGATAAATATTGATAGTTTTCAGTGTATCATTTCAGATGGATTTTACAGTTGAATCAAACCTTGGAACTGAAGTTTCCTTTTAATGTGATAACCATAACAACAAATAAAAAGTAAAGTTTGAGATATGACTGATTTGTTGTTTCTTTACCCTAATTTTTTACTTTAAGAAAGACCGGTTGCTAAGCATCAAGGGCAGTTAACTCTAATCCTCACTCAGCTGCGTTCACAAGCGTGTTTCGGTATCGATATTCCTATCTGAAATCGACACTATTGATCCGAAACAGATTTAAAGATCGATTTATTGACTTTAAGTGATTACCAATAGTACTATATCGATATTTCGATTTATCGTGACACCCCTAGGACATTGTTACATGAACAACTGCATAGCCATGAATAGGGGCCTATTCAGCCACGACTCATAACCAATCCGAAAGTGTTCTCCAGTCAATCAGTTCTACAAGACAGACCACACCACTATCTCCTACGGACAATAGGGTGAACCCGCTTGGCATATCTTTTAAGACTTTGTCAAAGTCATCAATCATGCTTGTGGGATTGAAGTATGCTAAGATGAAAAGTGGGAACGACAACATCCAGGAGAGGATCTTTAAACCAATACTAAGACATAACATGCACTGGACAGAGGTGAACAGGTGAGGGCTCAGGACACCGCCGAAACGGCCTGCCTTGTGGTGACTTCGATGTTGAAGAGCGGAGTCTCTCCAAATGAATCACTTTACCCTCTACTGGGTACTCAATCTGGGAACCGGAATAACAATGACAATAAACAAAGCAGTGACCTTTCAATATTTATTCTCTATGTACAGGATACAGTGTACTGGGTTGCAGGATGGCAGCCATCAAGTATTTGCGCCAGGACCAAGTTACCAAATTGGTGCAGGCCCTCAGCTATGGTAGGGACGACGGCTCTAGTCTCATGTGGGTTGGATGTCACAGTAGGTGAGGTGAAATGGGGTTTAACCTCGCGTCCAAGATTATTGCACTTACATAGCGACGTGAATGTACGTGTGTGTGTTTGCTTGTACTAGTCCGGACTGATGCCGATCTATAGTGCTAGATCACTGAGATACCATGCCGCAGTTTAACATGAATACCCCACTCAGACACAGTATACTGACTCCGAGCCGACCAGTCCTTGTTTTAGCCCCTCACAGCTGAGCGCCAGACAGGGTAACAACAAGTACCATCTTTTCACGTCTTTTGGTATGACGCGGTCGGGGATCGAACCCCAGACCTTCCACTCTCCGGGCGGACGCTCTACCACTAGACCACGGAGGCGGTCTGTCACAGGAGGAGGCAACACAGCGAAGACGTGAACGCGAAGGATAGTCAAGCAGTACCAGATGGTTGGTTGGTTGGTTTGTTGTTTAATGCCGCACTCAGCAATATTCCAGCTATATGACCGCGGTCTGTAAATAATCAAGTCTGGACCAGACAATCCAGTGATTAATATCATGAGCATCGATCCACGCAATTGGGATTGATGACATGGATCAACCAAGTCAGCGAGCCTGACCACCCGATCCTGTTAGTCGCCTCTTACGACAAGCATAGTCGCCTTTAACAGCAAGTATGGGCACCAGAAGGAGGCTGTGGTACGGGAGTTTTCCACAGTGGCTGCCGCGGAAAGTTGGATGAAGAGTCTCTTCCGAGAGCGTCTGAGTGGCGCCACAGCCTTGAGGTGTGGCAGAGGTAGTCACGGGTAGTCAGGTGATCAAGTCGACTAAGGTCACAACACACAGGATTACAGTGCATGACCCATTTAATTGGGTGAAAACTATGGTGATGCTGGGATGTGTTCAGGTGAAATGTTTTAGAAGCTGGAAACAATCTCATTAAAATCAGATATAAGTTCTCGCTACCGCTAAACAAAGATCTGAGGACATCCCATTAGGAGTCACGTCAGAACGACCTTTCATCTGACCAATCGGAGCGCCGCCTACCAGATCATGAAAGTGACAGTCAGAATGCGATTTCTAATCATGCAACCTCGAAAACTTTAACACAGGGTATTCCGAACTAAGTTCTGATTTAATGAGATTGGAAATTTTGTTTTAGCATGTTTCCACATAGGATCGAAAGAAGAGGGAAGAAATGCATAGTGTAAGATAGGATAAGTTAAAAAATCAGAATTTTAGTAACTTTACTAAGAAGCAAAATTTCCCACACATTACTCAAATTGAAAATTGATGCAAAAACAGGACTAGGATTTACAGATGTAATGCCTTCCCATGTATCTATTTTCAAAAGCAGTACATGCAGTTTTGCATAACCCGGCCTGAGAACTACACTGACTAGCGTTACACCGACCAGAAAATATAATGTCAAATCAGATTGTATAATCAGTGATAATCCTATAAGAAAGAGCCTAATTTAACCAGTCATGTGACTGAAACACAAACCTGTTAATTGTGATAACCTTTAGTAAGCAAGGTCACCCTGAACATGCAGAATTCATGAAAACCAGGACAAATTAAGTTCTCTGATCCGTGACGTGACTGAAGTATGTCCCCATACGTTATGTAAAGTTGGTGTCACAACCCAAGATGCACAAGATGCAAATGATGCACTGCCATCTGAGACACAAAACAACATATGTTAACTGACTTTTGGAAATTATCTTAGCAACAAAACCTGATCAATAGACATGTGATTCGTAATCTCATTAACTGAAGTAACTCTAGAAAAAGGGTTTGAATATGATACAAGATCAACATGATCAAAACTTTTGATACGATACAAGATCAAACATTTGAGTGAGTGAGTGAGTGAGTGAGTATGGTTTTACACCCATTTTAGCAATATTCCAGCAATATCACGGCGGGGTACACCAGAAATGGGCTTCACATATTGAATCAATGTTGGGAATCGAACCCGGGTCTTCAGCGTGACGGACGAACGCTTTAACCATTAAGCTACCCGCCCGCCCCATCAAACATTTGATACGATACAAGATCAAACATTTGATCGATACAAGATCAAACATTTGATCGATACAAGATCAAACATTTGATCGATACAAGATCAAACATTTGATACGATACAATATCAAAACTTTTGATACGATACAAGATCAAACATCTGATATGATACAAGATCAAACATCTGATATGATACAAGATCAAAACTTTTGATACGATACAAGATCAAACATTGATACGATACAAGATAAAACATTTGATACAATACAAGATCAAACTTTTGATACGATACAAGTTTAAACATTTGATACGATACAAGATCAAAACAATTCAACTTCCAAACCACTGACCTTTTTCCTCGTTCGATGGCTGTCTCTCATCTGCTGAATCCTCTTGCTTGTCTCGGCTTTCCTGCAGCACAAGTCAGATAATGTGAAGTGAGGCACTAACGTAAAGTGAGTGAGTGAATGTTGAGACAGTCAGCAATATTCCAGCTATATCATGACGGCCTGTAAACAATCAAGTCTTGACTAGGAGTAACTTGATGTAAAGGATAGAGACACTGCTTCTAAGTTCTAGCAGCTTTAAGAGGGCATGTCATTGCATAGGATACCATGGCTGCAGTTCATCATTGGAGAATATGTCGAGCTGTCGGGTAGTGTCTCCTTTCTTTCTTAAAGACTCGATTCATTTCATCTAACATCATTAGGAATGTCACCATCATTGTTGCTTTGGCAAAAGATCTATTTTAGCAATTCTAAGTTAGTCCGGAGCAGCTTAGCACTTGAGCTTAACTTACAAGTTTCTTAGATCAGATTGCTTTGTGTAATTGACAGACGATCATAACAGGAAGTGAAGATTGCATACTGTGTGAGTGAGTATGGTTTTACGCCACTTTTAGCAATATTCCAGCAATATCACGGCGGGGGACACCAGAAAATGGGCTTAACACATTGTACCCTAGTCGGGAATTGAATCTGGGTCTTCGGCGTGACGAGCTAACGCTTAAGGCTACCCGACTGACCCCGCATACTTAGTGAGTTACCATCAATTTAGTGCTAACATCGCTGTAATGGTCAAAATGTTTATTTCTTTTTTCTATCAACTATGATACCGGTACCTTAATTGGTTAAGGAGGTATGAAATCTGGTTTCTAGAATTTCCACAAATTATGTATTGCATATAACAACAGTAGTATACAATAATAAATCATTGTTATGGTTAGGATGTTTATTTAATTTCCTGGTTTTGAATGTTATGTTTCATTTTTGATCATGTGCCAATATTATATCAACCTTAATAACCATGATAACAAGGGAGATAAGCACAGATTGGTGTGGTCATATCACCATGTGCTTTAGCAGCATGCATGAGGAAGTCATGCTAGGAGCCAGTGAGGTCTAAAGTAATGGTAAGGCACATTTATTCACTCATTTGAAAATTCATAAATAGGAATTTGTTTATAAATGCATCTTCTTAATTTCTACCATACATAGTAACTTAATTCTTCATATTGAGGGTTTGTGGCTGATTTAGACTTGGCTCATGGAAATACACCCTAGACTTCAACTTTGTTCATAAATATTCTCATGGCCTAAAGTTATGAAAGGTTTATGAAATATTAAACTTCCTGTTTATTTAGTGCAGTTAAGGCATTGTTTCTGTACATTTTATTGGACTATTATCATGATTATGTACTTAAAGTAATTTCCAGGTTTGTGTTGTAATTTACCTTATTGTTAAAAGCTCATGCCTTTGTAAAGTAAACTAGCCCAACCTAGTATTACTGCTGTATTATGAAGTTAATGTGTAAATTAATGAAATTTAAAAGCCATATACTCAATGAAATCCTTTCTATTTGTTACAGTCAATCTAATGTTTGTACATGAGACAAAAGAATGAGAAAAGAATAAAGAATCAAGATTATTGGTTGGAATTTCATGTTGTAATCAACAATCACTTTGTGGAACAGAACACAGACAATGTACAACACTTTCAGTGAACATTTTGAACAATAATAAATATGTTCATGATGATAAAAATTCCAAAATAACTCTTTATAATTTTATCCCCCCCCCCCCCCCCCCCACACACACACACACACACACATACTGATGATGATTGTTCACACCCAAAAACTCAAAAATTAACCAAGAAATAAAAGCGCTCCGGCCTGACTATAGAAATGTCCAGTGTGACTCACTCCTTCTGCTGTAATCTGGATGTCTGCTCGTACAGCTTCCTCATATCCTCCCGCTGCTTCTCCTCCAGCTGGTTGGCCTTCTCCTCCACCATCAGCTGCAGCTCTTGGTCCTTCCTCTCAAACTCCTTCCTCTTGGCTTCAATCAGACCCTGGAATTTGTACCACGGGGGGATGAAATACTCACATGTGTAACTGCACACTTGGACCACACATTGTAAACAGTACAGCCCCAAAGATTTGTTTTTGTTTTGTTTGTTGAATAACAATAAACTCATCAATGTTCCAGCTATACGACGGTGGTCTGTGAATGTTCTCCACAGGTCTAATCAATTCTGGATCAGACAATCCGGCAACTGATATTGTGAGAATGATTCTCGTCGTCTGGGTACAGTCAACCATGTCACAGAATCTGACCATCCAATGTATATAGTCTCCTCTCACGACCAGCACAGGCTGTTGGGGAGCCATCTTCCCGAGGCAAGAGAGTTAACTGACTTTAAAGTCCAGTTTCCTACCTTGCCGAACTAGGCTGGTATTACGGAGTTACATTTTGGCTGGACTAACAAGTCTATGCATAGTCCAATCAAAATCGCGCACCGAAATCCAGTTCGTAAACTTTCGTGCAGATTTTGGTCGATTGCAGGATTTGCAAAGCATTTGCATCGCCAACCCGTTGTCATCAGATTTCTTCCAAATCGTTTCGTCTTTTTAATCAAGGTGCTCACGTGATTCGATGCATTTCGCGATGTAAGATCCGTTTTATCACAATGTAGATCTTGATTATCGATCAGATCGTCCTGACTCGGCGCCACCATTTTGTGTGAAGCAAACGCAAGTGATACGAGAGGTAGAATCTGATTGGTCCATAGGAGAGGCTTAGAAGGGATGTAACTGGTAATAGCCACTGGTGGCCCTTCGATCGAGCCCAGTAATTCCAGCCTAGTTCGGCAAGGGTGGAAACTGGACTTTTAAAGTTAGTTAACTCCCTTGCCTCAGGAAGATGTTGGGGAGCATGCCCCAAGGCATATATATTAATGAGCACATGTTCAACATGTTCAATAAAAATATGAAGACTCGAAGAACAAATGTTTCAGGCTCATTTACTTGATTTAACAAAATGATCCAAACATATGCTAAAGCATCATATTGTTTATATATTATATCAATCATGTATTAATCAAATGTTTATGAAAATGATAAATAGATAATAACTATTAGACACACCCACAACACCAGGCTCAGTGAAGCTCACATTTAATAGATCATCACATAATAAACTTCCCTTTCTGCTCTGTAATCAAGGTTCAGGTAACCGATTTCTTGGACATAAAGTTGGACATAGGTCGAACTAAATACCGTAGTCAACGTAATAAGCGCCCCGCTCCAATAAGCGCCCACACAGCGATATTTGCTAATATATTGAATAGCTAGTGATCAATCCCAATTAGCACCCCTTCCAATTGATCAATGTACACAAGACTTATTTATTCGTGTATAATGCGCACTCATGTGTTATATGCACCCTAAATTCTGGACAATTAAATTCTGGAAAAAATATCTGTTGTGTATAACACGCACAGACTTTTCTTTTGTATCATTTCAGGCTGTTAGCATAAACCACAAAATTTATGATCTTTCAACTCTTTTTTTTTTTCTCACCAAAATTATATTCTAATAGGGCCCCCTATTTCTAATTTTGAGAGCGCCCTGGGCACTGATTACGTCAAAAACAGTATGAAAAATCAACCAATCAGACCTTAGCCTTGTTGTCACACATGACTTCGTAGTGGCGGATCTGTAAACTGGTGCGTCCATAGTCCGGGGACACAGGAGGTGATGTATACAGCTTGATGCTGGCCGGCAGAGGCCTGTCCTGCTTGGTGCTGTCCCCCACCCCATTAACAGTTTTACTGGAGGATGCTGACACATCCAGGTCCTCTGCTTCATCTTTGCTGGGAACAGTCAGATAGAAACATTTTGGTCTTGTTCATAATTTAAGTCTTTGATAGGCATTTATAAGTTGGGAGAACATGAATACATGACACTTTTTATGGACAACATGTTTAGTGATTTTTAATTACCCTTTGTCTTGCTTCTCATCTGGACTTTGTAGGCTTGGCACAACCTTGCCTTCTCTTCTGTAGGATGTGTTTTCCGGGTGGTAGATATACAACTTAGGAGGGGCAGATACCTCTTCTGTCAGTTTCTGAAACAGTGGTAATCTTAACCAATATCACAGGAGAAAGTAAGCATGGTAAGAATGATTTAAGGGAAAAAATGTTCCAACTCGTAGCCATCTAGCCGATGCTGGTTTAATTAGCCTGAGTAATCACCAGATATATTTTAAAATATTAGATTGTTACAAAGACGTACCCGTGATATAAGTTTGTACCAGTGTACAGCTTCAGATGCATGGGAATTTGAGATATTGTTCCTTTATCATGTTTATGTGGATAACTGCTGATAATATATATATATATAACTTTTGTCGGTTCTAATTCTGATATTAGCATTTTGCTTTCATTCATTTGCTGTAGCAAGAATGCGGAAGTCCTCAACGGTGACTGAGCACATTGTTCCTACATAAAACATGTCCAGCAATAACAATCAGTTGAATCAAAGTGCTATAATGATAAATATATATAGTAAAAGCTGCTTACCAAAATAACTCGTTAATGGAATATATATTTTGATAAAATAATAATTTCCGATACAATTCATCCCATCATTGCATCAAAAGTCTTTGAAGGGTATTTTTTCAACCGAATCAACAGTAGATTGATAAAAAATGTGCGTTCATCCTTTCAAGTCGTGTATCAAGTTGAACAGTTGTTGAACCGATGTTGCGAACTGACCCCTAGTCTTGGACAGTTAACATGTAACATGATCATGAATAACTACTAGCCATATGGTAAAAATATGTTACATATTAATATTGTTAAAAGGCTAAGCGCACCTGCACGAGCTCCGAGCTCAGCTCGCGCTTATACCGAAGCAGTCCCTTGTTGGTCCTTTTCAGGTCTTCAGCCACTCCCATGATTGTTGTTTAGCCGACCTGTGACAGCTCAAATTGTTATCTCCAGGTTTAATTCCGTTTCCTAAATCATCATCGTCTTGCGATAGCGTGCCGCCATTGATTTAAACATTCAATTATAAAACATGTAGCGGAAAACCAATACGAATCTTGCATATTATTTTCGTAGCGTTTGCAAGAGTTTGTATGATAATAAATGTATATCTGAGTCAAGGGCATTTTGACTCGATGTTATATCATTTGAATAACATCTTGCTCTTAATATTACTCATCATTGACTAAATAAAACCGCCAATCTTTTTAAGTAGTCATGGCAGTTTGCTTTTTAATTAATCAAGGGCAAATAACTCTAAAGTAGCACAATGACAAACAAGTGAGGCGCTTGTAAAATCTACACAGGAAAATTCGCGTTTCAAACACATTTCAGCCAAAAGTAAAGTATTTAGTATTTTTTCAAATTCAAAATATCATTTTTTTCAACATGTAAATATGATTTCTAAAGATAGTTTGCAATATTTTCTCTTCTGCTGAATTCTCATCAATTCATGAAACATTTAGAGAAGGAACGTGGTCTCATCTGGTGTCCCACTCCTTAATTTTGCTGCAATATTGCTAAAAGCGGCGTAAAACAGAACTAACTCACTCTACACGATGCATATATACAAATCATCTTTGTCAGTCCCTCTTAGCCTGTTATTTATTTCAGCAAAATTAAGGAGTGGGACAATAATATACCCAGGAAACAACGTCTATGTGCACTCTGTAACTCTCCATCAATATCTCATGAATTCCATCGGGGGGGGGGGGGGCAGCTCTTCAGGCGGAATGGCGGGTAATATCAAGGGCAACCATACGCATGTTTATCAATAGTATGCCATGGCCACGGTCCTAACTATTTTTGCGGACACCCCACTTTGTAAACAGGTACACAAAAAGGGACTGACATGTTGACCTCACAGTGTAATGGAATCTTCCAGAATACAGATTTTATCTTTTTAGATTTTGTTACAATGTAGAAAAATGAGACTTGTGCCATAGATGCTTGTATCAAAGGAATTATCATCAGCTTCTTTTCTCAAGATTGACATCCAGAAGCTATTTAACAGACTGTTAGCATCTGTCAGATTTCACGTACACTTTGAGATGGCGACCATTCGTGCTGTGGGGACGGAGTTGATGCCACTTTTCACAGACAGTTTGGCGCAAAACCCAGGAACTTTGAATTACTTCTGCATACAATGCTGCATAACACTCACACCATATATTGATCTACACGCCCGAAATAAATTTTCGACATTTATCGTCATTACACCTTCACTATAATTTCACCAGTTCCCTTATTTTGTTGTCGGCAGTATATAGTATGGCCGCCAAGGGCAGGGCTTTTGACACGCAAGGTGTAACATATGATATTGATAATGCCAATCTTGTTTTCGATGCAGCTTTGAAGAAACGATTTAGAAAGTACATTATATGAAAACAAATCAATCAGAAGTAGAATCCCAAATTGATACAACAAAAGGAGATATCGGTTAACGGCTAACACGATACGAGGTATTAAATATAGTTAATTCTTAAAGTTTGTTCAGAGGAGTAGGGTTTCGAAGACATGTACCCAAAAACAAAGCAAAACACACTTTACCCCGATATATCGATCCTACCAAGTTACTTTTGACATGCAACCCAGGCAACATAAGAAAGGAAACATATGGCATCAAAGTTCATCAAACTTTCAATAAATGTTTTTACAAAAAATAACTAAAGTAGAATATCTGCGAAAAGATCAGAGGTTAATCTGATGCACGCAACCAAAAACGTATATAAGAAAAAGGTTGAGACAGTTTTTGTGTATTAAGTATGGAGACACTTTCTGGAACGTTTGGAAGCATTTCTTCCAGTCGGTACAGAGAAATATAGTGCAATTTAACATACATACTATAGTGCAGAAATGCTTGTAAAAAATATGTTTTTCAAGATAATATCATAGATAACAGAATCGTCTGAAACGCCCCAGCACTGTTTGACGTCATTGATGAGTATGGTTTTACGCTGCTTTTAGCAATAATCCAGCAATATCACGGCGGGGGACACCAGAAATGGGCTTCACACATTGTACCCATGTCGGGAATTGAACCCGGGTCTTAGGCGTGACGAGCGAACGTTTTAACCACTAGGCTACCCGACCGCCCCAGAATGCTCTGTTACCTTTAGAAGCACCCTCTTTCTAAGTGAACACTCGGGGCACGGGTGGCCCAGTCGTCTAAGGCGCCGCGATTCGCTGTGCAGGGTTGCGTCCCTTGGGCACGCCAGAAACCTATGATTGTGGGTTCGAATCCCGGTTCGCCCCGATAATGTTTCTAGGTTTGTCAGCACCATACCCGTGCTCGTGGGTTTCACCGAAGTGGTAGACGTCTGAGACCTGCATCACTTCGGGCTTTCCTCCCACATTAAGCTGACACGCCGTGATATAACTGGAATACTGTTAAAAGCGGCGTTAAACCCAACTCACTCACTCACTAACTGAACACTCACATCTGTGAAACAGACATGACGTCAGTCTGGACACTGAGACAGTCTAACCGTCCCAGCAGTAATATGGCTGATTTAGTGTCGTTTCGTACCCAGCTGGATGCTCATGGCATTAAACCACTGTTTCCATTCATCCAGGCTGGATATGAACTTTGCAGACAACAATGAATGCCCCCACACTGGAAAAAAACAATAAAAATAAATGCTCACAGAATGCTGCGTCTAATAATGTATTTCATATACTTGTATGACCTGAGGTATGTCTGGGTTCTTTTTTTATCCTCCTTTAGTTATTCTTAATTATTTATGCTCAACATAAAGTTGTGCTTGCAAGTATGTTTACTTGTTTGTTTGTTTTTAACGCCGCACTCGGCAATATTCCAGGTAAATGAGGCGATCTGTAAATAATCGAGTCTGGACCAGACAATCCAGTGAGTGACATGAGCATCGATCTACGCAATTGGGATACTATGACATGCATCAAACAAGTCAGCGAGCCTGACCACCCGATTCCGTTAGTCGCCTTTTACGACATGCGTTGGTTGCCGAAGATCTATTCTAACCCTAATCTTCACGGGCCCTGCAACTGAAGTGCTCAGTTGAATATAAGTACTGGAAAAGGTGTCACGCAACCCTTTTTCGACGGCCTCTAAGGTGTGCTCCAGAGCTTCTGATCTGGTTGATAATGAATGTTGAAACGGTAGAGGATTTACGGTAGTAGCAGTATTGTGGAATACAACACTGACGCACGAACTGTGTCAGGTCAGAAGGTGATATGGTTAATCACAGGCAATTGTTTCTAAGGTTAAGTTCTAGCTTACTTGCCGAGGAAATAAGACATCACTTTTAATACTTGTCTAGGGACGAAGTGATGTTTGTCCAGTTATTATGCACAGTTTTGGTCATCGTCAACATCTGTGATGACGTTTCTGCAGCAGGACGTCCACGCCATATTGTGTTCATCGTGGCGGATGATCTCGGTATGATTTGATTTCGAAAATTTAATTTCCCCACGCTGCAATTTGGGAAAATGTTCAACAAGCGTTACACTATTTCATGAAGCGAATTTTCATTTTTCTGGATATCACATGTTCCTGTACGGACAAATCATTGAAAGTGACCATTGACTGAACTCACTATGTACATATACTAGTAGTTAAGCGTCGTTTTATGTAAGAAACCTTTTGAAGTCAGTGGATAAAATACGACTTCAGTTATTAGCATATATTCACTGGCTAAAATTACTTCATTCTATTCTGCAAGTGAATGATTTGTCACATGTTCATCAATCTTCGGTGCAGTATCGTATATCATTTTGCATAATTTATGACTGATCCTTTATTTTATTTATCCTGAGTTTTATTATTAAGTGAGTTAGTTACATCAAGGTCAACCTTATATTGAGAAGGTGAGGTGAGGTGAGGTGAGGTGAGGTGAAATGGGGTTTAACGTCGCGTCCAAGATTATTGCACTTATATAGAGACGTGCATGCTTGTACTAGTCCGGACTGATGTCGATTTATAGTGCTAGCACACTGAGATACCATGCCGCAGTTTAACATGAATACCACACTCAGACACAGTATACTGACTCCGAGCCGACCAGTCCTTGTTTTAGCCCCTTCATGCCGAGCGCCAGACAGGGTAACAACAAGTACCATCTTCTAACGTCTTTTGGTATGACGCGGCTGGGGATCGAACCCCGGACCTTCCGCTCTCCGGGCCGACGCTCTACCATTAGACCACGGAGACGGTCCATATTGAGAAGGCCCGTAGTGATGCAGTTAGTAGAAGTTTACCAATTTGGCGCGGTGAGAGAAGATTATGAAGCGTACTTGGCACGAGTCTGTGACTCGAACCTACGAGCAATACTGTATTAAGCCTAACGAAGAAGCGTTCGGCCAACAATGATATGGTATTATCTGTGCTGAATTAGAAATTATATTGGTATTGTGTAATTCACCATACCATCAGCAATTGCAGACATTTTCACTGATGCCTTTGTATTTGAACGCACACCTCACTGATATCATTGTGGTATATAATCATCCGTCTCAACAGATGATTTCAACTTTTGAAACGATTTTCAGGATGGAACGATGTTGGCTTCCATAACCCAGATATGATCACACCCAACATCGACAAGCTGGCAACAGAAGGCTTGATACTGAATCATTCCTATGTCCAACCGCTCTGCAGTCCGTGAGTAGCAGAAGGCTTGATGCTGAATCAATCTTATGTCCAACCGCTCTGCAGTCCGCGAGTAGCAGAAGGCTTGATACTGAATCAATCTTATGTCCAACCGCTCTGCAGTCCGTGAGTAGCAGAAGGCTTGATACTGAATCATTCCTATGTTCAACCGCTCTGCAGTCCATAAGTAGTGGAAGGCTTGACACTGAATCATTTCTATGTACAACCCCTCTGCAGTCCGTAAGTAGCAGAATGCTTGACACTGAATCATTTCTATGTACAACCCCTCTGCAGTCCGTAAGTAGCAAAATGCTTGACACTGAATCATTCTTATGTTCAACCCCTCTGCAGTCCATAAGTAGTGCAAGGCTTGACACTGAATCATTCCTACGTACAACCCCTCTGCAGTCCGTAAGTAGTGCAAGGCTTGACACTGAATAATTCCTATGTTCAACCGCTCTGTAGTCCGTAAGTAGCAGAATGCTTGACACTGAATCATTCTTATGTTCAACCCCTCTGCAGTCCGTACGTAGCAGAATGCTTGACACTGAATCATTCCTATGTTCAACCCCTCTGCAGTCCATAAGTAGTGCAAGGTTTGACACCGACTCATTCCTATGCACAACCCCTCTGCAGTCCGTAAGTAGTGCAAGGCTTGAGACTGAATCATTCTTGTGTTCAACCTCTCTGCAGTCCGTAAGTAGTGCAAGGCTTGAGACTGAATCATTCTTGTGTTCAACCTCTCTGCAGTCCGTAAGTAGTGAAAGGTTTGATACTGAATCAACCTTATGTCGAAACACTCTGCAGTTAGTAAGTGAGTGAGTGAGTTGGGTTTAACGGCGCTTTGAACACTATTCTAAGTCTGTAAGTAGCAGAATACTTTATGCTGAATGACCTTTATGTCGCACCACTATACAGTCCGTATGTACAGACGGCGTGATACTGATTCGTTCCTATGTCCAACCCCTGGTCTCTTCAATATTGGTCGAGTTGGTTGATTCTCAAACCTAATTAATACTGTCTGATACTTTTCAAAATATTCAGTTGAAGGGAGCTGTCAATTCAATTCAATTTAATGTTTTCAAGACCATATGACCATATAACATGCATGCATATTATGCAATTATTTTACATTGCACATGCATCGTGGTATTGCACGTCAGTTCTGAATATAAATACAATATACATATATTTTGACAGATGAAAAATATTCTCAAGTATTTTACAATTAATTATTGACATCATATCGTTGGGTGGTTGTTTGATATTTGATACGTTGTATTAGCGCACAAGTGTTTTGAAGGGTGTATTACAAGCTATTGTCCAAATTAGCTGAGGAGTTATAATTAGATCTAGATATTTAAATTTACACAGACTAACATTTTTGCCTGTTTATCATTTCTCCTTCCAATGCCCAGGCCCATTTGTTGAAAAACGATTTATTCTGAGGCTAAAAAACCCAATAATCTTGGTCCTCAGGCACCACCCGCATCATCATAAAGTCTGCAGCACGTTTTGTTTTTATTTCCATTTTCAAAAAAATATAAAAATCCTCATACTTAAACACAACGCACCAAAACAAATTGAAATTGGAAGCAAAAACGAAAGAACTTTATGCTGATGTGGGCATGGCTTGAGAACCAAGACTATTATTTTTTTAGCCTAATATACGACACCAAAGATAAAGACATCCTCTCTCATCCGTTGAACGGCGACCCTGGTGACAAGTTTGTGTACAGAATCTCAGCAAGTCCCTAGTTATGGTGATACAATATGGCATATGAAGATTTATTCCGGTGAATATAATTTGTATAACGGATACCAGTGTTGGCCATGCCTTCGTGATTTACGACGATAGTTTACAATGTATGCTAATGTTGTGAACACCCGATTCTGTCCTAATACTGGACTTCACCTGCCATGGCATGGTAGATTAACTATTTAAGGATTGACTGTGTATTTGTTTCGGTTCATTGAGGTATGAATCGAAAAACAATTTGCAAACTGTATGAATCCGCGTAGCGGATTCTTACAAAAGTTTGCACATTGGTTTTTCGATTCATACCTCAATGAACCGAAAAAAATACACAGCCAATCCTTATAATTAAATTCGACAGCATAAAACATGTTTTATCTACAATAGTTTAACCAAAAACAGTTGTATATATCAAAACATACAAAAATGGCGAGATTGATAAACATTCCAGGTGTAGGAATACATACTGTGGCGTGACATGAATCAGGTGATTGTTTAATTTATGCACATAAATTGACACGCCTACACTGTCAGTAACCAATCAACGGAGAGCAGGATCAAAACAATGTTCATTGGACCTGTCAGTTAAGACAAGTGGCGAAAAGAACTGCAACAGTCAGACTGTAACGAACTGGAAGAAATATGTCCGAGAGAAGGCGGCTGTTTTAAAATTACATGGTCAGTTACCGCCAGATTAAAACATTACCTCCCTGATTACAGTAAAACACAGTTGGAAAAATGCTAGTTAGAAAGGAAACCCGAAGACATGAAAGTTGAACCGAGGCGAGCAGAAAAAAAACAGGCGACCGAGCCTGCACGTTTGCTGTTTCATTCATTCTCGGCCTTCGGTTTCAAAGGTTTGTTTTGACAATGAATATGCATGAAAGTCGCTAAATGTCCTGTGCATGACGAGACACGTGAGCAGAAAGGGATCCCTCGGCTGTAATATTTGGATTCCCCGACATTCCGAAGTAATAAAAGAAGTGCGCCTCGGTGGGCGTGGCTTAATTTTTTTACATTCATTGGGAAATGAATGCAATAACACGTGACCAATTCAGCTAATCAGAATGCAGGAATTTCCATGAACACAACAAAAATTTAATTATAGAAACATGAACAAATCGGGTGTTCCTTAACTTATTTTGTGTGGTATATTTATACATGTCCTACATGCAGGTCGAGAAGTGCGTTCATGTCTGGCTATTACCCCTTCAAGACAGGGTTGCAGGTGAGTGGTGCCGTGAGAGTGCATGTTGTTTTACGCAGTCAGCAATATTCCAGTTATGTCGATTAGCAAGGTTTGTACCTGGGAGACCGCCACCGTGGTCTAGTGGGAGGGGAAGGTCCGAGGTTCGATGCCCGGCCCCGGCATACCAAAAGACGTTAAAATATGGTACCTGTTGTTACCCTACCGGGCGCTCGGCATAAAGGGGCTTAAACTAGGGACTGGTCGGCTCGGAATAAGTATCCTGTGTCTGAGTGGGGTATTTATGTTAAACTGCGGCATGGTATCTCAGTGAGCTAGCACTATAAATCGGCATCAGTCCGGACTAGTACAAGCAGCCACACACACACGTGCATGCACGTCGCTATATAAGTGCGATAATCTTGGACACCTCACCTCACCTTGTACCTGGGTGCCGTTGTACAAAGCCATCTTACCGCTTAGGCGACCGTAACTCCCATACCTTAACACAGACTTACGACAGCCGTAGCGCTAAGGTTGTTTTGTACAACGACACCCAGGTAAACAAGGGGTTGATAGCCTGAACAACGATCCACACGTTCGGTGTACATTGACACATAAGACGCCAGGGACACACACAACATAACAACTCTATCCTTTTCAGTCGACGCATACGACAAGCATTTGGTCCTGTGGACACATTCCACCAGCGACCCCTCACGGGGGCATTTTGACCGACAACAATCTATATTTGTCATTGAAGGCATTGACCACGTCGAGGAAGCGAGTGAGTATGGTTTTACGCCGCTTTTAGCAATATTCCAGCAATATCACGGCGGGGATACCAGAAATGGGATTCACACGTTTTACAGATGTAAGGATCGAACCCGGATCTTAGCGTGTCGAGCGAACGTGAATTCAAACTGTTACAACATTCTGAGTGAGTGAGTGAGTATGGTTTTACGCCGCTTTTAGCAATATTCCAGCAATATCACGGCGGAGGACACCAGAAATGGGCTTCACACATTGTACCCATGTCGGGAATCGAACCCGGGTCTTTGGCGTGACGAGCGAACACTTTATCCACTAGGCTACCCGACCGCCCCGTTACAACGTTCTGAAAAATGGATGAATAATGATATAAGTGTAATCTGTAAAATATGTCACGGAACAATCCTCTTTTACAGCATCTGGTTATTGTGAATTACCAGCCCGTCTGTCTGCCCCTGAACATCACGATCCTGCCGCAGAAATTGAAGCAGCTGGGCTATGCCACACACATCATAGGGAAGTATGTATACGAGCATTAACTTAAGGAAAACAAGTCAATAGTAGTTAGTAGGGGAGTAGGATTATACACCGCTTGGAAAAATATTGCGGCAAAACCACAATAGGCTGCAAACATTGCATCCATGCCGAGAAGACCCGACTGCGGGGCTTTGGCGTGACGAGTGACCACTTGATCCACTAGGCTACCCGACAACCTTCAGTTTAGTAGTAGTCGTTCCCAATAAGCTCCCGTGTAAAAGTATACTTATACATTTTGAAAATTGGATTTGACCAAAACATTCCAAACGTTATCAAAACATTACTGTCGCCGAAAACAGTGCAAACTTATGGTCCAAAACACAACTATGTAAAGACCGTCTCCGTGGTCTAATGGTAGAGCGTCCGCCCGGAGAGCGGAAGGTCCGGGGTTCGATCCCCAGCCGCGTCATACCAAAAGACATTAAAAGATGGTACTTGTTGTTACCCTGTCTGGCGCTCGGCGTTAAGGGGCTTAAACAAGGACTGGTCGGCTCGGAGTCAGTATACTGTGTCTGAGTGGGGTATTCATCTTAAACTGCGGCATGGTATCTCTAGCTAGCACTATAAATCGGCAACAGTCCGGACTAGTACAAGCAGCCACACACACATACACGTGCATGCACGTCACTATATAAGTGCAATAATCTTGGACGCGACGTTAAACCCCATTTCACCTCACCTCACAACTATGTAAGGTATCAAACACATCACCATCGAGTAACCTTTTCTTGTTTGTTTTAATTTTAGCCACCATCAGACATGGTGTATACTTTCTTTTGCCCGGCTGATAAGGTGTTAACATTGACGGTTAAAATCATAAATGTCCATGCAGTAGCAGATGCATTTAATAGTAGCAGTAGCAGATGTAGTAGAAGTGTCAGTGGAAGGCACAGCAGCATCAGCAACAACAACAGCAGCAGTAGTAGTAGTCGTGGAAGCATTAGTAGCAGCAGATGTCCCCCACCTGTATAAAGGCTACATTATTCCTGTCGTGTGATCCAGGTGGCACACTGGGTTCTGTAGTTGGAATTGCACCCCGACGTACCGTGGCTTTGACAGCTTCTTCGGCTACTACAACGCCCAGGAAGACTACTACACGCACACAACTCTCGATTACCTGGACTTCCGCAACAACACCAGCCCCGAGAAGACCGACAACGGCACATACTCAACGGTAACGTATCGACCAAGAACGTATTCAGGATCAGGCGGTTACAATGGCACATGACTATGGGTATTTTTAGATGGCTTTGTGGATGCTTGTGGTGTCTGAGGCGTCGCAATTCGATTTAAGCAATGGTTTCTTCCCTTAGGAGTACCAGGATCCACTGGTCGTGGGTTCGAATCTACATTTTGATCGTAATCTTTGAACGTTTACGATTTGCGTTGTTGTGTGTTCTTCCTCGTTCAGCTGGCATGTCATAATAAATCATATTGTTGGAATCGGCATTAAAACGCTTTAAGTATCACAGTTTTGGCATCACTGTTTCAGCATCACTGTTTCAGCATCACAGTTTTGGCATCACAGTTTTGGCATCACTGTTTTGGCATCACAATTTCAGCATCACTGTTTCAGTATCGGTTTGCTGATGAAGCCATCGGCATCATCGAGCGCCATGACAAGACCCGGCCGTTGTTTCTGTACCTTCCGTTTCAAGCCGTCCACGCCCCCATAGAGGTAATACTTCCTGACATGCATTCGTAATGTTTCTGGTCTTTTGACAAAAAATTATATATGTACCTGTTATATGTTTTTCATATTTTAAAGGTTCCCGAAAAGTATGAAGCAATGTATCCGAACGTAAAGACGGAAGGTCGTCGTAAATATTGTGGTATGTATGAAATAGATATCTCAAGAAAGTTCATATTTCTTATTTATCAGTTGTTGTTATGGTCGGAGACCGCCTCCGTGGTCTAGTGGTAGAGGGTCCGCCCGGAGAGCGGAAGGTCCGGGATCGATCCCCGACCGCGTCATACCAAAAGACGTTAAAAGATGGTACTTGTTGTTACCCTGTCTGGCTCTCGGCGTTAAGGGGCTAAAACAAGGACTGGTCGGCTCGGAGTCAGTATACTGTGTCTGAGTGGGGTATTCATGTTAAACTGCGGCATGGTATCTCAGTGAGCTAGTACTATAAATCGGCATCAGTCCGCACTAACACAAGCAGCCACACAAACATACACACGTACATGCACGTCGCTATATAAGTGCAATAATCTTGGACGCGACGTTAAACCACATTTAACCTCACCTGCCATGGTCGGAAAATTATTCAGTTGGCTTTGAAAAAGTAAATCTCTGAGTTTCAAACTGTGAAACAGTTATACATATTATGCAATTGACTTTGATGTTATTTAAAAAAATTGAATGATTATCAGTTACTCAAATATGCATATTAAGTTTATTTTGCAGAAATAATATTTTCACAGACTTCTGGATTGCCATGTTTCAAGGAATGGTCTCAGTAGTCTTCAGCAACCCATGCTTGCCGTAAAAGGCGACTATGCTTGTCGAAAGAGGCGACTAACGGGATCGGGTGGTCAGGCTCGCTAACTTGGTTGATGCATGTCATCGTATCCCAATTGCGTGGATCGATGTTCATGATGTTAATCACTGGATTGTCTGGTCCAGACTCGATTATTTACAGACCGCTGTCATATAGCTGGAATATTGCGGCGTTAAACAACAAACAAACAAACAGTGGTTGTCATAGGGATTTTCATGCTTCAAGGAATGGTCTCAGCTCTTGACGACGCAATTGGTAACATTACAAAAGCCTTGACAAGCAGTGGATTAATGGAAGACACACTGATTCTGTTTACTGCCGATGTAAGTATAACTTTATACCATCTATCATTCAGTGGGCGCAGTGATAGGATCCACCTGCATGACAGCAGCACACTTTCTGTAATGGACGAATCGAATCATTACAAGGAACACCTATTACGCCATTATAACAGCCAACAGCGACTAAACTTCCTCAATGTGCAAAATCGTAGTTGGTCGGGTAGCCAAATGGTTAAAGCGTTCGCTCGTCATGCCAAAGACCCGGGTTCGATTTCCCACATGGGTACGATATGTGAAGCCCATTTCTGGTGTCCCACGCCTTGATATTGCTGGAATATTGCTACAAGCGGCGTAGGACCATACTAACTCACTCCCTTCTTTCAGAATGGTGGCTGGATCACCGAACACGGCAACAATTACCCCCTGCGAGGAGGCAAGGTGACTGTGTACGAGGGGGGAACGAGGGCAGTAGCATTCATGCACGGATCCGGTCTCCAGAAAACCGGAACTGTGTTTGACGGGTGAGCAGTACCAGCGTTGCAACAACAACAATAATAATAATGATAATAATAATCATAATAATTATTATTAAAGCTACAAGCAGCTATGTCGGGCTCCGAGTGACACCAACGCACAAACGCACGCACAAACGTACTCAAAAACGCACACACGGCCTTGGCATTTTTATAGTATCTGGAATTCAACTGTCAACATAATCGGGCAACTGAGCGAACGAAAAACGGTGCTTTTCACAATGGTGTGGCCGTACATACGACATACAAAACGAGAGTTTTAATACCATTAGCGCAAAGCCAATAAGCTTCAGTGACTGAAAGAATGAGTTCACTGCCGTACCTGCGGACACACAAACGCAGCCAAGGACGGGAAACGCCCCGCTATAAAGCGGGGAGCGCAGCTCCGCTTGGGCAGGCTCAGTTTTTGCTTGAACCAACGCCAACGAAGTTAGACACCGCTTGCGGGATATAGCCTCTTCGAAATTGGCGTATGCCTGAGTGACCCAGGGTGTTTTAAACCCTACCTCGTCCATGTTCGAATCCATAAAGGATTTGTCTGTACCAACGCTGGTGTAAGGCACCGCTACGAAACTGTCGTGTGGCGGAGTGTCCCAGGGTGTTCTAAACCCAATTCAGATCTCGATCATGTTGGAATCCTCAAATGGTTTGCTTGTAACATGGCCGTTTACTGTTATCCACCGCTTGCTAGACATCGCCACTCTGGAATTGGCATAAGCCAAAGTGTTCCAGGGTGTTCTAAACCCATTTCTGACTTCGTCCATGTTCGAATCCTCAAATGGTTTGCTTGTACCAACGTCGTTTACTGATGTCTACCGGTGTCGGTCGGGTAGCCTAGTGGTTAAAGCGTTCGCTCGTTACGCCGAAGACCCGGGTTCGATGCCCGACATGGGTACAAAGTGTGAAGTCCATTTCTGGTGTCCCCCGCCGTGATATTGCTGGAATATTGCTAAAAGCGGCGTAAAACCATACTCACTCACTCACTGTTATCTATACAGCTTGCTAGACATCGTCGCTCTGGAATTGGCATAAGCCGGGGTGTCACAGAGTGTTCTAAACCCATTTCCGACATCGACCATGTTCGAATCCTCAAATGGTTTGCTTGTACCGACGCCGTCAAAAGTAAGCCCCCGTAGAAATTGGCAAATGGGAAAAGAGGACATGCATCAACCAAGTCAGCGAGTCTGACCACCTGATCCCATTAGTTGCCTCTCATGACAAGCACAGTCGCCTCTTGAGACAGGCATGTCTCGCTGAAGACTAATTCTAGCCCTGATCGTCAAGGGTAGTATACATAATGCTGAAGACATTTGCAACAAGAATGGCTATTGCTGTTGAGTCTCTGCAAAGCCAGTGAATGGGGGTTAATCGTAGATTGCTGGGGCGCTTCCTTCAGTATTTCTACACAAATCTATTTTTTGACTAAAACACCCGGTCAGTAAACACATGAATTCATTCTGAACATGAATTAGTATTACCCGAGCTGTCTTATGGAGGTTTACAGTCCCACAAGATCGCACCCTACCGGGTATACATTTACTGCTTGGTGATCATATTTCGAACAAAGACAATTTCGAAAAATCGACAATTTGTAACCTTGATTTTCCCGATATGAATATTCAAAGTTGGAATAAAACGTTAAGAAAAAGTAAAAAATAATGCTATCTTTTATATCCCGTCAAATACGTTATTTGGTGCCAGTGAATGGAATCGGTAAAAGGTTTATATATGTTCAATACATATAAATTACAATACAGGTTAGACAAAGACTTATTTGGGGCGAGGTAGAACCAGTGCTTTATGACGTGAGCATTGATCCATCATACTGGAGTTCCCGTATCCGGGGCTACTCTGTAGAAAGGAGGATACACACCCCCAGCCCCTGTTGTTTGTTGATGGTGTTAAATGACGTCTCTGGATAACGTCGTGTTGTCGTTGCAGAATGATCCACGCCGTAGACTGGCTGCCCACCCTGACAGCAGCTGCCGGAGGGACCCCAGGTACAGTAGGGCGTGGCCATCGAATTACGTTTACAGAGTGATGTGATACAATCTAATAAGATAATATTGCTTTGGGATTCTCTCTAGGGAAGGGGCGGTGAGGCGGTGGGGCGGTGAGGCGGTGGGGCGGCGGAGCGTTGGGGCGTCGGGGCGGTGGGGTGGCGGGGCGGTGGGGCGGTGGGACGGTGGGGCGCTGAGGCGGTGGGGCGGTGGGGCCGTGTGGCGGCGTGGCGGTGAGGCGGTGTGGCGGTGGGGCGGTGGGGCGGTGTGGCGGTGAGGCGGTGAGGCGGTGGGGCGGTGTGGCGGTGAGGCGGTGAGGCGGTGAGGCGTCGGGGCGGTGGGGTGGCGGGGCGGTGTGGCGGTGAGGCGGTGAGGCGGTGAGGCGGTGGGGCGGTGTGGCGGTGAGGCGGTGAGGCGGTGAGGCGGTGGGGCGGTGAGGCGGTGGGGCGGTGTGGCGGTGAGGCGGTGGGGCGGTGAGGCGGTGGGGCGGTGAGGCGGTGGGGCGGTGTGGCGGTGAGGCGGTGAGGCGGTGGGGCGGTGTGGCGGTGAGGCGGTGAGGCGGTGAGGCGTCGGGGCGGTGGGGTGGCGGGGCGGTGGGGCGATGGGGCGATGGGGCGGTGGGTGCAGCCTAGTGGTTAAAGCGGTCGCTCGCAACTCATAAGGCCCGGGTTCGATTCCCCACATGGCTATTTCATGAAATCCATTTCTGGTGTCCCTCGCCGTGTTTTTGATGGAATATTGGTAATACTCACTCTCTGGAGAAGCATATGCTTCCACAGGCATGATCAGGTGAGGTATGCCCCTGGCGTTCATCCCCCCTTCTTTAAACATCCCACACAGGATGTGAGCACAATTACGACAAATAGCAGCTTTCAAGCTTTCTTCTCGACATCACTTCGGGCTTTCATCCTGCTTGAAGCTGACACGCCGTGATATGACGGTAACACTCTTCAAAGCGGCGTTGAACTCACCCACTCTTCTCTATAATCATTGGGGATGTTGTTTTGAAATTCAGAGACCTCAAATCACTTTCCCAAAACATGTATGAAATCTTCACAAATTTATTAAACTCGATCAAAACTCATATTTTGTGAAAAAGGTCTTTATATTTACTTGTTGCTTCTTGATTGATCTGAAGTTATGTACACAATATACAGATTATCTATTGGGCGAGAGGCCGGTCACATGACCGCGAAACTGACGTTCATAAGCGTATGAACGACATGTTTTGACGTTCATACCTTTTTTCCGAGACTGTGTTCTTGAAATGACGCAAACACTTGCGGAAACGTTATTTCTGACAATTTAGGTCCACTTTGATCTTTATTGTTTGACTGTATTGCCCTCAGTGTAAAGACAATGTCACGCGTACTTAACGAAATTATGTCTGAATGAAATAGTCTTGGACAATAAAAATAAACGAAGTGACTTTAAATTTGTGTGAGATCTTTGGAGTATGAAAGTGAAAGTCAATTCTTAACTTATTTAAAACCGAACTGGACAGTATTTCAGTCGTTTCACAGCATGTCAGCTGGATGTGGTTGGAAAACCCGAAGTTAATCAGGTCAATGACGTTTACGTTTACGTTAACTTTAGTGAAACCTATAAGCACGGGGATGGTGCTGACAAATCAAGAAACGTAACCAGGGCGAATCGAGATTCGAACCAAGAACAAAGGTTTCTAGGGGGCGTAACTCTGCACAGACAATTACGGCGCCGCAGACGACTGGGCCTGACATATCGCTATTATTTATTGACAGCCAAAGCATATAGTAACCTATTATTCAATTTGTGTACAGTTCGGACCCAGGGGTATTCATTATGGTCAGGGGCGGTCGGGTAGCCGAGTGATTAAAGCGTTCGCTCGTCACGCCGAAGACCCGGGTTCGATTCCCGACATGGGTACAATGTGTGAAGCCCATTTTTGGAGTCCCCCGCCGGGACACATACTCACTCACTCATTATGGTCAACATCGGAATGTCAACACAAACATGAAAATGTCCCACCTTCATTTTGTTATGTGTAGTGACAGACCGGGACGGCATCAACCTATGGCCTAGTCTCAGCTCAGCCTCCCCTTCACCCCGCACTGAGGTCGTCTACAACTACGACTCACACCCCTTCCCGGAAGAGGGACATGCAGCCATCAGGTAGGGAGTGTCATGCTGTAAATTGTGTAAGATGAGGCAAGTACTCGAAAAACGTATCGACACACTGTTTCAACAGACAGGTAGATACGTAAATGGAAGGATGCCATTAACAGTTTATTGCATTCGAAAATGATAGGTGATTTGAGGTGAAATGGGGTTTAACGTCGCGTCCAAGATAATTGCACTTATATACCGACGCGCATGCACGTGTGTGTGTGTGTGTGTGTGTGTGTGTGTGTGTGTGTGTGTGGCTGCTTGTACTAGTCCGGACTGATGCCGATTTATAGTGCTAGCTCACTGAGATACCATGCCGCAGTTTAACATGAATACCCCACTCAGATACAGTATACTGACTCCGAGCCGACTAGTCCTTGTTTTAGCCCTTTAATGCCGAGCGCCAGACAGGGTAACACCTTTTAACGTCTTTGGTATGACGCGGCTGGGGATCGAACCCCGGACCTTCCGCTCTCCGGGCGGACGCTCCACCATTAGACCACGGCGGCGGTCTCGAAAATGATAAAGACACTGTGATCACCTGACTCCATCCGAACACAAACTTTTTAACGAGTTGAACGCTGGGGATTGTGCGTTCTCTTCGAATGCCTGCTGAATTAGTGTGTCTGAGATTGTGTGAAGGGGTTCGCAATGTTGTTGTTGTTTGTTGTTTAGCGCCGCACTCAGCAAGGTTCCAGCTATATAAAGGCGGTCTGTAAATAATCGAGTATGGACCAGACAATCCAGTGATTGACATCAGCATCGATCCACGCAATTGGGATACGATGACATGCATCAATCAAGCCAGCGAGCCTGACCACCCGATCCCGTTAGTCGCCTCTTTCGACAAGCATAGTCACGATAGCGTATCTTATCACATTGATCTATGCAGAATGGGTGACTACAAACTGATCGATGGCTACCCGGGACTCTACCCTGGCTGGTACAAGCCTGAACAAGTCACATCTGACCTGAACATCACCCACATCAGCGATTGGGCCAACAAGTATCAGCTGTTCAACTTGAAAGGTAAGAACATTCACTGATTTTTAATTATGGTTCTGTCAGACGAGGTAAATGTGAAGTGGAACGATAATCTTTGCCAGTCTCTGTCTAGATCTGTCTGTCTGTCCTGCATTCTCACTCACTCTCACTCCCATTCTCTCTGTGTGTTTCTCTCTCATTCTCTTTCTCTTTCTTTCTCTCATTCTGTCTCTGTCTCTTATTTCTTCTCTGTCTCTCTATCTGTATGTATGAGCGTCAATAACTTCACTCGATCGAGCGTGTGCACATGTGAGTCACTGTTGTGATGTGTGCGACACTCGCTGTCGTGTGTCATTTTGCATGTGTTTAATGCCCACAGATGACCCCAGTGAGCGTAACGACCTCTCCTCCTCTCAACCGGACATGGTGAAGAAGCTTGCTGCCAGACTGGCCTGGTATGAGAAGCAGGCAGTACCACCCAACTTCCCTGAGACCCCCGACCCCAAGAGCAACCCTGCGCTGTACGGCAATGTCTGGTCTCCCGGCTGGTGCTGATAGCTCCGTGTTGTACAACCATGGAATAAAGTCGGTATATAAATGTTAGTTGTGGTTGTATCTACTGCATGTACTATATAGACTTACTCGCGGTTGTCATGCCTGCAATTCGCCCTGCAGAGTTACCTCCCTTGAGCACGCCAGAAACCTGTGACCATTGGGTTCAAATCCCAGATTCGTCCTGATCATGTATGTCGGGTTGTCAGCTGTAAAGTGGCTGAATTAGTATCGTTTCGTACCTAGCTGGTGTCGCTTGATGCTCACAATATCAACCACTGTTCCACTCATCTTCGAACTTTGCAGACAACAATGAATACAAAAAAGCCCTGGAAATTTAAAAAAATGAATGCGCACGGAAACCGGTGTCTATTAATTTCAGATACGATTTTGACCTGATATATTTTTGGGCCCTTTATTATCTTCTTTTAATTATTTGTAATTATTTTTAATTATTTATGCTAAAAGCTTGCAAGTTGTATCTACAAGTGTGAAATATTAATTTCGCAGTTCAATATAAGAACCCTTTTCTCGCCGGCCGCTACTGTGTTCCGAGCTTCCGAGACGGTTGCTAATAAATTTTGAAACGGTAGAGTATTTACGGTAGTAGGGGTATTGTGGAAAATGGAATAAAAGCTCAACTCACGACCTGCGTCAGGTCAGACAGCTGGCGCTGCGTATAGTTTGTCACAGGCGACTCGTTGAAGATAAAAATAAAACCTCTGGCATACTTTCCCGGGGAAATAGGACACCAAGTTGTAATTCCTATCCACGGAAGGAGAGATGTTTGTCCAGTTATTATGCACAGTTTTAGTCATCGTCAACCTCTGTGATGAAGTTTCTGCAGCAGGACGTCCACGCCATATTGTCTTCATCGTGGCGGATGATCTCGGTATGTTTGATTTCTTGTAAATATGCTTCCATAAAAAAATTGCTATCTTTAATAGTCAATACAAAAGAAACATGTGCGATAATTTTGTTATGATTTCGATATATGTAATTTCCCCACACTGTAAAAAAGGAAATCGTTGCTGGTTGTTGGGCAATCATTGCAGTAATAATTTGTGCATTTCAAAAGCATAAATTATAAATTCAATTTTGCACATTACATTGTTAATAAATGAACAGAATTCAACAAGGAAATCTCGTATTGATTTCCTTACAGAATATACCTTCCAGAACAGTTGTAATATGATTGTGCCTGTTAAATTGATGTAACAATGCCAGATCTTTTTTATTGGGTTCACGGTCGCGTTGGACAGCATTCAGTTACATCAGTGTCAGCTTTATGGAGGGAAACTGTTTAAGTACGGTATACGGCTTTTCCATTGGACGAGAGGTCGGTCAAATGACCGCGAAATTGACGTTCATATGTGTATGGACGACACAATTTGACGTTCATAGGTTTTTCACGAGACCGTATTCTTAAAACACTGACGGACTTCTAACACATTCCTCGGGGAATCCCTGGGAATACCCTGGCACGAATACATACAGAAGCGTTTTTTCTGACCACTTTTATCCTATAATCTTGAACACAGCGTGTTAGCATACATTGGGAATCGTCAGAGAGTTTGACTGCGTGATCATTCACGAATACCTTCGCTACGACCAATCCCTTTGAACAAAACGAAAAATGCACATATATCAATACTATCGTAGTATCGACACGATCCGTATCTTGACTGACAGTGACAGCCTACAGCAATCTATGAATTAACCTTAGTATCTATTTGACACATCTTTATAATCAACTTTCAAGGATCGGCCAAATGATCAATGATGAATAACACATGTAACCGCCACAGGTCCATTAACAACTTCGGAAATCACTTCCGTCACGTGTATCATGTCGGCCATTTTGACGAAGACGATTGGTGCAGTCAGACCCACGAAGAGGCTAGTTTGTCCTAACATTAATGTGGTATAATCCGTGCTGAATTAGGTTTAGGTGTTGCACATTTCATCATCATAACTAACGCCTTTAAATTTGAAAGTAAAATCAATTATAGCAGTATGATAATGAAGGTTGTCCGTATGAATCCTATTTTTAAACGATTTTCAGGATGGAACGATATTGGCTTTCATAACCCCGATATGATCACACCCAACATCGACAAGCTGGCAACAGAAGGCTTGATACTGAATCATTCCTATGTTCAACCGCTCTGCAGTCCGTGAGTAGCAGAAGGCTTGATACTAAATCATTCCTATGTTCAACCGCTCTGCAGTCCATGAGTAGTGGAACGCTTAATGCTGAATCATTCTTATGTCCACCCCCTCTGCAGTCCATAAGTAGTGGTAGGCTTGAGACTGAATCATTCTTGTGTTCAACCGCTCTGCAGTCCATAAGTAGTGAAAGGCTGGAGACTGAATCATTCCTATTTTCAACCCCTCTGCAGTCTATAAGTAGTGGAACGCTTGATACTGAATCATTCTTATGTCCATCCCCTCTGCAGTCCACAACAGAAGGCTTGATACTGAATCATTCCTATGCACATCCGCTCTGCAGTCCACAACAGAAGGCTTGAGACTGAATCATTCCTATGTTCAACCCCTCTGCAGTCCATAAGTAGTGGACCGCTTGATACTGAATCATTCTTATGTCTACCCCCTCTGAAGTCCACAAGAGAAGGCTTGATACTGAATCATTCTTATGCACATCCGCTCTGCATTCCACAAAAGAAGGCTTGATACTGAATCATTCTTATGCACAACCATAAGTCCTACTGCAGTATATAAGTAGTGGAAGGCTTGCTTCTTATTCCTAATATATATATTATGATGGCATGATATCAATGCACCACTTGTTGCAGCGTATTAAAATGGAAGGGTGTTTGTGGGATTGATAAGGGTAACTAATTCTCACACATTTCTAGGGTAGTAGATAGCATTTTAAAAACACTACTGAACAGACAAAACTGTTTGGACCACGACAGTAAAACTGTTACCTTCTAGCTGCGGACAGGACTGATGCACGGTTGTATTTAGGTTGCAGTCCTCAGGTAGTCCTTTGGCATGTCATCAACTCCGCCTGTGATATTGTAGGCACAATGATAAATATTTCAATGAACTTTGCTTAGTTTAGTTTAAACATATTTCATTCTCACGAATATGATTAGAACTTAGAACGCCCTCTCCCATAGATTTACATGTATTCTTATTTACAGTTAATAAATTAAATGACAGAAAGGAAAGAACAGAAAAGAAATAGAGAAACGTATGTACATTCACATTGCTCACTCAGAAACGTATGTACATTCACATTGCTCACTCAGAAACGTATGTTCATTCACATTGCTCACTCAGAAACGTATGTACATTCACATTGCTCACTCAGAAACGTATGTACATTCACATTGCTCACTCAGAAACGTATGTACATTCACATTGCTCACTCAAACCTTTTTGTTTTCTTTATATATGTATATACATTCCTAAAAATGCTTCCGTTCACATGCTTAGGTAAAATTGCATTGCCAACTAGCATCAGGTTAATATTTATATCACAAGAATCTTTCACAATTAACAATAGTGAGTGCATGAAGTCATTTTTTAATTCACTGTCATCATATCTTAATTTTGTATGTATTATGTTAATTTTCCTTAGACCAAATGAGAAATATGATGGAACTGTAGATCTATCTGTTCTTAAACTGTATTTTAATCGAGGGAATGTTTCAATATTCCTTTGCTGTGTAGGTAATGTATTCCACAATTAGAAAGCGGATGGTATAAACGAGGATTCAGATAACTTAGTACGTAATAGAGGCATAGTTATATTGTGAGCAGTTCTAAGGTTGTATGTTACGTTTGTCCAGACAGAGTGAGGTACAAGATCTTTAAGGTATGAAGGTGTCATATTGTTATATATTGTATAAAATAAACACAACTTACGTTTTCCCCTGCCCTCTGATACGGGCTCCCAGGTAGTTTCGAAATATATTTTTGAGGGAAGTATAGGTTGTTAAACCAGTTACAATTCTTGCTGCTTCCAGTTGGAGTTTTTCTAACCTGTCACTCTGCTCTTTGGTACAACCGTCCCAAACTTCACATCCATATTTAAAATGTGGTCTAATAAACATTACCTAAATCTTATTCAAGACACTAAGACAGAGCATATACTTAAGCTTTCTCATTGAATGAATCATCTTTGATGTTGTTTTAATAATTGAAACAATATGACATGACCACTTCCCCGATGACGACAATATAACACCTAGGTGTTTGTATGTTTTAACATTTTCAATGTTTTTATTATCCAAAAATAATTTCAAAGTTCTCCACGGCTCTTTTGGGGAAACAAGAATTGATCTTGTTTTGCTCGGATTATATAGAATTAGCAAGTCTTGAGCCCATTCATTAAGATTGTTTAAATTGCTATTCATAGTAGTTTCTATACATTCAATGTTATTAGATGATATGCCAAGGGGATGTGTCATCGGCAAATAATCTTGTTGCACAGTTCAATTTATCAGTAATATCATTGATGTACACAAGGAACAAGAAAGGGCTTAGTACCGATCCCTGTGGCACACCAGCCTTTCACTCTTCAGTGTCAGACAATGTTCTATTTTTAAAAAACCAACAGTTTGTTTGCGAGCTCTAGCGTAATCAGCCAGCCACTCGAGTAATTCATCGTTTATACCATAACATGACAATTTATATATAAGCCCATTGTGCCTTACTCTATCAAACGCTTTTGAAATATCGCAGAATACCATACAATAGAACTCTTTGTTATCGACTGCTTTACACACTTGATTATAAAATTCTACCAGTTGGTGGACGGTTGAGTGACCGGATTGGAATCCTAATTGGTATTTGTAACCGTGCTTGTGTTGGCCGTAGTAGAATAGGCGATCTACTGGTCCAAATAATCACAAACAGCTGTGGGGGGTGAGGCTGATGACGTTTATTCAAATATGGTAGGTACGCATGTACGTACGTACTTACTTACGTACTTACTTCGGCCTGAAACACTGAAAGCACAACATAAGCAAATATAAAATAGAATCTAATAAGTATATACAATCTGTTATAGTTACTCTTTAATTTTAAAAAAATAGAGCTATCACTTTCATTAGATAAATAGCTCTTACTTTACACCATGTAGTACTGCACGTATCTTTACAATGCCTACATACACAAATACAAAATAAATTAATATGATAATAAAGTGATATCAAACATACTGTATGTAACTTTGGTAAGAATTACAAATCATTGAAGACAGAATATTTATAAAAGATGACATTACATACTAGACAGGTGAAACCTGTACCGGTAATACCTGTAGCAATGATGCCACTGACAAATCTGCATAATAAAGAAATACATATGCAGAATACTATATATATCCTATGGTAAATGTATGTATAAAAATATATAGTATAACAGCCACTCCTATCAGACATACAACACTCATACACCTGCACTTACTAAGATATATCGACCAATAATATCAAGCATAGTATACAGACATACATTTTCCATTACTGTACAGAGGGGTTTAACATATAATACTTAGTTTATATATTTTTAGTTTAATACTATCTTATACAGATAATGATAACTCACTGAACTGTGAGTTCATCAAGAACTATAAAAATATACAATATACATTATGTTTCTAATAAATCAAATTAAGAATGCGTTCTACAATAAATATTATTTCTAATCGCAATAAGAGACACCATCCATATATACAACAGCATAAAATAAATAATCAACTGCCTTAAAGGGGAAGTGTACACGCAAAAATCACTTTCTTTCTTTTTCTAAACAAAACGCAATTTTAGAATAAGTTAATATCTGTGTTTGAAAATATAAACTTATTTTTTTCACAGTGAAAGTAGGAAGCTCACAAGAGTGTGAAAATGATATGCCGTTATGAGGCCTTCGTTTTTCGAGCTAAACAGGCCTGAGTTATCCCCCTTAGATTATGACGTAATTGGTGCCAATTCAACTGGATCCCTGTCTATTCTCAACGCAAAAGATATCAAGTACCAGTTTTCGGTAAAACAACATGGCCTACGACACACTCCGGCGCAGTGGTGACTCAGCATAACACTATGCTGGCTGGCATCTGAGACGTTAGAATCACACAGCTGTACCTACACCACGTGAAGCGGCTCTAACATAGCATGATGACGTCATAATGTTTATCAATTGGCACCAATGACGTCATATTGCAAGGGGCATAAGCCATGGTGTTTTTGTTATGAAAATAGAACACTTTGTAAATGTGAAAAATATAAATCGTTTTAATGCAAAACATGTTAATTAATTGTGATATTTTTATATTTTTGTCTATGACACTACTAGGTTAACACTTTTAATGTGGAAAAAGTACAAGAAAAATAGGTTCATTTCCGTGTGAACTTGCCCTTTAAGTATGAATAAATGCCTTCACATATCCAAATCCTCACATGATAAGAAACCAATGTGGCAATAAATCTCTCCGAGTATATTATCTTTCCTTGTGAGATGAAAGTAGCAACTGATTTGTAAAATTTAACATCTAAACATTGCTGTAGCTATGGCCAGCTTGGCCTATGAACAAGACAATAGACTGGGCAAAGAGTGCTGAAAGTCAAAAGCATGCAGTGTGACAATTAGTGGAAGTCAGACTGCGAGTAAGCTTACTTAATGTTACAGAGCTGTGGAATGAATGTTTAAGGAGTAAAATACTAAGGTATAAAACATAACTAATATTATAACTAATAATATATACTTATACTGTAAATATTGTAATAAACTAATTAGTTAAAATGGCAACAAGGCCATATAACCTTACTGCTAACTAATACATCTTAACTAAAAGCTATGTACATATGTATAAAGACTTGAGTCTGCCACATATTTGTACAGGAACGAATTCCCATGAAAATAACTGTGCAAGTGCTTGAACACAACTCGTTTGAATACTTTCCCGATACAGCTTATCAAAGATATTGGTCTATAATGTGAGGATAGTGTTGGGTCACCTTCTTTCAATAGTGGCATAACATGAGCTTATTTCCATTGGCTTGGATATGTACGCGTTCTAAATGAAATAATAAATAATAGACATAAGACTTCACTTAAAGATGGTACAGTATGTTTCAGAATTTTATGACTTGTGCGATCTGGACCCGAAGCATTATTCAAAGGGAGAGATATTATTACATCACTTATTTCATATACGTTTATTCGCAATGTGCTAAATGTTTTATCTGTACGTTTTTCCACATTTGTCAATCTCGCCTTACTTCCATCAACATCTGCTATGAATGAAAAATACTTGTTTAACTGATTAGCTTTCTCTAAATCTGACTATATAGTTGGGCTTTCGTCTGTGATGAAGTTTTACCTGTATTTTTCACTAAATATCGTGACAATTTCCAATAAGAAATATAATTCCAAAACGAAATTGTCTAAATTGGAGTAGAACATTTCCTTTGCATACTATTTCATATTATTTACATTATTTCTTTGTTTTCTGTACAATGTTCTGTCCTTGTCTTTATTTGTTTTCCTTGAAATCTTAAGTAACCCGTTTCTTTTCCGTACTGCCTTCCGTAATTCGGAATTGAACCACGGTTTATCATTAATTTGTTTATATTAATATGACTTCGAGATGAAATAAATTATTATGAATTAGAATGGACGCTCTCTATCTCATCAATAACGTAATTTCAAGTAAACTATAAGAATGTATCTTGTGGGTATAGTTATAAATGTCAAAGAAACAATTCCACATTCAGACCGTGGAATTTCCCTGATGAGCTCAGTTTATTATTGATACGCAATATAAAAATCGCAACCAACACATTCTTTTATGTGCTGAAATACAGTAACATGTTGCATTGCTTCCACTTTAGTACAGTGTAATGTAACAATTAGTCATACGTGAAACCTCTCCCGACCATGACTTCGATCACAATACTCAGTGTTTTTAAAACATGTATTTTGTGCATTGAAACGTACACGTATATTTTTACTTGGTATGCCAATAATAGTTGATAAAATTGCATTTGACTAATGCATTAGAGACAAAATCAATATCAACTGAAAATATATTCAATTTCACCACAACAATGTGATTACCGTAGAATAGAAATAACCAATATCCTAACAAGAATATCCATTTCCAAAGCATAGCGAGTACATCGGATCTTAAATCTTTTTGAAAAAATAATATTTCATATACAGAGATGGGTGGTGGATCTTATTTATCATATTGTGATTTTAAAAGTACATAACTTAAAATATATTTCTTTTAAAAAGTTCGCTGGGTTTTTTTCTTGGCTGGAGATCGATAACGCAGACTTTCTAAGAATTTTCTTCAAATCGTTAATTCCAAAATAATGTAAATTTAAATTCAAATTCTGACAGACAATTTCGTTGTTTCTTAAAGACGCGGTGAAATGTATGGTCATTTTCCTAATTTGAGATGTACAGCAGTTTGAAATGAAAGACATAAACATAATAACGGACCTCCTCCGTGGTCCTTTGGTAGAGCGTCCGCCCGGAGAGCGGAAGGTCCGGGGTTCGATCCCCGCCACGTCATATCAAAAGGCTTTTAAAGATGGAATTTGTTGTTACCCTGTCTGGCGCTCGGCATTAAGGGTCTAAAACAAGGACTGGTCGGCTTGGATTCAGTATACTGTGTCTGAGTGTGGTATTCATGTTAAACTGCGGCATGGTATCTCAGTGAGCTAGCACTACAAATCGGCATCAGTCCGGACTAGTACAAGCAACCAGACACACACGTGCATGCGACGTTAAACCAAATTTCAACTCACTTCACATAATAACGGCTACTTTGAGTATACTTCGATGAAGTATTGTTTTAGCTTTGATACATAATAAACAAACGATCAAAACAGTATACTAAGTGAAAAAAGCTTAAGATACCAAAGACACTGATTGATTCAAACGGTTATTATACACAAAATATTACCATCGAATGCCAACATCATAACTCACAAACATCACAAGGTGTAACATGTGCTATTTCACAAAATATCACTTCACTTCAGTAACTAAATGTCAGTGTTTCAATGATGCACGTGTCCTCCACGTGCAACAATTCAAGCGTTCGAAATGACGCCATCGGAAATTCGATTTGTCGGACAAGATGAACCCACGGGTGTTCCATGGGTGAAATGTCAGGGCAACACTGGATATTGCAAAACAGGAACGTTGTTTGCAGCGAGGAACTGTTGCACAACACGAGCTGCGTGTGTTCTTGTTGAAACAAGACCCGGCCATGGCACTTTCTTCTCCGATATCCATTGATCTCTTCGCTGAAAAACAAACAAACTCTCTGCACGTTACGATTTTATTTAAAAAAAGAATTTATTCCATTTTCAATCATATTTTGCATTTCAATATCATACATAGAGTGTGCATGGATTTATTGTGACATTAATGGCATGTTTGAATCATGGACAGATCATATATCATAGTTATACAGAGTTTCTAAATAATACATGTAGAGAAGACCAGAAGGCATGGACACTTGCATAATTAAAATTTGAATATGCAATACATATTGTAATTTTATAATATCGAAGTATTTCTTTTTGAATTTGTAAAAAGATTGGTTTGAATTTTTTTCGATTAAATGTGTACAGCATAGATTTTGTTACCTAAATTACTGCATTAGGTGAATTGTTATTTTTCTCTTTAAATCCAAACAGTATGTGTTCATTATTAAAATTCACTCTGCCTTATATTGCCAAGGTTAAACTTAACGTGTCCAACGCTGCAGTGGATAATGTCATGGTGGTCATTCCTCTGAATGGTCGATAGGATGTGACGACTGATGCAACGTCCAAGAGCAGTCGCTGATGATGTCACAGTGATAAATATGTTACGTAGGTTACTCGTTGGCGGTTGTAACACCAGCTCTTCCTCTTCTAGGGGCGGTCGGGTAGCCTAGTGGTTAAAGCGTTCGCTCGTCACGCCGAAGACCCGGGTTCGATTCCCGACATGGGTACAATGTGTGAAGCCCATTTCTGGTGTCCCCAGCCGTGATATTGCTGGAATATTGCTAAAAGCGGCGAAAAATCAAACTCACTCACTCTTCCTCTTCTTGGTCTCTTCACCCTGTAACGTTACATCAATGTGGTTTTATTCGTGCAACGTAGGAATACGCTGTTCCCAAAGGCGCCACACCAATTGTTCTCTGGGTCATTGGAGCCTGGGAGCAAGGGTGAATCTTTCTGTACATTTTTGGAAACTTAAGGATCAGCATCCATAAAACTATAGCTCTTGCATGTAACTCATATCCCATACGGCACCTGAAGTTCAAATAGTATGTTCAAATCTTTTTCGACGTGTGCATATATTGTATGTCGAGAGTACACTGATATCTAATGATATATTTTATACACCCAGGTCGAGAAGTGCCTTCATGTCCGGCTACTATCCCTTTAAGACAGGTCTGCAGGTGAGTGGTGACAAGGCGACTGTCACAGTCTAGCCATAGACAACCGTGGTTTCCAGTCACGTGGGTCATACTGGCCAATAGACAACCTTGGTTTCAAGTCACGTGTCGCATACTGGCCAATAGACAACCTTGGTTTCCAGTCACGTGTCGCATACTGGCCAATAGATTACCTTGGTTTCCAGTCACGTGTGGCATACTGGCCAGTAGACAGCCGTGATGTCCAGTCACGCGTTTTTTTATACTTACAAACTAAATGAGAGCGGTTAAACGTGTCTCAGATTATGTGAGCTAACCGTGGTGCCTAGTCACGTGTCATAGATTATCCAGTAGCTAACCGTGGTGCCTGGTCACGTGTCACAGACTATCCAATAGCTAACCGTGGTGCCTAGTCACGTGTCACAGGCTATCCAATAGCCAACCGTGGTACCTATGGGCTAATGAATAGAAAGCGGAACTGATGTTTCGCCCTCTTTTACAGCACTTGGTCATTCTGAATTACCAGCCAGTCTGCCTACCCCAGAACATCACTATCCTGCCACAGAAACTAAAGGAGCTTGGATATGCAACACACATCGTCGGCAAGTAGGTGAACGAGAGGTGTTGGGAAGGGGTTGGAGATGTAGAGATACGCGTACTCATTGTAGAAATGGAGCGTGGTGGTTGCATGTATGGTAGAAGACGTAGCTGTGATGCAGCAGTGGTAGAAGGGTACGCGGTAGAGATAGTAGAGGTAGAGTTTGTTTGTTTGTTTGTTGTTTAACGCCACACTCAGCAATATTCCAGCTATATGACGGCGGTCTGTAAATTATCGAGAACGGACCAGACAATCCAGTGATTGACATCATGAGCATCGATCCACAGGATACGATGACATGCATCAACCAAGTCTGCGAGCCTGACCACCCGATCCCGTTAGTCGCCTCTTACGAGCATAGTCACCTTTTACGGCAAGCATCGGTTGCTGAAGACCTATTCTACCCCGGATCTTCACGAGTCGTGAGGTAGTGCACGTGGTAGAGATAGTAGTGATAGTGTATGTGTTGGAGGTAGTTGTTTCATTAGTAGTTGAAGTACATCAGAAAAGCAGTCGTTGAAGACATTAGTAGTTCTAGTATATTAGCAGAAGTATGAGTAATAGCAGCATCATAAATACTCGCGGCAGAAATAGCAGCAGCTTTTGCTGTAGTTATTGTCGCAACAACAGTACCTTTAGTATTTGTAGTTGTTGTAGTATTGGAAGTGGTAGTAATAGTTGTTGTAGTGGTTGTGGTAGCAGTACTGATTGTGGTAGCAGTACTGGTTGTAGTAGTAGTTGTAGCGGTAGTAGAAGTAGTAATAGTAGTAATAGAAGTAGTAGCAGTAGCAGCACTGGTAGTACTTATGGTAGTACTGATAGTAATAGTAGTAGAAGTTGTAGAGGTATTTGTAGAAGTAGTAGCAGTAGTTGTAGTAGCAGCAGTCTAAGGCCCTGTAATTAGGTGTGCGGAGTTGCGTCCCTTGGAACGCCCGAAACCTATCGTGCTTCTAGTTTCTTCAGCACCATACCCGTGCTCGTGGGTTTAACCACAGTGGTTAACGTCTGAGACACATTACCTGACATGCCGTGATGTGGAATATTGTTAAAAGCGGCGTTAAACACAACTCACTATTGTCGCAGCAGAAGCAGCTTAAGTTAACGTAGTAGTAGTAGTAGTAGTAGCTGTTGCAGCAGTAGGGGCAATAGCACCAGCGGCAGTCCACCTTCAGCTCACATTTAGCTCACACTGTTCCAGTCTCATTAAAATACTACTAGTAGTAGTAGTAAGGGTGGTAGTAGTATTCGTAATGGTAGTAGAAGTAGTAGTAGTAGTCGAGTAGTAGTAGTAGTAGTAGTAAGGGTGGTAGTAGTATTCGTAATGGTAGTAGAAGTAGTAGTAGTAGTCGAGTAGTAGTAGTAGTAGTAGTTAGGGTGGTAGTAGTAGTAGTAGTAGTAACGGTGGTAGTAGTATTCGTAAGGGTGGTAGTAGTAGCAGTAGTAGTGGTAGTAGTAAGGGTGGTAGTAGTAGTAGTAGTAACGGTAGTAGTAGTATTCGTAAGGGTAGTAGTAGTAGTTAGGGTGGTAGTAGTAGAAGTAAGGGTGGTAGTAGTAGTAGTAGTAGTAGTAACGGTGGTAGTAGTATTCGTAAGGGTAGTAGAAGTAGTAGTAGTAGTAGAAGAAGTAGTAGTAGTAAGGCTGGTAGTAGTAGTTGTAGTAAGGGTGGCAGTAGTATTCGTAAGGCTAGTAGAAGTAGCAGTAGTAGTAGTAGTAAGGGTGGTAGTAGTAGAAGTAGTAGTAGTAGTAGTAGTAGTAGTAGGAGTAGCAGCAGCAGCAGCAGCAGCAGTAGTAGTAGTAGTAGTAGTAGTAGTAGCAGCAGCAGCAGCAGCAGCAGCAGCAGTAGTAGTAGTAGTAGTAGTAGTAGTAGTAGGAGTAGCAGCAGCAGTAGTAGTAGTAGTAGTAGTAGTAGTAGTAGTAGCAGCAGCAGCAGTAGTAGTAGTAGTAGTAGTAGTAGTAGTAGTAGTAGTAGTAGTAGCAGCAGCAGCAGTAGTAGTAGTAGTAGTAGTAGTAGTAGTAGTAGCAGCAGCAGCAGTAGTAGTAGTAGTAGTAGTAGTAGTAGTAGTAGTAGTAGTAGTAGCAGCAGCAGCAGCAGCAGAAGTCCCCCACCTGTATAGAGGCTACATTGTCCCTGTCGTGTGATCCAGGTGGCACAATGGGTTCTGTAGTTGGAATTGCACACCGACGTACCGTGGCTTTGACAGCTTCTTCGGCTACTACAACGCCCAGGAAGACTACTACACCCACGTCACTGGTGGTTTCCTTGACTACCGTAACAACACCAGCCCCGAGAAGACCGACAACGGCACTTACTCAACGGTAACGTATCTGGTTTAACAATATACACAATATATCTTTTTTCAGTTTCCTTTAAATCGTTCTCTCTAAGTCATCAGTAATAAGTTTATAGTATTCCATTAAATGATATTTTGATAATCGTAATCTTTTCAGTTCCGGTTCACTGACGTAGCTACCGACATCATTCAGCGTCACAACAAGAGTCAGCCTTTGTTTCTGTACCTGCCATTCCAAGCCGTCCACGCACCTATTGAGGTAATTGGCGATCGTTAGGATTTCAATCATCGTAATGGAGAACGTGAGAATCTGGTGGTTCTAATTCCACAATAAAGACTCGAGTTATTTCTCTGAATGAAACCATGGTATGGTTCATAATTAAAGTCTCTAAAAGTTTGCATCAGGACCTGGAGTTGCGTCAGTTTTACTTGTTTTAGTTACACGTTCAAAATAGCCAGTAAATTCCTGGCTCAGAATCAACTGCATGAACAATAGCATGACGTCATCATAATGATTTAATTCCGGTTACACAAGGCATCAAAGCACAGCAGTCAAGTCTCGCGAAAAAGGAAGCTGGTCTGTTAAATGAGAACATCAGTGCGAACAGAGAGCAGCAAGTTTAGCGTTTTTAGCCAACAGGTTGTGGCCAAAAATGTGGCTACATGTAGCTCTACAATATCCGGTTATAGTCGCGCATGCGTATCGTTCTTAATTATTGATGTACACACACACACACACACATATCGACACCCTAAAAGTGTGTATGGGCGATAGAAACAACTGCTCTTTTGATGCAAATTTGGGCGGTAGAACATCTACGTCACAAACAAACTTCACGTTGTCAGATATTTGTTTTCTGTCTATACCGAGGACCAATTAATGTTAAGCGTGTGATCGCAGCTACAAGAAACCAGTCAGCACCTGTCTACTCGTTTAGGTAGACAGGAGCTCTCTTAAAGATTAATCATGCTTGTATTTTTGTTCGTATTTCAAAGGTTCCCGCAAAGTATGAAGCAATGTATCCAAACATAAAAACAGAAGATCGTCGAAAGTTTTGCGGTATGTATGAACTATTTATGTCGACATACATTAAGGTACATATTCGTGATCACTCGTATCTTGCCGGAACAAGGCGATCTCATGTTACGGAACGGAGCGAATGGGGACGAAGCCGCACACACGTAACCACGGAAAAGCCACGAAATGTGTTGTACGATAGGATGATTGTATTTGTGAATAACCCATGTAAAATTTCACCATCTTCAACAACGCATTTTTTTCAGGAGTTAATAAGGTTTCATAAACAAATGTTTCTTGTGGACATTTTTTCTCGAATGTGTGGATTACAGGCAGACTTCAGCTTTATTATTTTTATTGAAAACCAAAAAAACATTTTTTATATATTTTTCTCCACCAAAAAAGCAAATCGGCGCTTTAATACACGGAAATTGTTTCATGGACAACAGGGTAAGCTTCTTTGACGCGGGAAATTTGAAAAATGTTATATATTTGCAAAAGGAATGACTGACACGTAGGATTTAGAGCGACACGCCAGTGCCTGATATTTGTTTTATCATAATGCGTAAATATATGCGAAGATGAGTGAGTGAGTTGGGTTTAACGCCGCTTTTAACAGTATTCCAGTTATATCACGGCGAGTCAGCTTAATGTGGGTGGAAAGCCCAAAGTGATGTAGGTCTCAGACGTTTACCACTTCGGTGAAACCCACGAGCATGGGTATGGTGCTGACAAACCGAGAAACATAATCAGGGCGAACCGGGATTCGAACCCACAATCATAGGTTTCTGACGTGCCCAAGGGACGCAACTCTACACAGCGAATCGCGGCGCCTTAAACGACTTGACCACACATGCCCCCGCGAAGATAAAGAATGCTTAATATTATTTATTCTTATTCTTTTCCTGAATTGTGTCTAGGAATGGTCTCTGCTCTTGATGAAGCAGTTGGTAACATAACCAAAACATTGACAGATAGTGGGTTAATGGACGACACCCTGATTCTGTTCACTGCCGATGTAAGTATAAGCTCTAGTGTTGTCAATCACAGTATTAAGCGTATCAGTTCGTCTGTTATTTCCGTATTTCACAGCGACAAGCAACTTCCGAGAAATATTGCTTTATTTCCCATAGATTCGAACATTATCACACCCAATTTAGAAAACGAAAAGCCAGGTAATGAAAACAAATTCAACCAATTGTGATTTACATTTCCATTGATCATCTGTGTTTTAACATTAGAGAAGCGTGGGTGGTCGACATCACGACACCCCGCTTTGTAGAATTGCCTCCCTTAGCCATGTAAGGATGGTATGTTAGAATTGAAAACTCGCCAGATAAGTATATGTGGTCTAGATCTGTAAGCAACCATTTACTGGCTCATAAATTGGTTTTACCAAAGTAAGTCATAAAGTGTATATTTATAATGCGCCAAATCCAAAACCTAAACCATGCTCAAAGCCCTACATTATTACCTCATTGGATCAGTGAGCACTCGATTTTCATTCTCAGCTCCCTGGGAGTATACAACCCAAGCTGCCTGAGGCACTAGAAGGTTGACTGTCACATTACCATTTCATCCTTCCGGGTACCCATTCAATGCTGGGCAAACTGCTATGTCGAACTAAGTCACTTGCCAAAGGAGACGCCATACACGTACTCCCTGTGCTTCAGTGTGGGGAAGGACCGTAGCCCTGGAAACAATCAGGAATTAGGAAGCCGAACGCGGTTACCTATCCAACTACTCTCAGCGACCAACGGCGCCAAACGTCGCCCGATTTGTGACCCAAACTTGACATGATCTCAAAAGACGCGTGAAGATCCGGGGTAGAATAGGTCTTCAGCAACCAATTCTTGCCGTGAAAGGCAACTATGCTTGTCGTAAGAGCCGACTACCGGGATCGGGTGGTCGGGCTCGCTGACTTTGTTGATGCATTTCATCGTATCCCAGTTGTATGTGGATCGAAGCTGATGATGTCAATCACTGGATTGTCTGGTCCATACTCCATTATTTACAGACCGCCGTCAAATAGCTGGAATATTGCTGAGTGTGGCGTTAAACAACAAACAAACAAACAAACAATGGAACATGATCTCAAAATACCGAAATACTGTTCAAAGTTGCTTAAAACTCATTCTAAATCTAAACTCTACAGAATGGTGGCTGGATCACAGAACACGGGAACAACTACCCTCTGCGCGGAGGCAAGTTTACCGTGTACGAAGGCGGAACGAGAGCAGTGGGCTTCATACATGGATCGGGTCTCCAAAAGACTGGAACTGTGTTTGACGGGTAAACAACCACAAAATCACAATCGGCACCATGTTATTGACATATGACTTTACTGACTTTACAGTTTTCTCAGACACTCCAACGATATCCAGATCGAAAGATCTCAATATGTGTTATTTTGGACTTAAATTTCTTAAATGTTACTAATAAGACCTGACAATGCGGCGTATGTAACATGTGATGTAAATGGGGATTATGTTTGATACAGCCGGGTCCAGTCCAAAAGTAAATGATTACCCTATACACATATGACACTATGTTCAATGTCATGACCTGAGATGGAAATCTTGGTAGAAAGAGCACGCTGGATTGTACCTCAATGTCAAGTCAATATTAATTTGGAAGTTTACATGTTCATACTATGACATCGTATGTCGCTCTTAGAAATCTTGGTAGAAAGAACACGCTCGATTGTACCACAAAGTCAAGTCAATGTTAATTTGGAACTTCACATGTTCATACTAATGTTGACGCTGTGTTACTGACCATGTCGTTTCAGGATGATCCACGCCGTAGACTGGCTGCCCACCCTGACAGCAGCTGCCGGGGGGACCCCAGGTACAGTAGGGCGTGGCCGTTACAGGGTCACGGCCCGGTAGTCTGTTCAAACATGACCTTGGAAAACTGTGTTCCTGTGTTTATTGGGTTCAACGCTGCTTGGCATGCAGCTCTGTCTGCACAATGTCGGGGATATACGACGCGGGTCGATGACGTTTACCAATTCAGTGGACATCAAACATCCTAGGATGATTTGTCACTGAGCATGCAGCGCATGTGACATACTTGTATCAGCATTCATTCATTGTCATCCAAAGTTGAAAATGTTTCGTTTCTGCAAGTCAAGTGTTCTATATTTTCTAAAGGAGTATATACAGCCACTTCCTTGCAGTCAAAAAGTCGGATTCGTGCAATGGACTAATATAATTTCATATAATTATGGATTTTTTCTGTCGCTTTAATTTATTATTAAGAATATATCGGAAAAGTATAAAGTGAATAGTTGTGGGACGAACCCATCGCTAATGCTGAGTAGGGAAGACGTTACCACTCGGGTGATTAATGATTTTTAAATATGATAAATGATTTGTTTCTGATCCCTTGAAGGTGGTGTTACAGTATATCTTTTATGACAGCATGTATATTTTCACAATGACCCCTCTAGTGTCAGACCGTGACGGCATCAATCTGTGGCCTAGTCTCAGCACAGCCTCCCCGTCCCCCCGCACTGAGGTCGTCTACAACTACGACTCACACGTCCTCCCCACTGAAGGACATGCTGCCATCAGGTACGTCTGTTTACGTTGACGTTGGCAGAAACTGTCAGTACTCTACACCAAGCCACTGATATACGTGCGCTAGAATAATTCCTTGATATTTTTCCTCTGTTCGGTATTTCTAAACGTGGTGTTCGACCTGGCGAAATATACATATGCTCCTGAAGTATTCAGTGATAAATGATTTACACAAAGAAAGAAAATTGCCATGGGATACTATTATATCGTACTATGTCCAGAAAAATGTGTTTTCAGATTTGCAGGTGTTCTTTCATATTCTCTCAATATCACTGAAAATGCGCTTAATTATATTTATCTTTATGAAAATATTAACAGAGTCTATTCCTCTGTGGAATAAACATGATTTTCCGACTAAAAACTCTTTCTATATATGTCACAGTCTATGTATAAAATGACTAAAAATTTCACTTAGACAAATTGAAAAACGAATATATACTTTAGTTGTTTTTCTTATTGACTGAAAAATCTGTCCATATATTTTATCATGGTAACAAATTCCAAACATTTTAATGTTTATTTTCATCACCAATTAACAGAAAAGAAAACGAAAGTCAATTTATGTATTTCTTCGGCTTCTAAACCAACCATAATTCGATATTGTAATATTTTAAGTCCTTGTAAACCGCCTAATAATTTGTATTCAATCTGTCAAATAAAGGGCAAGCATTTTCAATCAATTTGTAAAACGACTGAACTATAAAGCCATTTTATAAATCGCCTAAGTGAATCACATTTTACTCATTTACTTAACATATACACTGTATATTACGAAGTGAGCAATGCTCGTATTGTTGCAGAGTGGGTGACTACAAACTAATCGATGGCTACCCGGGACTCTACCCTGACTGGTACAAGCCTGAACAAGTCACATCTGACCTGAACATCACCCACATCAGCGATTGGGCCAATACGTATCAGCTGTTCAACTTGAAAGGTAAAAAGCATTCACGGATATATACTAGTATTTGAGGTTCTGTCAGACGAGTTTTACCTGGTTAGTGAATGCATCCTAATCAAAATAGTGTTCCATGGATTTTCCCAAGGTTAAAGAAGCACGAGGGATTTCATGTGAGGGTATGATGACATGGGAAGGCGGATGTCTCTCTCGTGTTGATATCTGATTAATCAAGTGAGTGAGCGAGTTTGGTTGAACACCGCTTTGAACATTGTGTCGGTTATACCTCGGCGGGTCAGCTCAATGTTGGAGGAAAGCACAAAGGGGCGCTTGTCGCAGAGTTTTGCCACTCAGGTGAAATCCACGAAGGGTTGCTGATTGACTGATCATTATCAAGCTGTTTCTGGTACTTGAACCCACGATGAATAGGCTCTGCATACCAAATTACCAGTCCTGGAAGCTCCAGGAAAAGACCCACAGAGGCATGCACAATATCACTGAGATGCTCTAGACTTCCATATTTGGTGCAGCAGTGAAAACTATTTCATTTGCAACCCCAAAGACATAGGTTCGGGTACAATTTGAGCAGTCAATTTTGGTTGTCCAACGCGACAATAGTATTGAAATATTGCCAAGGGTGACTGAAAATCTAATGAATTGGAAAATCATTCAAGTATTTGCAGAGAGTCAAGAAAAAGTCAAGTAAAAGGCCAAATCTGCACTCTGAAGAAATCAACTAAGAAACGCATTATTATTGCAACACTTCCTTTCCATTCATACATGGAATATGTCTGTATGATAATGATTGTTCACAGATGACCCGACCGAGCACAACGACCTGTCCACCTCCCATCCAGACATCGTGAAGCAGCTAGCCGCCAGACTGGCCTGGTATGAGAAACAAGCGGTGCCAGCAAATTTCCCTGCCCTGCCCGACCCCAAGAGCAACCCTGAACTATACGGCAATGTCTGGTCTCCTGGCTGGTGCTAAGATCTTGTCTTTTTATACAACCATGGAATAAAGTCGTTATTTCAATACTGTTCCCTCTGTCTTTCACCTAGTGTATAACCCGGGCCATCATTCTACACAGCACTGTGCAGCTGTTTTAAAAAATAAAAGTATTGGAATACAAGGGAAGCATGCTCATGAAACAATTTTGATTGAACCGGTCCGTTCACCGGTAAAAAATTGGAACCTGGCAGGATTAGACTGTAAGCGTATTCAGAGTCTTCTAGTGCCTAATAGGTAAGTTGGTCGAATATTCCCCAGGTAGGGGAGATTTGAAATGCACACCAGTCCGCGGTCTATCAATATAGTGCACTTTTGAGCTTTAGAAGTTTGTCTGGCTACAAGGACTATAAGCTTGAGAATACATATATATACCTTAACGCCAGACAATGGTTCTCTATTATCAGACGAACCAGAATCATTTTGGCGTAACAGGCGAACTAGCGCTGAAAATTATATATAGAGATTACGTAAATAGTGTCACAGACGAAATACTGCCTTGTGGGACACCTTGATCCTGATTATAATGATCAGACAGGGTTGAGCCGACGTACGAGTGTCTGTCAGATACCATTGATCTTTCAACGATTTGTTTCAAAACGTATCTAACGAGTGAAAGCGAGGTAGATACGCTTTATAACAACGAGTTGTAATACCTATGATATCTGACAGGCACAAGTGCAGTAATCGGTTTCTAACCACCCTAAAATCGTACCTTTCTAGCATCGAGCCGAAGTATTTTGTCTATTCTCATGATTGCAGTAGCGCATTAATACATAACACCACTGTCATAAGTGTCGTCATCCTATGTACTGCTTACTACACATAAATAATGTGACCCTACACAAAAAGGTTTCCGCCTTATCTATAGATTATCAAGGCGCTGATGATAATGCAAACTAGACAGAAACAAAAAAACACGCTGAGTTAAAAGTTTACACCTCAAAGAAATTACCAATGTTAACTTCCGTATGACACACACTACCGGTGACCGACCTTTACAAAATGGCGTCTTCACAACAACAAAAACCAACAATGACTGGACATGTGGTGGACTTGCCGAGATCAGGACATCCACAGAAGACCAGTGCCAGAGAGAACAGGGTCTTTGTACGCCATGCAAATCGGCTACCAACTTAGACTTGCACTGTTCTTCGTCAACACTGGCATACCCACAACAGAGTGCCCCTTAGCACCACCAGGTGTCGACTGAATGCAGCAGGATGAACGGCCAATAAAGACCAGTAAGACGTCCACTCCTCTCACCCCAACACATGCGTGCCGTTCAGCCTGGTGTCAGGTTCGAGCACACTGAAACTTGATGGAGGATGATTCATTGGTCTGACGAGAGTCGGGTTTTTGTTTGCACCACACTGACGGTAGTCTTGGGGCAACGAGGAGCATCTTATCATCAGCGCAACATCAAGGAAACAGTGGCATGTGGTGGTGGCTGAGTGATAGTTTGGGGGATGTAGCTCCATTGATTGTAAACTTGATTTTGTCGCAGTTCAGGGGACAGTAAATGGACAAAGGAACCAAGATACCATATTCACTGTAGGAAGCTGACAGCTAATATGCATGACCACGACCTGTGAAAAGAGTAATGTTTTGCAATTTACTATGGCGATCTGTTTCCTATAAGTAATTAATCCAATTGCAATTAAGAAATGGTTGTTCTGTTTATTCACCACAAACATATATTTCTTCATGATATACAATGTACGTTGAAATTTCTATTAAAATCAAGTCATGTTATAACTATGTTTATAATTAATTGTGATGTAATATCAGTGTCTCACTGATACCCAAGGCCTCAATATCATACATGATTGGCTTTCAATATCTTTTTGTATTCAAATGACGTGAAAGATTTAGTAAGATATTTTAGTTTACACAAGATTGTGCCAAAGTTATATATTTTCCATCTCTACTTTTGAGTTGCAGTAATGATTTTTTTCTCCAAATTTTAGCTGGCTTCTTCATCTAATTTAAATGGAGTTGCTGAACATTGTTCTGTTCTCATATTTAATTTGAAGATTGTTTATTGAAATATTGTTTCTTGGACAAATAAAAATGAATACAGCTGCATTAATATTCCCCCTTTGGGAGAAAAACAAATGTGTGGCCATACATAGGGCACCCATATATTACATCTACATTTTTAAATGCTGCCTAATAGAGATGTTTATCATATTGCAAACATGACGTATGATATGACACTACAATAAAAACATAATATTGTTTGGTCCCTCTATGTGGTAGGGACAACCCCTAGTTGAGAGGTCTGGCCCATGGACTATAGGAACCGAAGCAAAGTTACTTATGAAATGCAACCAAAACCAAAAATGTGAAACATACGGCATCAAACTTCAAGCAAACCTTCAATATTTTCTTAAAAGAAATCTTACAAGAAATCAGAAAAAGATACAGGAGTAAAATCTAATCTGCCCGTAATCAAACATATATGTCATAAACGGCAAAGACAGTTTGATGTATCAAGTATGGACACAATTTCTATAATATACGAAATCATTTCATCTAGTTGGTTCAGAGGAGTAGCAACGTTATAGTTCATTACAACATGCATCCTACGAGTGCAGACATGCGTGTACAAAATAGGTTTTTCGAGATAATATCTCAGACAACAGAATCGTGTGAAACAGCCCTGTCATTTGCAGTGGTCATGTGAATTCAGAGGCTTTTAAAAGTATGTCTCGTGGATTTACACTTAAATATATGAATAGGAGAAAGAGGATCAGGCCAGCAGCTCTGGTGAAGGACGTCGCTGTGGTGCCAGACGTGTGCTCAATGGAGACACAGATTTTGATGCGCTTTGATGCGTGTGTTGTGTGAGAGTTGGGTTTAACGCCACTTTGAACACTGTTTATCATATACTGGACAGTGGTATCGATGCCATAAACCAACCCGATAAACGATCACGATCCGATAAGGTGCTAATGCATTTAGCAGAACAACTTTGAGGCTCCATACATCGGTATAATACCTGCTTGCTTAATAAACTATTGATAAACGTTTTTAATAACTTTTGATAGATGTTCTCAATGTATTGGTGACTCTGTAGACTCTCACAGTGTTGCAGATCACATGGCACTATATGATACATGGGGCGGTTCACTCAGATATTCATACGCGGTATCTAAAGCTATTCCTTTGAGTGAAAATGTATCTGAAACATTATATGATGTAAATAGCATTACCCTCGTGAGTTTATGTATTGTAAATACCATATATGAAGAAAAACAAAATATGTATTATGCTCACGAAAGGCTCACCAAAGGCTAAAACATTTTTACTTCCTAATGTATAATATTTATAATACGGAAAGACACTCAGCTAATAATCATTATTTCTATTAAATAACAGTGTATCAGTTGAAACGTTCGCCGCCCACTTATTTGATGAAAGCGGTATGGTGCTGATAGACCATGGTTCATGATCAGGGCTAATCAGAAATTTAAAAAAAACAGCGGATCCTGACACGGCTCAGGAATTCGAATTAACAGATAGCTATTAATGAGAGTTATACCACCCTCGATTTATTATGACAATAAATACGAGCATTCATTTGGCAAACAACAACAGTTATTCTTGAGCTATTCATGATTGTCTTTTTATCGTTCGCAAGTTTAAGATTTATGAAATGGCCAATAACAAAAGTATATACATGGCTAAAATGAGTAACCCATTGGCTCAAGCTGAATTAGTCAGCATAATCTTGTTATATCTTTATCTACATCTCCCTGACGTCTTCAGATCTGCGGGTGTTATTGCAAACTATAACATAAGAAATTAATGTTATTTTCAGAAGCACCCTCTTTCTAAGTGAACACTCACATCTGTGAGACACATGTCGTGTCATGATTCAACTGAAACCGTCTAGTCGTCTTCTGCTGTGTCATGTTTAATCTGACATGGTGACTTTCAAAACAGCATGTCTCCCAGATAACCTCAAGTCAAGGCCCATGTCGCATTGAAACTCTGCATTGAGTCTCACAACTAGCATAAGGGAGGTGTGAAGAAATAGGACACCAACGTGGAATTCCTGTCCACGGAAGGAGAGATGTTTGTCCAGTTATTATGCACAGTTTTGGTCATCATCAACCTCTGTGATGACGTTTCTGCAGCAGGGCGTCCACGCCATATTGTCTTTATCGTGGCGGATGATCTCGGTATGTTTGATTTCTTGTAAATATGCTTCCTCAGAAAATAACTATCTTTTTATTCATTACACAAGAAATGTGCCATAATTTTTGGTATGAACGTGTACTGTATGTGTACGTGTACTGTACGTGTACGAGTGACAGTTCCTCAAGTAACAAAATGGAAGGACCCAAATCAGTTTCACTATCAAGAATATTTAATTATTACCAATACATACAATTATTTAATATTTACACAATTAACACATATATTCTGGCAAACTAACATATTTGTGGCAAAGCAAAATAGGTGAATACTCAACGTGATACAGAAACTCCTCCAATCGGACACAATCCGGATTCTGTTCACAAACGTATTCCAATCACAGTTCCACATTCCTGTCTCTCACAAATGACCGACATGGCCGGATACATCAGAGGAATCCGCTGGTAGGAATATCACAGACGGACATGGCCGGATACATCACAGGAATCCGCTGGTAGGAACAATACAGACCGACATGGTCAATACAGGGGTATAGTGAGTGTGAGACGTCCGTCCTGAACCCGTCTCAACTCTCCAACTCAAAAACTCTCCCCCAACTCTCAACGACTGGGGGTAGGTTTACACAACCTGCACTCTCCCCCTACCCCACCCCCTAGCTCAGCCACATGTCCAAGCCTCAACCATACGTCCAAACCTCTCAAACAATACAGCATACACTGATTACGGGGTTACATATTAAGCTACTCAATGTGGTGGGCATACTGACGAATCACATTCGCAAAGCTGATCAATCACAGGTCAACCTTTGGTCCACCCCAATTACCTCTTTGGTTATAATACATGATTTCTCTTTGATTAATTTAAATTATGCTCATATATAACAGTACACTTACTTATACATCCTTTAATCTGAGAAACAATTTGCCCTTGGTAGATATTCGTGGAGCCAGTTAATACATTATTTTTACTGGCTACTGGGATTCACACTTGGGACTGAAAACAATCTGTAAGTTTGCAAATCACCGGATGCCAGGATGATGCCACGCATTAATCACTCCTTGTTGAAATTGCCTCTGTTGAGAAAATATTATGTGTTATATTTATAGATAGTCAATCGAGGGACTTTTTTCAACAAGAAATCTCGTATTGATTTCCGTATAGAATATGTTTTTTCATTTCTTTCCTAATGCCAGAGTTATATTATTGAGTGAGTTGGATTCATCATCGTTTGAACAGTATTCAATAACATCAATCTCAACTTTAGATGTGAGAAAATCCTCAGTACTGCTGTTAGTGGACATTTGATGTAGGAGATCATGCAGTATACTTGGACCCTCAGCCATAAGTGTAGTAATCCCGTTGAAGAGGCTGGTTTATGCCAACAATCAAATGGTGTCATCCGTGCTGAATTAGAAGTTCAAATCGGCATTCACCGTACAATCAGCTATAACCGACAGCACCGTGCTTTATGTGAAAAGTTTATTGACAGATGCCTGTAAATTTGAAAGTACAACAAATGAGAGCAGTATGACATTCTTGGTTGCCTTCTGAATCTATCATGATTTAAACTTAAGAAACAATTTTCAGGATGGAACGACATTGGCTTTCACAACCCCGATATAATCACACCCAACATCGACAAGCTGGCAAGAGAAGGCTTGCTACTGAATCATCACTATGTTCAACCACTCTGCAGTCCGTATGTAACAGAAGGCATAATACTGAATCATTCTTATGTCGAACCACTCTGCAGTCCGTATGTAACAGAAGACATAATACTGAATCATTCTTATGTCGAACCACTCTGCAGTCCGTACGTAACAAGAGGCTTAATATTGAGGGGAGGTGAAATTGGGTTTAACGTCGCGTCCAAGATTATTGCACTTATATACCGACGTGCATGCACGTGTGTGTGTGTGGCTGCTTGTACTAGTCCGGACTGATGCCGATTTATTGTGCTAGCTCACTGAGATACCATGCCACAGTTTAACATGAATACCCCACTCAGTCACAGTATACTGACTCCGAGCCGACCAGTCCTTGTTTTAGCCCCTTAATGCCGAGCGCCAGACAGGGTAACAACAAGTACCATCTTTTAACGTCTTTTGGTATGACGCGGCCGGGGATCGAACCCCGGACCTTCCGCTCTCCGGGCGGACGCTCTACCACTAGACCACGGAGGCGGTGGCTGAATATTGAATCACTCTTATGTCCAACCAGTCTGCAGTCCTTGAGTAACAGAATGCTTAATATTGAATTAATTCTTACGTTTAACTTATCTGCTGTCCGTGAGATTAGAAGGCTTGATACTGCATCCATCGTATGTCGTACCACTCTGCAGTCTGAAAGTAACAGCAGGCGCAATACTGAATCAATCTTACTCTCATCCAGTCTGCAGTACCTAAGTAAGGGAAGGCGTGATAATAAACCATTCCTGTTCCTACGTCCAGTAATAGGTTAAATATGCATGGACATAAACAGATTCTTTCATCTGTTCACAAACAGTGACATGTTTCATCACCTCAATTTCAATACAGTGTAATATAACGATAACTTATAAATTAAACCTCACCCGACCAACTCAGCGATCACGATGCTGAGTGTTCATAGTTTTAATGCATGCATTTTGAGTAGTGAAAAGAACACGTGTATCATTATTCGACATGACAATAATAGATGATAAAATTGCATGTTGGCACACATGGAAATTAATATCAACTGAAAATATATTGTATATCACCACAACCCTTTGATTACCGTACATGGTGGAATAGCAATAACCAAAATTATAGTCGAAATTCAAATAGGACTTTCAAATCTTCTTGTGCATTACATTGTATGTCGAGAGAACGAAAGTTGACTGATACTAATGATATATTTTATACACGCAGGTCGAGAGCTGCCTTTATGTCCGGCTACTACCCCTTTAAGACAGGTCTGCAGGTGGGTGGTGATAAGTCGTCTTGATCAGCCGAAATAGACTACGCGGTACCTAGTCGTGTTTTAGGTACTGGCAAATCGGTAACCTTGGTGTCCAATCGCGTTTTAATTAAGGGTCAACAGATAACCATGGTGTCAAATCGCGTTTTAATTAAGGGTCAACAGATAACCATGGTGTCAAATCGCGTTTTAGGTAAGGGTCAACAGATAACCATAGTGTCCAATCGCGTTTTCAGTAAGGATCAACAGATAACCATAGTGTCCAATCGCGTTTTAATTAAGGGTCAACAGATAACCATGGTGTCCAATTGCGTTTTAGGTAAGGGTCAACAGATAACCATGGTGTCGAATCGCGTTTTAATTAAGGGTCAACAGATAACCATGGTGTCCAATCGCGTTTTAATTAAGGGTCAACAGATAACCATGGTGTCCAATCGCGTTTTAGGTAAGGGTCAACAGATAACCATGGTGTCCATTAGCGTTTTAATTATAGGTCAACAGATAACCATGGTGTCCAGTCAAGTTTTAGGCGCTGGCCAAAAGAAACCCGAGGTACCCAGTCCAAGTGAGTTATTGGCCAATAGGAAGCCCCGTTTAAAGTTACGAGTTTCGGACTAGCTAATAGATAACCATGGAACCCAGTCGCGTGTCACAGATTATTCAATAGCTAACCGTGGTGCCTAGTCACGTGTTATAGGCTATCCAATAGTTAACCGTGGTGCCTAGTCACGTGTCACAGGTCATCCAATAGCTAACCGTGGTGCCTATGGGGTAGCGAATAGAACACTGATGTTTCGCCCTCTTTTACAGCACGAGGTCATTCTGAATAACCAGCCCGTCTGTCTACCCCTGAATATCACAACCCTGCCACAGAAACTGAAGGAGCTTGGATATGCAACACACATGGTCGGCAAGTAGGTGTACGAGAGGTATTTGGAATCCGTTGTAGATACAGAGATATTTGTACTTATTGTAGAAACATGCAGCAGTGATGCAGTAGTAGTTGTAGTAGGGGTAGTAGTAGTAGTGATGTTGTTGGTGAAGGTGGCAGTAGTAGGGGTAGTAGTAGTAGTAGTGGTGTTGTTGTTGATGATGGTAGCAGAAGTAGCAGCAGTTGTTGCATCAATAGGAACATTACTAACAGAAGTCCCCCACCTGTATAAAGGCTACATTGTCCCTGTCGTGTGATCCAGGTGGCACAATGGGTTCTGTAGTTGGAATTGCACCCCGACGTACCGTGGCTTTGACAGCTTCTTCGGCTACTACAACGCCCTGGAAGACTACTACACCCACGTCACTGGTGGCTTCCTTGACTACCGTAACAACACCAGCCCCGTTACGACCGACAACGGCACTTACTCAACGGTAACTATCAGCTGTAAACTATATAGACAATATCCGTTTTCCAGTGGTATTCCTTCAAATCGGCCGTCAAGTTAATATCATTTGAATAATAAATTAAAAATAGTATTAGTCAAAGTCAAAGATGTTTATTGTATCAAAGGCCATCGGCCCATATACAAGTTCAGATAAATACAGTGGGTGAGAATTTACAGATTGGGAGATACAACAAAAATTATATAAATATAACATTCATTTAACAATCGGTGATAATCATGAGGACTTTCTAGGGTGAGGTAATTAAAATTATGAATTTCCACTCAACATGTTATTTCGTAGTTCCATCCCATGTTTTACAAATAAAGACAGTTTAAACATTACATCGGCATCATTCGATGACAAAATAGAAACAAAAGCTATTCTACTTGTCTTAGATAAGAAACATTCTGGTATATATTTAGTACGTAATTCTGCATAATAAGGACATTCAAAGGTAAAATGTATTTCGTCTTCTATTGCAGAGTTACAGAATGGACAAATTCTTTGTATTCTTTCAAGTGATATATTCCGTCCATAGTTAATCATAAGTTTTGACAAGCCAAGTCTGTATTTAATATATCCATTTCCTAGGTGACTATTTGTTAAAACTGATAGATATTTTTCTGGCTCTAATAGAGTCTTAAATGTTCTGTACAAATCATAACGTGAACTATTTTCCAAGTTGCATTGCCACCCTTGATAGAACATATTTATTGCTATTTTACGAAAATCATTTAGAAATAAATGTTGATCACCAACAGATTGGTTAAGCCATATATACCCATATCCATGTGAGAATAATAGTGTCCTAATATGCGATACCCATGTAACCTTACCGATACTATCTAAATGAAAGAGCATGTTATAAGCTTTTTTCGGAAGCCGATGTTCTGGCATACGGATGATATTAAACCAATATTTTAAACACTTTATTTGTGAAGTAATGTAAAGTGGGTATCTTCCACATTCTCCATATATCATATTATTTGGTGTTGCTATTCCAACGCGAAGAAACTTTTTACATGCCAGTAGGTGAATTCTTTCTAAACATTCATATCTTCGGTAACCCCACACTTCAGATCCATACAATAAAATTGGCTGTATTTGAGCATCAAATAATTTGAAAAATACTTTTGGAGTAATAACTCCAAGTTTATGTGAAACAGACATTATATTAAGTAAAGCTCGTTTCCCTCGCAGTGATAAGTCAGATACACATTTGTTCATATTTAGTGTTGAATTAAACATTATGCCGAGATACTTATAACCATTAACTACATTAATTTGTTGTCCATTTAAGTACCATCTTTCCCTAAAATTTAAAGGACCCCCTTTTCTGAATACTATAATTTCTGTCTTATCTAAATTTACAGATAAATTCCATTCCTTAGTATATTTATCTAATACATTCAACTGATTCTGTAGACCAATAACAGTGTCAGATAGTAAAATAACATCATCGGCAAAAAGGAGCATAAGAAGTTCAAGGATGTCAGGATACATCTGTATACCATGCTTGCCGTTACTTGAGATTTCATAATATAATTCGCTTATGAAAAACGAAAATAACAGAGGACTCAGTATACATCCCTGACGTAAACCAGATGGGCAATCGATAAAATCAGTAACACCATAATCACTACGTACACATGACTTGATATTTGAATACATTGATTGTATTATATTAAACATCTTCCCTTGTAGTCCAGCTTTTCTTAAACAACACCATAATTTATAACGATCAACTGTATCAAATGCCTTTTTAAAATCAATAAAAGCAACGTAAACCTTGTGTTTACGACGTGTTAGACATTTTTGAATTGCAGCATATAATGTAAAAATATGATCTACGGTTGAATAATTTTTTCTAAAACCAGCTTGAACTTCCGGTATCTTATCTCTCATATTTGCCCAGTTAGTAAGCCTGTTATTCAAAACAGAGGTAAAAATTTTCCCCAGAACACTCATTAATGAGATCCCCCTGTAGTTGTCAGGGTTTCTCGGATCGCCTTTTTTATGTAGAGGGACTATTTCTGAACAAGACCAACTGTTTGGAAATATTTGATTATCAAAGAGTTTGTTGAAACATTTATGAAGAAATGGCATAATATCTAATTGGGAACATTTAAGCATTTCTATCAGCACTTGATCGGGCCCGGCGGATTTTCCTTTTTTTAACTTATTTATTGATGATGTAATTTCATGTTCAGTTATCGTAGAATTTAGTATGAATGCATCAATATCTGTAAACTGATTAGAACTGAGTTCATTTTCATCATCTAAGTGAGGAGAAAAAACATTGTCATTTGCAAAAACCTCTCTAAAATGGCACAGCCATTCTGCTTTCGTTATATGATTCTTCTGTCTGGGTTTGTTTTGTAATGATCTTATCTGTTTCCAAAAGCTAGATTGACTATTTATGCTTCTATGCAATCTTTCAACTGATTTCTTTCGTGAAATGGATTTAAATTTTCTGCAACAAAATTTATAATGATTTCTTTGTCTACAGTACACAATTCTGTTAGCGACTGTTCTTTGTGTTCTAAATCTCCTAAGTGCCCTACGTGTTTCTCGTTTCGCTTGTCTACATTCTAGACTTAGTGGTTTGTGATTGGCAAATTGTGGATTATGTCGTATTGTCTTTTTCATGCAGTTAGCAGAGTCTAATACAATGTCGACAAAGTGGCTAATTGCGTTTTCAATAGCATTATCAATTTCTTTAAGGACCATTTCTTTGTTTTCAGTAAAATTATATCTCAGGTTATCAAGAAACAAACTGGAGTAATGATCATTCCATACAATTTTCTCTGATGCTTGTGGATCCATACATGAATCATTATTGCACCTCTTACCCATATTTGGAAATCTACACATCAATTCTAATGGAAAGTGATCAGAATCAGATCGATCACCGACAGTGAACATATTGATAAACTGAAAAAAATCTGGTGAACTTATAAAATAATCGTTCACACTAGATCCATGTTGGCTACAATAAGTAAATTCCCCATTAGTATCACCATATACACGTCCATTTACGATGTAAAGTTTAAAAACATAGCATAAATCCAACAACATTTGACCAAATCTATTTACAACTGTATCCTGTGAAGTACGATCCTCAACAGGGTCATCCTCCTCCTCAGGGAAAGGGGAGGTGTGATTGAAGCTATCATCATTATTGCTAATATCAGGGTTATTTCTCTCACCTGTTCTAGCGTTCATATCTCCACAGATTAAATTGTATGAATTTGAAAACATTTCATCATTATCTATTAAGAATTCTTCTACTTTTACAATGTTACTATTGGTGTTTACATGATTATAATAAGGAGACCCCATTGGAGGGATATAGGTACATAACAAATTCACATTTTTGTCAATTCTAAATAAATCTTTAGATAACGAGAGACCAATTATGTTGTCTCTATCTGCTTGTATAACATTACAGAAACTACTCAGTGATTGACGTACACACAGACAAATACCACCTGATAAACGTCCATAGTTGGATAACTTAACTGCAGGACAGTAAAAAGTATCATATCCATGTAGCCAATGTTTTCCTGGAATATTTACAACAAATGTCTCAACAAGGCACACAATATCAAATTTACTGATGTAAGTTAAAAAGTCAACATCATTTATTTTGCTGAGAAGACCACCAATATTCCAACATACAAAGGAGAACGCGTCTCTGTTGACATCAGTAACACTGTGAGCGCGAGTATTACGTTTAATGATATTTTGATCTTTTCAGCTTCGGTTTACTGACGTAGCCACCGACATCATCGAGCGTCACAACCAGAGTCAGCCATTGTTTCTGTACCTGGCATACCAAGCTGTCCACGAACCTATTGAGGTAAATTTGCTGCACACCAAAACTCAACAGTCAAGTTTGAGGAAACCGGAAGTTGGTCGTTTAACGAGGAGAGATTAGATTTTGTTTGTTTGTGGTTTCAACACCGCACTCGGGATTATTCCAGCTATATGACGGCGGTCTGTAAATAATCGAGTCTGGACCAGACATCATGAACATTGATCCACGCAAATAGTATACGATGACATGCATCATCCAAGTCAGCGAGCCTGACCACCCGATCCCGTTTGTCGCCTCTTACGACAAGCGTAGTCGCCTTTACAGCAAGCATGGGTTGATGAAGATCTATTCTACCCCGGATCTTGACGAGTAGGAGGAGAATTTAGAGCAAGCAGGGAGAAGCAAGTGCAGCGCTGTATTTAACATGCGGCGGCCAAGAAATGTACCAATCTCTACCATATCCGGTTATAGGAGCACATGCGTAGCGTCCTTAATTATGGATATACACAAACATGGAGACGTGTCTACATTTCACATGTTTGCTTGGGCGATAAAATTACTCACTGCTTGATTGATGTTATGTGGGCGAGAGCAATTTTACCTAACAAACTTCACGTCGTCTCTATTTTTTTTTATTCGATACCGAGGACCAATGAGAGTTATGCCAAGTGTCGTTAAATCGGTCTACCGTCTACTCATATATTATCTTCTTATTTCAAAGGTTCCCGCAAAGTATGAAGCAATGTATCCAAACATAAAAACAGAAAATCGTCGAAAGTTTTCCGGTGTGTATGAAGTATATATTTCGACATTTTACATAAACGTACACATTCGTTGTCACTCGTATCTTGCCGGAACAAGGCGATCTCAAGTTACGGAACGGTGGAGCATACACGTAACGATGGCGAGACGACGAAGTCAGTTGTACGATATAATGAATATATTTGTGAATGACCCATGTAATATTCCACCATCTTCAACAACGCATGTTTATCAGGAATTAATAAGGCTGCAAAAACAAATATTTCTGTGGCACATTTATCTCAAATGGGAGGAGTGTAGTGTCTCCTTATTGCGGCGTGTCGCGCCCGAGAAAAAAGATTCTTTTTCATCCTAATGCGTATGAAAATATTTGAATGAATGCTCATTTCTTCAAAGATAAAAAATCACCTGAATTCGTTCAAGGAATGGTCTCTGCTCTTGATGAAGCAGTTGGTAACGTTACTGAAACGTTAAAACAAAGAGGGTTAATGGACGACACGCTGATTCTGTTCACTGCCGATGTAAGTATAAGCTAGTGTTGTCAATCACAGTATTAAGCGTATCAGTTTGTCTTTACATTTCCTTGTTAACAGTTTTATTTCCCACCGACTTGAACATTTTTCCACCAAATTTAGAAAACTGCAAGCCAGATAATAAAAACAGTTTTAACCAATTGAGATTTAATTGTTTATTGAGCATGTAGTTTCCATTTTAATATTAGAGGAGCGTGGGTGTTTTCATTCCCAGCTCCCTGGGAAGTATGCAACCCAAGCTACCGGCAAAAAACGCTACACAGTATTTTATTTGGTGACCCAAACTTAAATGTTTCACTGAATACAAATATGTTCTTGTCAGAACACAAATATATAGAAACCACGGACAAATTCAATAGCGAGCATATTATTGTTTCCAAATTGTTAATCATTAATAATGTTAAATCTATATATAAAGACTTAAATGTATAATAATTGCATATGTATAGATGCGCAATGCTTTGACTTTCCAGCACATAATACAATTCCATCAGCACTGTGTATATATGGTTACAGGCCGGCAAAGCCACATTTCGAAAATAGATAGCCCAAATTGATGTGGCGCTCCCGGCAATGGTTATGGTTGCGTGATTGTATAATGTGGCTCTCGCGGCTATGCTGTCAAAACATGCTTTGTGATTCTAACAGGTTACCGTATATAACAAAACAAGTCTTGTTTTCTCATTTCTTATTCAACAAGGATAACATATTCATCAAAACTTTACATTGATGAATATGAATAGCATATGAATATCATAATGGATCATAACTGCAGATGAAGGAGGTCGCCCACGTGGTCAGCATATTCCATCTCATCTTAGGATATGGAGTACTTACTTACTTACTTACTTACTTTGGAGATTTAACGTGCGCTTTCCGACTGATGCGTATTTCGCACACGGGCCCGGCCAGGCCATTTAATGTGTTTCCGAAAGGGGCGAAAGTGGTCTGTGCAACCCAAGAGGGGGGTTTTAGGGGTTGCTTATATAGAATTTGGGAATTTTGAGATTTGGAATAGATGCCGATGGGATTGGGGAGGAGAACTAAGGGAGCTGGGTATCGGTAATCGGATTAATTAATTACCCGCTAGAATAGGTGAAATGCACTCAGCTGAAAATGTGGCTCTACCGGCAATAGCCATTCCTGAAATGTGGCGCTCTCGGCTAGACACCGTATATATCACACATTATGATGTTTAACTGTATTTTGGTAGAAGGCGACAATAAGTGGTGCACTTTGTCTTTTTGGACAATAAAATATGTTTACAAATAAACAAAATATGCAGGTGACATTACCGTAGCCTTAGAAGTCAAACTGCCGAACGCTGTCACTTTTCTGCGACCAACCCCGATATTTCCGAAATGCTGTTCAAAGTTGAATTTACACATTGTATCATCAATAATGTGTAGAATGGCGGGGCGGTGGACGCATACGGGAACAACTACCCTCTGCGCGGAGGCAAGTTTACCCTGTACGAAGGCGGAACGAGAGCAGTGGGCTTCATGTATGGATCGGGTCTCCAAAAGACTGGAACTGTGTTTGACGGGTAAACAACCATTGTTACTGGTACAATGCGTGGTCCTGTCAAATAAATATGTGCTACCATGTTGATGGAATGAGGCCGAGGTGGTGGTGCAGGGGGTTGGTTGGTTGGTTGTTGTTTAACGCCGCACTCAGTAATATTCCAAATACATGACGGCGGTCTATAAATAATCGAGTCTGGACCAGACAATCCAGTGACTGACAACATGAGCATCGATCCACGCAATTGGGACCGATGACATGCATCAACAAAGTCAGCGAGCCCTTACGACAAGCATAGATGCCTTTCACGGCAAGCATGGGTTGCTGAAGACCTATTCTACCCCGGAATCTTCACGCAGGGGGTAGGGTGGGGGCAGAAAGTCCTTGTTTGCTATAACGGATAATCCGAAAATAATTACACGTTTTTACACTTGAAGTATCATTAAGTAATGACGGTTAGATGAAGGCTCTGTACAGCTCATATTAATTCCACCATTAACTGAAGAAACATAAATCATTAATGAACCATTGGGGTTGGACACAAACACAGCTAAAATTATTCAAATTGTTAAGGAGTTAAGGAGTATGGTTATACGCAGCTTTTTGCAATATTTCAGCAAATGTGCTTCACACTTTGTAGCCATGTGGCGAATCGAACCCGGCTCTTGGGTCTTCGGCGTAACTAGTTAACCCTATAAACGTTAGGCTACCCCTACCGCGCCTCAAACTGTTCAATATGTTGAAGTCAATGTTAATGTTGTAAATTTAAGTTTATGTTGATGCTAATATTGACGTTGTACCACTGGACATATCGTTGCAGTATGATCCACGCCGTGGACTGGCTGCCCACCCTGACAGCAGCTGCCGGAGGGACCCCAGGTACAGTAGGGCGTGGCCGTCACAGGGTCACTGCCCGGTAGTCTGTTCAAACATGACCTTGGAAATCTTTGTTCCTGTGTGTGTTGGGCTCAACGCTGTTTGGCATGTAGCTCAGTCTGCACAATGTCGGGGATATACGACGCGGGTCAATGGCGTTAACCAATTCAGTGGACATCAAACATCCTAGGATAATTTGTCACTGAGCATGCAGCGCATGTGACATACTTGTATCAGCATTCATTCATTGTCATCCAAACTTGAAACTGTTTCGTTTCTACAAGTCAAGTGTTCTTTATTTTCTAAAGGAGTATATACAGCCACTTCCTTGCAGTCGGATTCGTGCAATGGACTCTGCTTTTTGTAGAGATTTCATATGATTGTGGATTTTTTCTGTCGCTTTAATTTATTATTAAGAATATATCGGAAAAGTATAAAGCGAATAGTTATAGGACGAACCCATCGCTAATGCGGAGTAGGGAAGACGTTACCAATCGGTTGAATAATGATTTATACATATGATTCTAAAGGAATATACAGTCAGTTCCTTACACACCAACCCATGCTCGTGATAAAGTCGGATTCGTACAATGGGCTCTGCTTAAAGCAAAGATTTCATATGATTTTGGAAATCATATTATTTATTATATCGGAATTGGATAAAGCGCATAGTTGCTGACGAACCCAATGCTAATGCCATGTAGGGAAGCCGTTACCACTCGGGTGATTAATGATTTTTAAATATGATAAATGATTTGTTTCTGATCCCTTGGAGGTGGTGTTACAGTATATTTTTTATGACAGTATGTATATTTTCACAATGACCCCTCTAGTGTCAGACCGTGACGGCATCAACCTGTGGCCTAGTCTCAGCACAGCCTCCCCGTCCCCCCGCACTGAGGTCGTCTACAACTACGACTCGCACCCCCAGCCCATGCAAGGACATGCTGCCATCAGGTACGTCTGTTTACGTCGACGTTTGCAGAAACCGACAGTACTCTACAACAAGCCACTACTATACGTGCGTAAGAACACTGTCCTGGATATATAAATTTTTCCTCCGTTCGAAAGTGGTGTTCGACCTGGCGAAATATACATATGCCCCTGAAATATTCAGTGATAAATGTGTTCAAGTACAGAAAGAGTGCGCATTGGAATACTGCATTTTATATTGTCCTATGTTCATATACATGTTACTCAAAATATCAGGCATTGTTCCATATTCAATTTCAAAATGTCCTAGGATGGAATACTCCGTAACTCTGTATCACTGTTGGTTGGTTGGTTGGTGGTTTGTTGTTTAGCGCCACACTCAGCAATATTCCAGCTATATGACGGCGGTCTGTAAATAATCTAGTCTGGACCAGACAATCCAGTGATCAATATCATGAGAATCGATCCATGCAATTAGGATCGATGACATGCATCAACCAAGTCAGCGAGCCTGACCACCCGATCCCGTTTGTCACCTTTTAGGACAAGCATAATCGCCTTTTACGGCAAGTATGGGTTGCTGAAGACCTATTCTACCCCGGATCTTCACAGGTCCCGTATCACTGAAAACACGTGACTTTTATCTCCTTAATTACATTTGCCTTTTTCAAAATATCAACATTTCCCATTCCTCAATGTAATAAACATGGTTTCAGACTAAAACGCTTTGTATATACAGACTTGAGTGTAAATTACGAAGTAAGCAATGCTCGTATTCTTTGCAGAGTGGGTGACTACAAACTGATCGATGGCTACCCGGGACTCTACCCTGGCTGGTACAAGCCTGAACAAGTCACATCTAGTTTGAACACCAGATTCAGCAGGGATTCAGCCAATCAGTATCAGCTGTTCAACTTGAAAGGCAAGAAGTAAACTGCATTGATATGTATTAGTGGTTTGTGGAATGGTTAGGGTTGGTCTGTTGTTTAACGCCGCACTCAGCAATATTCCAGCTATGTGACGGCGGTCTGTAAATAAACGAGTCTGGACCAGACAATCCAGTGATTGACACCATGAGCTTTGATCCACGCAATTGGGATACGATGACATGCATCAACCAAGTCAACGAGCATGACCACACGATCCCGTTAGTCGCCTCTTACGACAAGCATAGTCGCCTTTTAGGACAAGCATGGGTTGCTGAAGACCTATATAATTCTATCCCGGATCTTCACGGGAGGAATGGTAAGGGAATACATATTAATAAAAAAATCCTGGGATTTTCCCCAAGACTCAAGACTCATAAGGGTGTTGATAGGGCGGCATTATACCCTGGGAAGACAAATATCTCTCTCTTTTGTATATCTGATTAGATGAATAAGTCAGTTTGGTTTAACAAAGCTTAGAACAATATTTCAGTTATATATCAGCATGTCAGCTCTGTGTGGGAGGAAAGCACAAAGTGAGGCTTGTCGTAGACATTAACCACAGACGGATCATTATTAAGCTGTTTCTGGTATTCGAACCCACTAGGAGCAGACTCTGCACCGAACCATCAGACCCTAGACACCTAGAAAACACCCAGAGATTGATGCACAGTTATCATTGAGATGTTCCGTGCTTCCATACTTGATGCGGCATGGAAGACTAGTGGTGTGTTTAAGCGTTCACTTGCAACGCCAAAGACCGAGGTTCGGGTACAATTTGAGCAGTTCATTTTAGTTATCCCACGCCGTTACAAAATTGAAATATTGACAAGGGCGACTAAAAATTGAATCAATATTTTTGCAGGTGAGTTGTGAAAGATGACAATTAGCAATCTGAAGAAAATCCATTGAGAAATTATTATTGCAAAACGGCAAACAGTAAACCATTCCTTCCAAGACTTACATGGAATATGTCCAATGAATGTTCACAGATGACCCCAATGAGCGCAACGACCTCTCCAACTCTCGTCCGGACATGGTGAAGAAGCTTGCTGCCAGACTGGCCTGGTATGAGAAGCAGGCAGTACCACCCAACTTCCCTGAGACCCCCAACGACCTGAGCAACCCTGCACTGTACGGCAATGTCTGGTCTCCTGGCTGGTGCTGAGAGCTTCTTGTTGTACTGTCACTGAGTAAAGTCGATATATGAATGGCATGATCCGCTGTTTTCACAGTAAAAATCACAGGAATACCAGGAAGGCATGCACTATGTAACACTATGAAACATCATGCCCGAAATGGTTTGTTCACCGGCACAAAACGCGCACCTGGAAGGTGAGGCTGCAATTTGATTAAGTGACCTTATAGCATGAATCAGGTAAGTTGATGAGATTTCCAATGACACTGATCCACTGACCAGTGATAATTCGATACACCATGCGCTTAAGAGTGTTATATACATACATATATATATATATATATATATATATATATATATATATATATATATATATATATATATTTAAAGATGGAAAACGTTAACAATCTTAACGTAAGACATATTTGCACTGAGGATGTGTACTGCTCCCTTACGTGTTTGCATGTTTATTACCTTTGGCAGCATGAAAAATCACAAAACAACTTGTGTGTTTACGATATTTGTTTACCAGAACTTGTATGAACAGCCATGACTTCTAGCAGTAAGGATTACGCTTTCCACGATGGATTTAAATACCATACTGAAACATATTGTGTTACATCTGTAACAAAGAGACCCGTGAAGATTCCGGGGTAGAATAGGTCTTCAGCAACCCATGCTTGCCGTAAAAGGCTACTATGCTTGTCGTAAGAGGCGACTAACGGGACCGGGTGGTCAGGCTCGCTGACTTGGTTGATGCATGTCATCGATCCCAATTGCGTGGATCGATGCTCATGATATCAATCACTGGATTGTCTGGTCCAGACTCGATTATTTACAGACCGCCGTCATATAGCTGGAATATTGCTGAGTGCGGCGTTAAAGAACAAACCAACCAACCATTCGACGAACACACTTGTGAAATTGAATTTCCTACAGAAACGTACGTGGCCCGAGATTTGACTATAACTACAATTAAAGTGCGTTATCCGTTAATTACGAAGAGCGGTCAGTGGAACGTAGTCCGTGTTGGTTTTGAAGGAGAAAGGGAAGACAAGAACAGGTATAGTTTATGTGACTGCTGGTTACCTTCAACAGACAGCCAGTCTATTATGTGGTTAATCTTCTGCCAATCCTTGTCGTCTCGACGCTCAGCCCGTGCGTCTTCCTGGTCAAGAAGGAAATAGGAGAGAAACTGTCCGTGTATACACACACACACCTACACAACACATATAGACACGTCAAGAGATAACTATACTTATTACTTGCCCGTGAAGAGATCATCCGTTTAATAAACATACAGCTTTATTACACATTGTGTAATACCAAAACGCGTGCTTATGTACTCTCGGAACACGTTTCACGAACAAATATTGAAAGCTCTCAACATCCCTTGGCGTATTCAACGACATTGTGTGTGGAGATTATAGATCACTGGGAGGAGCTTATGCACACTCGATGACCCCAGCAACCTTGTTGCTAGGCTGACGTCACATGGCATTGTTTCGCCGATGGATCATGCAACAAAATTCAACAAATTACGTCATCGGGTATTGTGACGTGATTGTAAACTTTGAGGTGCAAGGCCCCGTTCCACAAGGCGATCGTACTCTAGCGCAACGACAGTCGTTAGTCTAAGTTAAATTATGTGAGTTGTGATAGCCTTAGCACTACGATAATTTTGTGGGACGAACGCCTGAATTCTAAAGCTGGACCATTGTATGATATTAAATTCATACGTTTCAACTTTTGACGTGTTTGAAGTATTATTCTGTTAAACTCAATTGGATTATGCCATGGATCGTGTAGGTGTCAGCCTATTTAGACTCAACAGTATATTTCTAAAAACATTATAAATGACAAGTAATAAATAAAATACTAAACTCGCTCCCGTGTAAAACCAATTTTATGAAACTCGTGAATAGTTGTGGTATCTGACTCGCTTTCGCTCGTCAGATACCAGAACTATTCACTCGTTTCATAAAATTGGTATTACACGGGAGCTCGTTAAGTATTCTATATTTATAAAGCTGACAGAGTTGAAAAATCACTTGACAGCAGCACCACATCACAAAGGTGGCCTGCGAGGCTGCGAAGTGAAACACAAACCAGTAAACACCATGAAACGGCAATGCTGCTGGTTTGATTATGGAGCTGTCTCAGAAATATTAAACGTCAACGGCAGCCAATAACCAGTCTCTGTTATTCGACCAAATACTTTCCTTTTAGGCGTGAAAGGGAAACTAGAGGTTACTAATATATTAGAGGATCACTGAAAATCAGAGATGATCAGGTCTAGCCCTGCCGATAGTACAAAAGTGGGAGGAGTGATTAAGGAGTAAACTATAAAGAACCCATCAGTGGAGCAAAGGGAGTTCATATGATGTCCTGTCCATTATCACGGAGGGACACATCAGTTTAGGACTAGATGAATTTGAGGTGATTTTTTGTCCCTGAAGCGACCATTAATTATCTAACGTTCTTCGATAATCTGACTCGACGGACGAGGATGCTGGGCAGGGTCGAGTCTGATAAAGGTCAAGTGCACCAGGCACTACGATGGAATGGCAACTAATGCAACCCTGGCATCCCTTCTGTGAATCAACAAGTTTCGTTACAGCAGTGACTCACTGGACGCCTTTCCCATCTGAGGAATCATCACCAAGGCGAAGGGTACCATTATCTCCAATGTTGCATGTAAACTGAGCAAGTATCAACTGAAACCAGTCTCCTCGCAGGTGATGAATACCAATCGATGGCGATTTCCCTGGGCAAGATCAATGGGCACACAGCCAGGAGCATTATCCTCGTGTGTCAGTCCGCTCAACGCCACCAAAACTGCCCGGACACAGACAAGCTTGTGGCTTACACAGAGGGCTGGTATTCGCCTGGAAGCATAAGATCTAAGAAACCAGGGAACATTACCTTTGATGAGGATGATGTGATAGCCATAACGAAGATTTTATAATCATGTGTATTCTAATCGTAAAATTTGTAAGTTTTGTTAACAATTAGAAAAGCAAGAAATGTCAGCTGGGATTGAGCTACCTGTCTTGGCGACGCCCGCCAATATAACTGTGTGATTGCCAGCTTGGGTCGCAATGAAGTTACTGATTTGGGCTCAAGATTAGTGTTTTGCATCATAAAGTTGGTGGAATCTTTTGAATTATGTACAGAGTAACCCAGAATCGTATTTTAAGCAACTTTACAACGTGTTTACGTTTACATTTTGACATCAGGAACTATGTAATATTTGATGCTGTATTTATGAGCGCCATTCAGTAATACTATTAATTACCATGGTTTTCATAAATGTGAAATCCGGTGTCAAGGCATATCACTGTGCAATTCATGTTTGTTTTTTTGTTGTTTAACGCCACACTCAGCAGTATTCTAGCCATATGACTTCAATTCATGTAACAAACATCTGATGTATCGGTTAAATGTGTAATATTCCTCTTTGAATTGTCGGTCACAAAGTACCAGTTCAAAGGTTAGATGTCAGATAATCTTATATCCCTAAGGTTTAGAGTGTGTGTGTGTGTGTGTGCGTGTGTCTTAATGGCTCTGAAAGCTTTCCATCCAACAAAATCAGCTTACCTGATTTCTCAAAATGGTTGATATAGTAACTAAACTAAGCACAAACTCCGATCCCATCTCTCAAAACCTTCAAGGAATTAAGCTGATGTTAATCCGATACCAAACTTTGAACTGGTCCCTAATTTTCAGTCGATGTTATTTGTTGTTATTACGTTCCCGTCAGCAGCAAGCACGTTATTGCTTATCTTGTGATGTTGGAAGGCATTTAACGAAACAATTACATGTTGTAGATCTATTTTCACACCAAATTACTTCCCGAGATGGTTCGCCTTCCTCTTTATTTCAGTGGTCTTACCTTGTGAAATGTGTTCCCCAAAAGGAGTATTAAGGACGTAACTTGGCGTAGTTTCTCGTAAATTGATTAATCTATATTATGTGGCCAGACATGTGACCAATATACACAGAAATGTGGCCACTGCTTATCTACACATATAAATACGATGAGTTTCATAATGGGTCACTCTGACTTTTGTCATCCAAGGGTCAGTATAAATCAATACAAGGGCAGACATAGTTCCCCTTGTCCTTAGTCATTTTAAATTTTACTGAATCTACAAATAGACTGTAACACTAGATTTTTAAACTGAAACAAATTGATATGAAAATTTTCCACGTAACTGTCAAGCTGTCCTGTTAAAGAATCGATCTACATTTAACGGTATACAATATGTATCGTTATAACTATATTGCCCTGGCACTGGTGTGTGCATTAAACACCCTACATCTGAGAGGAATCTAATTATAATAAAACATTGTCATGGTACATAACTGAAAATAAATTTTAAGTCTTAGTGATAACCAGAGAGTTAAGGTGCCGTCCCACTCGGATTGTAGGCATGGTATTCCATTCTGTCAGCTATTGATTTGTCAGGCACAGACTCGATTATTTACAGGAAGATGTAGTTGTTATCTTGCAGACTCAGTCGTCCCCTTTTCCACGGCTGCCTTTCTTCATAAGTTTATAAAATTACATATACAAAACCCAATGTAAACTTGCATTTGTTCAGTCGACCTAAGCACAAAGAAAAAAGAAAACTGAAAACATATTAACCAAAATATGAGTTTGTCTTTTCAAGACGGACACTGGACGTATGCTTCAAAATGGAATTTATTCATATATTTTAGAGTTGTACACAGAAATATACAAATAGATATAAAAAATATCAGCAAATTGCAAATAGCACAGGCATAAGGAAGAACAATAAGCATTAACAGTACATCATTTCTACTTTTCATAAATATAAATATAGAGATATTTTTCGACATTGTAATTATCATACACGACACATTGTTTTATCTATGCCAGCATAGCCAACATACCTGTATCGTAACTGTCAATGTGATTTTAAATAAGTTATAAAATATAAATTACACACACACACACACACGCACGCACGCACGCACGCACGCACGCACGCACGCACGCACATTTTAAACATTTTATACAGGATTATTAATATTATTTTCTAAGGATAATT